GACCCCACATGCCCCTGGGCCCCGCTGTTCTGCCTGAAAGGGGCCTGGTTCTCTCCACCCCTTGACACTCGCCGTGCCAGAGTCAACCTGCAGAGCAAGCTCCCAGCTGGATGAGTGTTGTCAGACTGTGATCCCAGGGAGAGAGAGGACCTTCTCCCCCGTCCGGCTGCCCAGTCTCTATGGTCATTGGATGGGGTGTTCCTGGCAGGCCACTTGGACCAACGGCTGGAATGGGGCTCAGCCCGTAAGAGCCTTCAGTCTGGGAACCCCTTTCTCAATCCCCTCCTCTTCTGGTCAGGCAGGTAGCAAGACCTCCTTGCTTTCAGTGCCTGTTGAGACAACTTTATCCCAGGAAGCTGCCTTTTTGCTATTCTCTCTTTTTTAAAAACAATCTTGTTTTAGTATTCAGATGTTTTAATACCATGCTTGTTATCATTTACCACACTGGCTCCCCTTTCAACCTGTGCCCCCACCTAGAGATGACAGAGAAATTCGGACAAGTTCAGATTGCATGAATCTGAATTGCAGATTCTGCAGCAGGATGACTTTTGGGAATTGTGCGGTATTACAATCTTCTTATGTGTCATTGTCTTCGACTTCCGGCAAAGTCAATGCCCTTCCGAATGTCACGTCCATGACAGCCCTGCTCAGCTCTTCTAAGTTCAAGGCTGCAGCTTCCTTGATGATGTCCATCTCGTTCAGTCCGTCTTCTTCTGCCTTTGACTTTCCTATCCTCAACCTGCCGTCTCCAGGTTTTCCCTTCTCATCAGGCTGCTGAGGTGTTGCCACTTCTGCTTCCAGACTGGAAGACTGCTTTTTTACTTTTGGGGGTAGGGGAGGATACATGCTAATTTGCATTAGCATTGATGGTCTCTAACAAAAGCACATTTCTATGTGTGCTTTAGCGTTAACATGCATGAGTGCAAGCAGAGTGCTCTTCTAGTGAAAAAAGAAGAAAAAATAGTTCTGTCCACAAGCAGACAAGCCAGGATATTCAGAGGCACAGATCTAGTGAAATTCATACACCCCTGCCTCCACCGCTGCCCACATTTTGTAAATAAAGCAAATCTTACTCGGTGCCAGTAAATCTTGAGGGAGTTTCCTCCCAAGGGAACCCAAATCCAGGTTGGCCTTTCACCCCTGGGAAAGTTGCAGGACTCGGAGGTTTTCGGAAGGGACTTGCACACTCTCTCCTCCAGAACCACCCTCTGAAACCTGCGGCACGAGGCAAGCTTCGGGCTGATGCCCTTCCTCATAACCCATCATCCGCGTGCGTGTGCATGCGCGTGTGTGGGATCGTGTTTGGGCACAGAGGAAGATACCCGACTGGTTCCTCCAGTTGTCAACTCTGGGCTGTTGCCGTAGAAACCATCCCCTCCTGCCAGTCTCCATGGTGATGGTGATTCAAGGCCGGGCTTCAGACAGCTAGTTGCATCCAAGCAAGCACGCACGCACGCACGCGAGCGGCCTGGCCAAAGATATCGGGGCTTGAGACCCCCTCCCTGCCCCCCCCCGCCCACATTCAGGTAGAAGCAGACATTTCGGCTGGCCAGTTTCAAAGCAGGGAGGGTGAGAGAAGGAAGCAGCCTGAATCCCACCCTCACCGTGAGGTTCAGCTCCCTGGAGGAGGCGTGTTTCTGCATCCCTCTTATTTAATGGGGTTCCACTTGGCCACCCCTGCACCATCCCCGACAGCACCCACTTCTGCGCAAACCCCATAGTAAACTGATCCCCAGTTGCACACCTAGATAATTCAGGGGACTTCATGGCCTGCTCCAGCTGGGATCCTCTCCACTCCCCACGAAGGAGCAGCGGGGAGGCATGGACAGCCCACCAACACTAGGGAAAATCTGCCTCACCTTTTTCCTCTGCCCTTGCCATGCCGTTTTCCTTCTGTGTTGTGCAAAGGGGCAGGCTGGGCCCTCTTGCTTACGGAGTGGCTGTAAATTACTTGGGGCTGAAGAGTGGCAGGCAGATACCACACAATAAATGGGCAGCTTTTCCAGCTTGCACACGCGGCTGCGTATAAAACCAACATGCAGACAGCGATTCCCCTCTTCTGCAGTTTATTCCAGCTCAGCGGCAGTCTGGAAGGAAAAAAGCCCAGCTCCCTCCTCATATTCCTGCCCAGATCCACACAAACCACACCAGATTTCACTGGGCACTACCAGCAAGCACTCGAACTTGGGGTGTTAAATTCAGTGCCCGACTCCTGTTTGGGTGACTGGGCCGATTGTGCGTGGTCTGGAGACAGCCTCCGCAAAGAAACTGGGCAGCATCCTCACACCAAGCGGGCAGGTGGTGAAAAGCCACGACTGACGCATCAGCCCCGGCTTTTTGCGAGGGAAGAGCGCGACGCCTGTAGCGTGTTCGCACCTGCACTTCCCCCCTCCTCCAGGGGCCGGTTCTTGTTTAGGGCCACTACGAAGCTGCCCAGATTGTCAGTCAAGGCTGCACAGGCTCAAAAATTGGTTTATTTGGATAAGGGCCCACGGTCTCTGTGCAACAACATCAAAGGATGTGATTCTTGATGTTGGAAAGGGACCGGCCTCCAACCTTGGCTGCTCCAGCTTAGGCCATTCCCACTGGTTTTAATTCACGTGCCAGGAGGCGGACCTCTTCCGAGGATGAGCAGACCCCGTGCGTTTGCACCTCAACGCTCGAGATGAGCTCGCCGCTTCTTTGCCGGCATCTCCCTTCCAGCTCTCGCAAAGGAGGTCAGTGCCCAGCCATCCGCTGATCGAATCCGACACAGAGGCCCACGAGCCCGTCTCTCTTCCCCCTTGAGCTTCTTGCACACCAGTGCGCCTGGTTGCGGCCTCCCCATTCACCGTGTGAAGCAGCCTTGGCCAGGCCTTTCCACACAACATCCCTGCGAGGCAGGGCAGGCTCACTAGATGCCTCTGCCCATCCACGGGAGGTCTACTCTCTCGCATCAGCACCTCGTAATTTTTGGTGGATCTGAATTTTATCATGCTCCCACGCTCTGGGAGCTGAAAGATGGGGTGCAGTGCAGAGCAGACCAGAATCTAGCAGCAACCTGCTGAAAGCAATTACTCCGCAATTTTCTCCAGAACAGGTAAGGGGCATTTTAATGGCATTTGAGTATCATGCCCCCACAGCTCTAAAAGGCCTTTTCCAAAGAGGTGTGACCAGTGCCAACACTGCACTCTTTCTGGCAGCAATGAGACGTCCCCCTCCGCCCTGGAGTTTTAGAGGCTTACGGCGGTCTGTTGTCTCATTGCATTCTTTGCCAATTCTGCCACTTCCCCAGCACGGAGCGGTTCCCTGCATTTGTCTTTTGCTGACGTTCGCGTCTGTCTACTGAGCGCCACCCTGGAAAGGACGAAGGCTGCCCAGGTCCCACCCTCTCTGGATCCTCAGTAGAGACAGCGGCCCACAGCGTCTTGCTTCCTCCGCGGGGCCACGAAAGCACGGGTCCCCCCCGAGGCACTGCAGGAGCGGAGGAGCTGGTGGCACCGCAGAAGTGAACCCTGCAAGGGACCCAGTCACAGAGGCAAGTCCTCAGAGACACTCGTCTCCTCGCAGACCGGGCTGCAGAGGCTTTTTGGCTGGCTCAGCAGGGCCCTGCCCCATGCTGGCCGGCCGTCATGTCGGATCAGCAAGAAGAGAGGTGGAGCCCTGATGCTCAGGGCTCACAAGCTCTTGTGCTGCCCTTCGGCCAAATCCACTCCTCCTGCTGAAGGCTTCTGGCCCACAGGAGTCCTCCACACCAACAAGTTGGTGGGCAAGAGCAGCTGAGATGTGGACACCCCTCTCTGTGGCCACCTGCTTCACCACAGTGAAATGGGCAGAAGGGGAAACTGCTCTTTTCTTGGCTGGCACAGGCGCCACCTAAGAAAGCGATCTGCTCCATGCCCAGAGACCTCCTCCTGCAGAGGCCCCATCCTCTGGGCAGGCACAGCTGGGCAAGCCATGCGCTCACGCTCCCTTCCGACCCTCAAGGCAACAGAGGGGAGGGAAAGAGTTGGGGGCAGAGCAGCAGGGGCTGGGTTGGGGAAACAGGGCAGGCAGGCACTCGGTCTTCTGGAAAAAAAAACAATCCCCAGGGCTCGAGCGCCGCTCCGAATGCAAGGCACTAAGCAAATGTGCGGGGTTATGTAAGCGTTTCCATTTAAGTATGTACATCATCCTGAAAGTGCAGGATGATATAAGTGCAGGAGTACCTGGCATTTTCCCCCAAATGTGTCTGGGAGTGCAGGGCCCGCCTGCGCACGTGACAGCGCGCATGGGTGCAGCCCTCTCTTCCGACAGCCGCGGCACGCTCCCAGATAGGAGGGTAACAGCACTGCTCTCCCTTAGCTGCTGAGCTGTGGCAGGACTGAAATCTTTCTGAGGCGCTTTCGCAGCGCTGACGTGCAGGAATCTCTGCTCACACGCTGCCCACATGTGCGCAAAAACTCTTGCGCGAAGGGACCCCCAGCAACCGTGTCCCTTTTCCCAGCACCCTGTGCTGCAGGTGGCTGAAAAGACGCACTGCTACGGAAAGCTCTGGGCTTGGTTCAGGTCTGCCACCAAGCCTTGCACGAGCCCCGTCCTGTCCGCCCTGATCCAGCATCACCTTCATCCCTCCCTTTGCTCCTACTGTGCGCAGAATTTTACCAACGTGTGTGAAACACGTGTCAAAAATCTAGCTCTCCGGCGTCAAGAGAACTGCCCAGCCACCAAACTGCCAAAAGGGACTTTCTGCCGAGACCGTAAGCGCCTGGCTGAGCCCATTGGTTGGGGCCCTTCTTCTTGCAAATCCCGTCTTGCAGATTAAAATGATCACCCGCCTCCTCTTCAACCACCGGAGGGAGGGAGGGAGGGCAGTGGGGCCAGGACTGCTAGCGAGGAAGAGTGGCCGGGGTGGTCCCTGGCACCCAGGAAGAGTTGATGGCCTCCCGCTCAGGCACGCAGGCTGCTGGGGGAGGAAGCCTCCTTTGCAAGAGAGGGATGTGGAGGTGACCCTTTTGTCAGGCCAGGCAGCAAGCGTGTGATCCAAACCAGATGGTCGCCTGTTTATTCAAAGCACATTCACCTCCGTGGCTGCTCGGCGCGGCTGGAGAGACTCCCGCCCCTGTCCACAGCACCACCGGCGTAAAGAGGGGGAGAGGGGCACAGCCCCTTCTGTGCCACCGTCCGACTGCTCCCCCCCAACGGCTTCGAGCTGCGTGCACCCCTATCTGGCCATCTCTGCAGCCACGGCTTTGTTCATCTTGTCCCTGAGATAGGCCGCCTTCTGCCTCTCCGACTTCAAGTCCATCCACTCATAATAGGGAACCTGCAGCATATCGAGGAGGAAAAGAGGAAAGGCGAGGTCAGGTCCCAGCGGAAGGGCCAGTTGGAGGGCTGCCGGGCTGATGGGACCGCTGGGCAGAAACGACCCGCTAGGCACAGGCGGAGCAGGTTCTGGAATCGCTCAAAGGCTCTCAGGAGACACAGACATCCGGCTGTCACGGGAGCTGCGGCACTTGAAACCCAGCGCTGCTTGCTTCTGCTCTGGAGATGGCAGTGAGGACGAGATCCATCAATCTGAAGCCCCCTAGTCCTAAATGCTTGACTGCAAGGGTGCAGAACCTCACACCAGACCTTCTGAGTCTCTCCGGGGACCAAATCCCATAGCCCCCTGCCTTTCCCCAGATGCGGATGTCAGGTGGCTTCCTTCCTTTGCTTTTGGCCTCAGCCGACACTGGAATTTGGCCCTTGAAAGGGTCTCCTAAACAGAACTTTGCTCTTGGGCCAAAAGAAGTTCCCCCATCCCTGCTGGACAGAATGAATGAGCGATGTGTATATCTGACCCCTCTTTTCAGTCGGGGTGTCTTCCAAGGATCTTAACCTGATGCTCCATAAAAGTCCCTCCCCTGCCCCACCCAGGAGGGCCTTCGGTGCCAGGGACCAGGAAAGCCCTTGCCACCGCTTAAATGCGTTGCATTTTCATTGCTAGCAAGCGCAGATCGCCGGGCCGAGGCCACTTTTCCGAGGCCAAATGCTAGTAGCCGAGGGGCGAAGGCGAGGGCAAAGGCAGTCTGTCCTGGTGGCTGTCCAAGACGACCTCCACTCCCTCCCACCCTGGCGGGTTTCAGTGGCGTGTGCCCAACTTTGTGCAAAGACGGGGCTGGCCGGCCATGCGGAAAACGCAACCGCCAACCCGGCCGAGTCGGGTGAGCTGCTGCCCCGCACCAAAGGGCTCCGACACGGGGGTGGGTGGGCAGGAGCACGAGACGGGTCCCTCGGCAGAAGCATTTTGGCACAGGGGGCCGAAGCCGGGGCGGGGCATGTGCGGCCAGACTGACGGAAGCCGGTTCTCCCGGCCGTCCCGCCATCCTGCTTTGCAAAGGACTGGAAGCCGTTGCTGCCTGGCTTTTTCCACTCCGGATGCACCAGAGCCCACTCCACCCAGCAGGAAGCTCCGACCCACCAGGTGGCATCCGGAAGGGGCATGGGGGGGCAGCCGTGGGGACGAGGAGGGGGGCGCTGCAGCTCTCCTGCAGCCCAGTTGTGCCCACCTAGATATGGACCCCTCTGTTCTAAGAATGCAACCCCGCGCACACTGAGACAGACGAGACGCCGGCATTTCCCCGCTAGCACGGGACTGTGCCAGAAAGAATGATATAAAAAGGGGCAAAGCTGCCATGCTGAGGAAGCCACTTAGTCGCCAGGGCAAAGCACCGCAGGGACGAGGATAATGGGGCAGGGCATGAGAAGTGCCCAAAGCTCCCAGCAGCTGCAACCTCCAGACGATGGGACTTGTAGTCCAGCGCACCTGGAAGGCAACACACTGGGGAAGGCGGCTCCGACAACCACGCCACAGAGGGAGTGTTCAGGCAACACAAGAACTTCATGTTCAAGGGCTGAGCGTGACTGGAGTCGGATCGTTGTTCAAACATGAGTTACGGTCATCTCAGCCCAGGGAGATCACAAGCCACGTCCGTGGACCGGGGACCAGCCACGGCAGGCGATCCAACCAACCAACTTCGTGGCTCATTTGCGGGTAAGGGGATATGGCCGGGTTCAGGTGGCAGGAGAGCCCACGCTTCAACCGCCACCCGTGATTCCGTGGCAGCCCACGATCAACCCCTATTCCACCCTTGGACGACTGAGTCGCCTGACCCTCCTTGGGCGTCCATAACCTCCCTCCCATCTCCCCTTCAAGAATCCAAACTTGCCATGCTGCACCGGTAAATCTGGAGGTGCCAGACACCCACCGAGTCTCGGGAAAGGTGGCCCGGCTCGGACCCGGCCACCGAAGGGCAAAAAGCATTTGCGGGTACTGAGAATTCGCTCTCCCTGCCCCAGTTCTGGTGCCCATGACAGAGAACTCGCCGCTCTGATGCCGCTCTCTCCCTTTTCGCCAGAGAGCGGAACAGGCCACTCGATGCTGTGGCGCTTCCAAGGAGCTGCATAATGAATGGAGCCCCCCCCCCACGTGCAAGCATGACCTTCTGCCCCCCACCCCGGGTTCCATGGGCAGCCTAACGCCAGAGAGGACCAGCAAGCGATGCGGAAGGCACCCCTCCGCCCCGCCTCGGGATCTTTCCCCGGAAACCGCCGCAAACGAACGCAGGGCTGCGAATGGAAAATGCCAACATTCCCGGGGGGGGGGGCTGCAAAGAGAACTGAGGGCCCCGTGCTGCAGGGTTCAGCCCCCGCCTCGCCAGGGCAGAGGCGGCTGCCACTCCAGCTGCTCCCCCAGAACAACTGCATGCACCATCACGCCCATCGAAGGCTGCTTCAGCAAGGAGGGGGGCCCCAGGCCTGCCGGGCTGACCCACCTGGGCCCCCCACCAGGTCAGGCACCGATCTGGAGGCTCCGGGGCCTTGCGGAGGAGGCGGGGAGAGGACCCCCCACTCCATTATGGCCAATAACAGGGAGTAACCCCTTTAGTCTGGGCACTGCTCCAGCAGGCGCTTGAAACTGTCCCAGTGACCGCTGGAAGCAGTCCGACTCAGCCCCCGTTGGGTTCTGGAGAGATTTCCAGACACAGCCCCCCAAGCCGTATTTGCAGACCCGTCGGGACAAGGAGCTGACTCCGGGCAAGCCCCAACCCCAAGAATCCCAGCATCCTGAGCCCTGCCCTGATGCCCACAGCCCCGCCACATCGAAAACCCTCGAGGACCCGCTGGCCACAGCGACTCACTTCGATGATCAAGAAGCCCAAGGCCCGGATGTGCCTCTGGGCGAGGGCGAAGCGGCCCAGCAGCTCCTTGCTCCGGTTGCTGAAGTTCGGGAACTCCCAGGCGAGGAAGGCGAGCCTGCGACAGCGGAAGGGGCCCGAGTCAGCCGCCTGCCCCAGCCCCACTCCAGTCCCTGAGAGGGGGCAGAGGGAGCTCGACCCCGAAGGCCGAGGGAAGACTGCGGGAAGGGACGCCGGGGCAGGCCCAGCGCTCCCGGAGGGCGGTGGCGCTGGGAAGGCCGTTCTGCCTCAGGCTCCCCTGCTCCCCTGGCCCGGAGCAGCCTCCCCCACGGGGCACCACAACGGCAAGGGGCCCCCATTCTGGCCAGGGAGGCTCACCTTCTGGTCTGAGACAGGCGCGGCCGAGATCTCCCCGCCTGGGCCAGCGGAGGAGCGGCGAAGTCTGCCACGGGCAGCGGCTGGTTGTCGCTGTTCAGCACCATCTCGGCATCTGTGAAGGGACACGGTCAGGCAGCCCTGGCTGAACAGCCCGGGGATCGGCTCCACGTCCTCCAGCGGACCATCAAGCTGAGGCCAGCGGGCTGTGCAGACGGCACCCCGGTGTGGCATCGGTCTGCAGGATCACTCGCCCCGGAACGAGGGCCCCGGGGCCGGCGAGGCACAGGATGGTGTGGCAGCCCACTGAGGCCCCCCCCTCAACTGCAGGGAAAGTGCTCCATTACGGTCAGTGCTGGGGCCAACCTCCGGGGGGGGGCCTTCCAGTGGAGGGAGGGAGCTGAAGGCAAAGGGGGCAAGCCTAAAAGACCAGCTTCTTGCTGCTTCGAGCTGCAAGGAAGGCTCAGAGGAGACATTTCCACCTTTCGGAATAGGGACAACGCACGCAGAGGCCAGGAAGCCACCAAGATTCCTGGGAAAGGGGGACTGGGCCAGGGAAAAGGGGCCGGCCACCCGGGGAGTGGGGGCAGGCCAGACCTGGCCAGTGGGCTGGAGGCTCAGCAACCCTGGCCCGCGGGAAGGCAGCTTTCGTCTCGACCCTCAGCCTGCCGTGGCCGCGCAGTCCCGAGGCCGGGGGACAGCGGCTGCTGCCGAGGGCAAGAGGTGGCTGGCGGGGAGGGCCTCGTTCCTGGCTGCCCTGAGCCACTCTCCCCCGAGCAGCGGAGCTCACCCAGGCACCAGCCGCAGCTCGTGTCCACCTCGAAGCGGACTCTGGCCTCGTCTCCGGCAATGCCCCTCAGCGCCTCGCGCAGGCCGCTCTGCAGGGGCGTCACCTTCCTGCTCCCCAGCAGCTTCTTGATGTCCAGGACGTCCGGGGGCAGGAAGGGCCCGCCGTAGTCCGCACACTCCAGCCGGGCCGTGGCGTTGATGTGCAGCAGCTTGAGCTGGTAGCTCTTCCCCTGCGAGGAGTGGTTGGCTGCGGGGAGACAGAAAGCGGGTGGAGGCACGCTGCACCTCGGGGGGGGGGGGCGGGGTTCAGGCGGCAGAGAAATCGCCAACGCCAGCTGGACGTCGTTCCCATAACCCCCCGCCCCCAGTTTTGGCCTACCCCTTCCAGCACCCCAGGTCAGCATGGCCCAGCCGCAAGGCATCATGGGAGTGGAAGGCCCACACGTCTGGGGACGTGCAGCCCCTGCGCTCTCCAGGTGCCGCTGCAGCTCCCAGGGTCCCCGAGGGAGAGCGCAGAGCAGGCACACGCTCAGCTTCGGGCGCGAGGAGGGACGAGGCCCGGACCAGCAGTCAAATTGCTTTGCTGTGCCTGCTACTTCAGCCAAGAATTTCAGGACGTGGCCTTAAACCTCGCGCCCTTTTAACCCATTTATTATGTCTCCCGCCTGTTTCCCTTTCTGAGGAACTCGGAGGTGGCCTGGCTGCTGCTACTGTTACATGACACACGCCGTGAGGACGCCAAGGCGGCCCATGCGGCCCTTCGCCCCACTTCGTCCCCACGGAAGCGACCCTGCGAGGCAGGTTGCGCTAGGGCCGAGGGGCGACGAGGCCCCAATCCCCGGCATCCCCAGGCCAGCGCACCAACCTCACTGCATGCAGCTGCAGGGCACACGGGCAACATCCCCGCGACGCCACCACGGACACGCTGGCCTTGGCAACAGCTCCCACTGTCCTAGCCCATAAGGGAAGAACACGGGGAGGGCAGGGAGAAGAGGCTTCTTGAGAATAACTAAAACCCAAACTAAATCTGGGCCTGCACAGCGCTGCACTGAAATCCCCTTTTATTGTGGTTCCATCTTGGCTACGAAAAAACTGTGCAGGAAAAAAGGTGGACAGGGTGTGAAGGGCCCCCCCTCCAGAGGACGCCTTCCAGATGTGCTGGACTGCAGCCTGGAGCATGCCCGGCCAGCAGAGCCGCATCTGGAGGGTGCCGGGCCCTGGAACAGTGGAGGCACCTCTTTTGGACAGCTGCCACAGTCACTCTTTTCCTGGCAGGCACTGCCCCCCAGCGGCTGATTCTGTAGGCAGGAAGCAGGCCCAGCAAAATCCCGGGACTTGCTCCTCCTGTGCACCGCTCTGGCCGGCTCCTTTCACCAGCCGCTCGCTCCGGCCAGGAAGAGGGTGGGGTGTGTCGGGACCTGGACCGCTTCTCTCAAAATACGGCACTCTAAGGCAGACATTGGGGGCTCCACACCTGAGCCAAAAGAAGAGGTGGGTGACAATGCACAGGTGTGCTGGCGGCACCAGCAAGCTGCGAGACAAGCTGCAGAGGCCTGCCTCTCGAGGAGACAGGATGGAAGGGGGCAGAGGGGGAGCGGGGCCGTTTAACTAGCCCAGCGCTTCGACCTCAGGTCAGAGGAGTGTGCCAGTGAGGCAATGCCTGGCGTCCCTGCTGCCTGGCCCACAAGCAACGCACTCCTCCCTGAGGGAGCAGCCAACTCTGGTTGGTTGGGAGGCAAGGAGGGGGATCAAGCTCTGCTTGGACAGAAGCAAACATCCATGGTGAAAGGACTCCTTAAAGCTGCCTCTTGGCGAGGACCTTCCTATCACTCCTGCTGGAGCATACAGCCAGTCCCGGCTGCCAGCTTTAGCAGAATGGAAGACCACTTAGAAGCCTCTTGTCTCGAGCTGCTGGGCAGGGAAACGGAGAAAGGCTGGGCGAGAAAGAGACCCGCTCGCAGGAGGCGGCGGCCCAGGGACAGTGCTGGCGAGAAGGCAGGCTCACTGGAGGAGGGGCCCATGGGGGTGTCGTGCCCAAGCACACCCCAGATTCTGGGGCTGAGGGCTGCCTGCTGCTCACAGGAGAGCCATCTTCACCGGCAGGAGGAGCCCGTCCGGGTCCTCGGATCCCGCAGAACGCCAAGAGCCCTCGGGACTCGGTCCACTCATACCTAAGAAGTCAGCGCAAAACTCCGGCGCCAGGGCCTTTCGCAGATGGGCGGCCTTTGCCTGCCGCAGCACGCACCACGACCACACCAGGTCCACCAGCAGGTGCGGGTTCAAGTTGCCGAGCGGCCTGTCGAGCCAGCGGTGGACCTGCGCGAGAGGACAGAGCAGCGGTGAGGAAGAGCCAGCTCCTGCGCCAGCTCCTCGGTCAGAGGCCTGAAGCCGACACTGCTCCTGGGCCCACAGCAGGGCGTGCTGCGTTTCGGAACACGCGGCGTTTCTGCCGCCCGCCTTCCCTGCTGGTGAGGCAGGCAGGTCGCCTGCACCCGCCAGTCGACGCACAGCGGCGGAATCACCGCTCTAGGCAAACTTCAGAGCGGCCGGGAGGAGCGAAAAGGGACAGCAGGGATGGGCAGCCTCGCTCCGATCAAGCCGTGTGTTGCGCTGGCTGGGGCAAAGTCCCCGTGGCCACCGAGGAGAAGGGGGGAAACCGCACCTCAAAGAGGCTGGGAGGTGGCACGGGCGCCGGGGCGACCCCCACGCCGTTGTGTCGTCTGGACAAGATGCCAGTCTTGGATGGGACTTTTGTGACCGTGAATGTTTTGCATCCAAGGCTACCCTGGCTAAAACGGCATTCATCTCCGTCGGTCTATTCTAGCAAGATGTATATTCCATTTCTACGCGACCCCAAACTAGAAGCTCTTTGAGAGATGCACAATCGAATCACTGATGTGGGTCCTGCCCCTGCAAATGCCGCCACGAGCAGCCGCTCCAACGGGCCACGCAGAGGAAGACGAAGAAAAACAGGGCCGGGAAGGAGGGTCCGTCTGGACATCAGGAAGGACTTCCCGATCGTTAGGGCAGTAGGACAACGGAACCCCTGTGACCTGGGCAGGTGACGGGCCGCCCCGCGCTAGAGGCCTTCAAGGGGCAGCTGGACAGCCACCTGGGAGGGAGGGTTTGACTGGAGCCCCACACGGAGCAGGCGCTTGGGCCCGACGGCCCTCTGGGTCCCTTCACCTCCACTTCTTCCACATCCCTGTGATTCTAGAACAGCTGTGTGAAGACCCCCCCCCCCTTCTCTCTAGCCCATTCCTTTTTCCTGCAGGCAGGACCTGTCTGGCATGTAACAGACAGTGTGGTGTAGTGGTCAAGAGTGCGGGACTGGGACTCAGACGATCTGGGTTCTAGTCCCCGCTCAGCCATGGAGCCCACTGGGTGACTTTGGGCCAGTCACAGACTCTCGGCCCAACCTACCTCACAGGGCTGTTGTGGTGGGGATAAGATGGAGGAGGAGAAGGATGTAAGCTGCCTTGAGCCCTTTGCAGGAAAAAGGCAGGATAGAAATTGAAAAATAAATAAATAAATAAATAAAATGTAAGAAGATTTTTGGTTGAGGGGGGGATTAAAATACTTTTAAGAAATGAATGCAGACCCAGAACTCATTACAGTAAAGGCAGCTGCTTTTTTTTAAGGAAACGGACCTGGCTTGGGACCAGGATGCCTGAAGGACCAGCTGCTCCCATTCACACCTACCTGGCCCCGAAAATCAGTTTCAGAGCCTTCTGAAAGAGCCATTGCCCAAGGAAAGAACGATGGTAAATGTAGGTGGGACCTTCTCCATAGTTAAAATCTTTTCAGTGCTAGGCAAAAGCATTTTTTTTCCTAGACATTTTATTAATTGATTTTATTTTGATAATTTTAAAGGTGGTTTCATAGTATTGCTGCTTTAATCTACATTGTTTTAAATTATTATCCCTCAGCTGTATACTGTTCCTTCCTCTTGGATACTGCTATGTGTTTATATGTGTCTGATTGTTTTTATTGATATATTGTGTGGGGGGGGTTCATTTATTGTAAGCTGCTCAGAGTTCTTGGACTAATAGAGCGGAATACAAGTTTAATCATAAATCAACAATAAATTCTGAGGGAAGGAAGGATGGAGGTGTGTGGGGGCCCCCCACAGGGCTCAGCTCCGAGGCGGCTCAAAGGTCTGACCCCATCTCTGACTGCTGTAGAGGAAGGTTCACTTGTTGGGCTCTGACATCTCCTCCTTGTCCTTTCCCGTTTTATGAATCAATTATACTAATTTTGGATCCCGCTGAGAGACAGTCTTACGGGACTAATCACTTTTCTCCCTTCTCCTTTTCTGCCCCTCCTTCGGTCTTCTGCTCTGTTGAAAATGGAGAGTCGTTTGCTTTCCAGACCCAGCAAACTGGAATTCCAAGGAAACTTACTGCAGAATCCCAGTCATGTCTCCTCAGCCACAACCTCCGTGGGGTTCAGTGGGACTTAGGTAAGTGCTTTTAGGACGGCAGCCTCAGGATGCTTTTAAACCAGTTGGTCTGGAGGACAGAAGAGCCAGAAGCGAAGCACAGACTGGCCTGCATTTATGTTCAGGGTTGGTCAGTTCTCCCTATTTGAACTCATGGTCGTATTTTATTCACACAGTTTTGTCCTGCCGGAAGATGGGCCCCACGGCTGGTAAGGGCTTCCCCTTCCCCACTGCAGCTGGGGGGACCCTCCAGAGTAGATCTGAGGTGGGTGGGGGGCTACGGGAGGTGGGAGGGGGCAGGGAAGCCCTCTTGTGCAAAGGGGAGCAAGTCGGGGACATGGCGTCCCTGCTCCTGACCGTGCTCTTCCACGGGGGTGCTGCGAATTCAGACCCAGACTAACATACAGCTCTGAAGCACGCAAGGCGGGTGAAAAGCTTACCGTGGAATAGAAGGCCTCTGTGTTACTGGGCTGGAAATTTAGCCGAGCGAAAGAAAGAATTATGTTGCTAAGCTGGTCTGGGGTGAATCTCTCGGCATTGTCAACGGCGTACTGAAAAGAAAGGAAGAGGGGGAAAGCGATGCATTCAATTCAACCGGTTCTGTGCCACATTTCTGCACGAGGCCACAAAACATCAAGCCAATGAGGCAGCCATGGCGAACCTTTGAGAGACCACGTGCCCAAAGTGCGACCCAAAACCCACTTATTTATCGCAAAGCGCCAACACTGCAATAAAACCTGAAAACTGAGGTTTTAGTTTAGAAAAAACCACTCACAGCCAGTCCAAGCAAATATATACATATACCCTTGGCAGCGCACCGACAGGCCATGCAAAAGCTCAGACGAGTGGTAGCTAATGAGCGATATCATCGCCTGGCGCCACGACTCCTTTCCGAGCATGCACATGGCCCCTATGTGCGCTCTTATCCAATGCTCAGCTTCTGGGGTGATGCTGGGGCGACCGGGCTCACGTGCTGACAGGGAGAGCTCTGCATACATGCTGTGGCACATGTGCCGGAGGTTCGCCACCACTGCAACGAGGACTCTTTGGACCAACGCATCATACTTCAACAACAGACTATTAAAACAAGGAATGGCTCCAGCCGAAACCATAAAAGATAATCATAAACCAACTGAACTTCAAAGGGTATGCTACCCCATAGAAAGCCTTGAAAAAAATCTGGAAAAACCAGAAATGTTTTGAGGGAAAAACGTTCCACCCTCCCCAATTTCTCCATGTGAGGGGAAAAAACAGGAGGAAGGAATTTTAAAGAAAAGCAGGTTTTTTCTCTCCTGCTCCCCTTTTTCTGCGTTTTCCCCCAAGCCTTTAGATCTCAGGGTCCCTTCCAAATGAGGAGGGGGGACCTGGGAAAAATGTTGGGTAGCATATGACCTCTCCAGAACCGAGGCTGAAATTCAGTACCAAATGCCAGGATGTCCCAAGGAAAGAGAGGGGGTGATCATTATGGATCCTGGCTCAAAACCCAACCCCCCCCACTGAACAGCGTTGGCGCAATCTGGCTCCCCCTGCACTCGTAGTCCCAGTACACGCACACGGCGGACTGCTCCACCTCACAGGGGTGAGGCGGAAAGTGGCAGCTTGCAAAGTGCCCAGCACAAGGAAAGCCGGGGAAAACACGTCGGGGGGCCGAGTGCAGCAGGCTGGAGCAAAGACGGGCCCACTGAGAAACAGAAGGGAGGCGGGCAGCACGCCTGGGAGACCATGAGGTCAACAGGAGTACAAAGCACGTTAGAAGTGCAAACCGGAAGCCCAAACTGCCTGCACCTCAAGGACCCAGTGCAGGCCCAGGACTGGCGGCCAGGGGGAAAAGGAAGCTGAGGATCCGAGGAAGAAGGGGGCAGGCTGGCACGGCCAGGAGCAGAGCAGGGCTGCTGGCTGAAACCACGCACGGGCACGCTGCTGCGAGGAGGCGAAGGTTCGCGGCAACATGGGCTGGAGCGCACGGCGGCCAGCTTTGAATTCCGTTTTCGTCGCCTGGGCAGAAACGCTGCCACCTGAGCCCTGATACGGCTAGACTGCACTTGGGGGGAACGGCCACCAGCACGCGGGAGCAGAAGAAACGGATCTGTGCCTGGCGCCAGGCAGGAGAGGAAGCGCATGGCAGGAGTCCTATGGCCAGCTCTTTAAAACCAAGCACCCCCTCCTCCCGAAGGAAGCGTATTTTAAGAACACGTGTTGCGCTTCCTCATTTAATGCTTCGGTTTTAGTACGCAAGCCAGCTTAAGTTATTTGCAACGATGGCCGAGCACTGGGCAGAGCTGGCAAACGGGCCCAAACGCAGCAGCTCCCGAGTCTGCCCATGTGGCCCGAAGACCACCTTGCCCGACGGTGCCCACTGCTCGGCGTTGCACACCAGGCCCAACTAGCTCCCCTTCCCGTGAGGCAGGGGTGGGACACCACAACCCCCGGAGCTCCAGCCCCCCGGAGCTCCCTAGATCGCCACACCCCCTTCTCTGGCTCCACCTCCTTTCCCCCAAACATAATTCTAGAAGGTTAACGGGCCGCTCTGAAAACTGAGCTACTGGAAAGAAGAGTTTTACTCCGCTCCCTTCTTTATATTTTTGGCTCATCCGGTTTGCTTTCGGTCGCGTCCCACCACTGGGGTGCGGCCCTGGGGAACTTCTCCAAAGCGGGATTTGGCCCTCTCCCTGCCCCACCAGCATGAGTGAGCCTCGCAAAGTGTGAGCGTCTGGCTTGCGGGTGCGGATCCGCCCGGTTCTTCGGCTCGGCTCCCTGGGCTCAAGCCGGCACTCTCTCCGCCCTAAGCCTGCCTTGTGCCAAGAGTCCGTGCGGGTGCCCGGCAGGAAGCGAGCCCCAGTGCGTCCGCGAGGCTGGCTCGTGCGCCACTCCGCAAGTGCAGCCTGGCTCCCACACAAGTGACTCGGGGGCTTTGCAGAATGTGCTTTTTGCGAAGAGTTGTGTGTCATGCACACTTTGTGCAAAGAAGCGGCTCTGATTCCCCAGTGTTCATGATCTGATCTTGGCTCGGCTCGCTGCCTGGCCAGGGTCAAGCAAGGAAGAAATCTGGCAAGCACAAGAGAGCTGACTGTCACATCCCTAAAGCCATCGAAAGCGTCAAGACAAAAGCTGGGTCCCTCACGCTGCGGAGTCACTGCATTCATGCCTCGACTCTCCCCAGACTCACCCTGCTGGGCACTGGGGGGCTTCAGCCCCGGAGCGTGGGGACCTTGCAGGCTGCCGCCTGCACACACCTGGGCTCCTCCATTCCCGTGCCACTCACCTGTGCAAATGCCTCAAAGAGAGGAACGCTGAGCCACTTCAGGTAGCTGAAGGACTTGGCACAGCGCACCACGTCACTTGGCGTCAGAGCAGGCAGGTGCGGGAGGAGCTCCGAGGCCACCTTCTGGAACACCTGGGTCTGGTGGAAGTTCAGCTTCCCTGGAGGGGAGGGGAGAGGAGAGATCGGTGGCCCCGCGTGTCACGCCACTGGGGGCCACGACCACTTTCAGCCGGGCTCAGCGGCCCCACACGCCTGCACCTTCCCCCTGAGCTACGGCGACCCCCAGCAGGGTGATCCCACGGCGAGGGAGCTGCGGACCTCCTTGCTTCTTCGGCACCCGCTGTGCAGAAAAGGCAAGCGCGAACGGCCTGGCGATGGCTGAGCAGGCCCTGCTTTCCTCTGGGCTGGGGCGGCGAAGGCCACCCGTCCCTCTCCCTTCCCAGCCTCCCCTCACTCCGCCCGAGATGCTCCCTGGGCCTGCTGCCCACACGACTCCCACCACGCCCTCCTGGTGCCGCTCAGACTCTGCCCTTCAGGACCACGGCCCTCCTGCTGCTGGAAGACTCCCTTCTTGCTCTCCTCGCCGGCAGCCGCTCCTCTTTCAACACAGAAGATCAAGTGTTTCCGCGACGATCCCCTTTCTCCTCACTGAGTGAACCCACGGCATGTTCATTCGGAAGGCTGCCCCCCGGGAGTTCCATGGGGCATAAGCGCACACATGTTTTCTGCAGTCACAGCCCTCGTGTCCAGTTCCCAAAGTTTGCTCAGGGTGCTAACACCTAGAAAAGCCTCCCCCAACCCAGCTGGGGAGGGTGGGCTTTGAACCTAAACTCAGAATCACAGAATCCTAGAATAGTTGAGCTGAAAGGGGCCATGAAGGCCATCCAGCCCAACCCCCTGCTGTTGCAGGACACCAAGTCACACCATCCCACTCAGGTGGCTGCCCAGATACTTCTTGAATGTCCCAGTGTGGGAGAGCCCCCCACCTCCCCAGGCAGCTGCTTCCACTGTTGTGTTGCTGTGAGAAAGTGAGAAAGTTCTTCCTGATGTCCAGCCCGAATCTGGGTTGTCACAACTTGAATTGATCATTCCATGTCCTGCACTGGGGCATCAGCAAGAAAAGATCTTGGCCTTCCTCTTTGTGGCAGCCTTTGAGGTCCTTCTAGAGGGATCTCGTGTCCCCCCTCAGTCTTCTCTTCTCAAGGCTGAACATCATGCCCAGTTCTCTTCTCTCCCCTCACAGGGCAGTGCTTCCAAACCCTGGTTCATTTTTGTTGCCCTCCTCTGGACCCTTCCTAATTTTTCTGCATCTTTCTCAATTCTTGGTGCCCAGACCTGGACACAGGATTCCAGATGAGCTCGAATCAGTGAAGTGTATAGAGGAACTACTACTTCTCGCAATTTGGCAGTAAAGAACTCCAGGATCTCTATCCCGGATCATCTCCTCTGCTACCTTTCCATACCCTGCAACAGCTGACCAAGCACCTCCGTGCCTCCTCACCCCGGGGGGGGGGGGGGAGCAGCCCCTCCCCATCTTCCCTCAAGCCATCCCTTCCCTGCAAGGCCTTTCCTGAATCGCAGCAAGTTTGCCTGCAGCGCTTCACCTGCCACCTGATTAAACTTCCTTGACACCCTCCCAGCGAGGCTCCTATAACCAGCCCCACCCTGTGCCACTGCCTTAGTTGGCAGGGAGCCTCGGAAAGGAAAGTGCCGCCGCCCAAGACGCCAGCTCTGCTTCCGTGCCCCTTCGGCCCTCAATGAAAGGCGGCGAGAGGGAGGGACCGGGGACGCCCTGTGACAGAGCAAAAGACCCTTCTGGATCTCTGCCGGAGCCCGAAGGGGCGACAAGAGCGCCCGGGCCTCCGACGGGCTGCGGCCACTCACCGAAGGCGAACGTCAGGTCCAGCAGCGCGCTTGGGCTCAGTGAAAACTGCTTCTGGACCAGGTGGTACGAGATTGCCCGGAGCAGCGGGATGGACCGGCGGTTCTGAAACGCCAAGGCCATGGCGACTCTGCGGGTGTCTTCAGTGGTGAACTGCTCGGCCAGCTCCAGGCTCTGTGGCAAACAGGTTGGAGAGAGAGAGCAGCTTCGGATTACGCTTCACCCTGGAAGGATACCGATGTCCATCGCTTTGCTGGGCCCGGGATGTCGAGCTAACAAGCCCTTCCACTCCCCCACCCGGGCCCATTTCTTCTGCCTTCACAATCTCGGGCATACTAAGACACGGAAACGGCCTACAATTCCCAGCATGCCTTTTTTCTGTCTAGCTGTGCACAGGAGTGCTCCTGAATTTATTTGAATCAAGTGAAATGCAACACTGACCATAACAAGTAACGAAGGATTGTGCATCAAATTCATCCACTCTAAATGGAAAATGAGACAAACAGAAGAGATTTTAAAATGCGAAATGTTTTGGCATAAAGCTTCTTCGGCCTTTGTTCCCAATCCTGACTGGGTTCAGCTCAGTTTATGAACAGCATAAAAACATATCTTATTATCAAAGCTGATACGTAGAAATGTTCCCATTTTAGGAGCTGCTTACTGTTAACATTTATCCTTTGAAAATGTATGAACTGGATGCATAATTGCTCGTTGTGGTTTGCAGTAACCCATTTGACACAACCAAGCACACATTTTTTTCAACGGTTACTGCTGGTTTTACATGAAAGGGCCTATACAGATTTTATAAATCAATACACAAAGGTTACTCCTTCTGGCTATTCACTCCACACAAAATTCAGACACAGAATCATAGAACAGCAAAGTTGGAAGAGGCCAGGTGGCTGTCGGGTCCAACTCCCGGCCACTGCAGGGCACCAGGCTGCACTATCCCGTTCAGGCGTCTGTCCAGACATGTTGCAATCATCTCCAGTGAGGGAAAGCCTGCAACTGCCCCAGGTGTGCTGCTGTCAGGAAACTCTTCCTGGTGTCTAGTCTAAACCTGGTTGCTTTTAACTTAAGGCTGTCATCCCGTGTCCTGTACTCTGGAATGAACAAGAATCGGTCTTGTCCTTTCTCTTTCTGACAGCCTTTTAAGAACTTGCGGAGCGCTGTCAAATCCCCTTTAGTCTTCTCTTCTTGAGGCTCAACGTACCCAGCTCTTTCCTTCTCTCATGGGCCTTTGTCTTCAGTCCCTGAACCATCCTTGTTGCCCTCCTCTGTACCCTTTCTAGCCTTTTTGAAACTTTTAAAAACTTTGGTGCCCAGAACAGTGCTCCAGGTGAGGTCTGACCAGGGCTGAGCATAGGGGAACGAATATGGAATATTCGATGAGCAGAATATGGACTTCACGTGTCATGGAAGTGACACTTCTGTTAATGCAGCCCCAAACAGTGTTTGCCCTTTTCGCAGCTGCATCCCATTGCTGGCTCATATTTAGCTTGTGATCTACAACAGTCCCAAGATCCTTCTCATGTTGAGCCAAGTGCCCCATTTGGTAGCGGTACATTTGGTTTCTTGTCCCCAAGTGGAGGGCTTGGCATTTGTTCCGACTGAATTGCACTGCCGTTCTCTACCCAGCATTCTAACCTATTGAGGTCATGATGGATTTTACCTCAGTCTTCCCGGGTATTTGCTATTCCACCCACCTTTGTCTCATCTGCAAATTTAATTACCTTTCCTTGTACTTTCAAAATGATTAATCTAAATGTTGAAGAGCACTGGGCCCAGGACTGGCCCCTGCAGCACCCCACCGGTTCCCTCTCCCCAGTCGGAGCAGGTGCCATCGATGAGCACTCTGTGTCCAGTTTGGCAGCCAACTGTAGACCCACCTAATAGTTGCACTATCTAGCCCACTTTTCGCTAGCTTGCTGATCAGGATGTCAGGGGACACTTTGCTGAAGGCTTTGAAAAAGGCCAGAATATGTCCACAGCATTCTCAGTCCATCTGGGAGGCTACCCAGTCAAAAAGTGGAATTAGATTAGTAGTCTGGCAGGATTTGTTCTTGCAAAATCCATGCTGGCTCTTCGTAATTCCTGCATTGCCTTCAAGGTGTTGGCAGGCTGTTTTATCACTTGCTCTAGAATTTTTCCAGGGGTTGATGTCAGGCTGACTGCTCTGTAGCTCCCAGGTGTCTTTTTCCTCTTTCTGGTAGAAAGGAGCGTCACGGGCCCTTCTCCAGTCACCTGGCATGTCTCCTGGCTTCCAGGAATTCCCAAAGATGACAGACAGTGGTTCTGCGGGTCATTCTCCTGCTATAAGAGACCTTTATCTCTATTTAACACCGGCCAGTAAACTGCGTTTATTGCCCTGCTGAGCATACGATGGAGAAAGGGCCTTGCTGAATGCTGACCTTCGCTGGAGCACATGTCTCCACACGGGGATCTCTGGAGAACACGACCTCACGTAGCAGAGCTGTTGCAACCCTTGTCCTCCAAGAACTGAGGGAAGAAGCAGCCTGCCCGTGTCCTAAGGAACATAACTGAACTCCGCAGCAGGGGAAGAACCTCAGTGTCCAAGGCCTCTTGGGGCCATGTGCCAGTGGTGAGCATGCTGAAGTTCATGGGCAAAAACGTCCACATATTTTAGCTCACCGCTGATAATCAAGCCTTGGGAGAGCCAGTTCGACCTTTTCCCAAGACAGGGGATGCAGGCGCAGCCATCCGGAGAACCTCAGGAGGCCAAACTGGAATGCTGATGGGCCCAAGGTCCAACATCCTGGAATGCTTCAACTGGGCTCAAGAGAAACTGTCCCTCCCCAAGTCAGAAAGGAAATAACAAATAGATCAGAGGAATGGGAGTCCCCTTCAGAAGCTTTGGGCTACTGCTTCCATCTGCACCAGAGATGCAAGGGGCTGGAGTCCAACACCTCTGAAAGGCTCCGGGTCAGAGAAGGGAGGCTTGGGCGACCCTCCTTCAGGAACCTGGCTTTACTTCCCCTGAGGCAAATGCCTCATGGCAGCAGCTGTCACAGCGCTTCAGAGTCAAACTGCAACAGCCTGGCGCGTCCCTCCACAGCTCCAGGGCCAGGTGGCTCGGCGATACCCCAGGAGAGCTCGCGCAGGCAGCTCCTGCAGGCAGGGACGGGCTCCACGTCCTCCTGAGCCGGGCAGCCCGGCCCTTGGAGGGTCACCCAGAACGTGCTGTGCTGGGCCGCAGCCAAGGCGGAGCCGAGCAACGGGGATGGCAAGCATGGCTGCCCTGGCTCAGGGGCAGTGCAGGAGGAGAGCAAGGAGACGGGGGCAGACAGACCAAGCCCCCCACGAAATAATCCGCATTTAAGGGCTGAACCACACAACAGTTGGAAAGCCTGCGCGCCTGTTCCCTCCAGTCCCGCAGCTTGCGTTGGAGTCCTTGATCTGTCGTCAGCTGCCTCCTTGAGGTGCAGCGGGACAGGAAGATACAGAGCACGTGCACCCGAGTCTGCAGCCAAACAGCCCTCAGAGCACACCAAGGACTGTGACTGCTTTGACCCAGACTCTAGCATGGGAAAGGTCAGAGCTGAATCTGACCTGGCTGCAGAGGCTTTTGCGGATGCCTAAACCCGAAAAGTCAGGCCTGTCTCTGGCTCTTTAAAATGCTGGCACCGCTTGGCATGAAAATCCAGCAGCCTGGAACGTTTCTCATCAGTCGCTGCATCTGCAGGCAAGAGGCAGCAATGAAGCTGTCCGACATGCTTTGATGTCAGGCAGAGAAGGGACGGTGGCCATCCAGACAGGAAGGCACATTACAACTTGGTGATTTCTTAGCGCCTGTGTGTGCTGAACGCACGTGTTACAATAGCACGGGTTTGCAATAGCACAGGTTTGCAATCTACAGAAGCCGGCCACATCTTCTGTGCTCTGGTTCAGACCGTCTTCAAGGGGGATTCCACTGTTTCTACCTGAGCCCAGCTGGCTGGGAAGCCCCTTCTGCAAGGTGTAAGAGAACCGCTGCTAAATGTTTTTGGAAGTCTAGTTAGCCTTGGATATTTTTACAATAATAAATAATCTCCTTCTTAGTAAACCTAGAATTAGGTTTAGTAAACCTAGTCGGAATCCCAGAAACCGACTGCCCATGACTGGGGCAACGCTTGAGACTGCCTCCCCAACCCGCCCCCGTGCCGTAAAGACTAAAGCCCCGAGGAAGGTCCGTGCAGGGCTACAGAGGTCTGGCTGCCCAGCGAGACGGGACAGGAGGAGATCCCCAAGCGAGGGACTCGGAGCTGCCCCAGGTCCAGCCAGTACCTTGTCCTCCAGGCGCTCCATCAGGGCTGGTGAGAAGGGCCCCACTTTGCTCATCAGGGTCACCACCGTCCTGGTGTCCTCGATCTCCGCCCAACGCAGCTCCAGGTGCTTCAACAGGTCCCCCAGCAGCTCGCTCTGCTTGCCCTGCTGGGCATGGCTGACAATGTGATCTGCCAGGGAGACGAGGTGCTGGAAGGGCAGGCGCCGGATCCGCCAGCGCACTTCCTGCTCGACCGACAGCAGCTCCAGCTTGCTCTGTTCCAGCCCCAGCAAGTACAGGCTCTTCAGCACGTTCACCAGGGCCCTGCTCCACACCTGAGAGACCTGGACAGAAGACAGGGAGCAGAGGCACGTGCCTCAGCGCGAGGACCGGGGTGTGGGGAGGGCCCCAGCCCGTCCAGGTGGCCAATTGGGCCCCCTCGCAGGTGATTTGGGGGGTTCGGCCACATGCCTCCTGTGCCCAGCTGCCCCCATTCTGCACGTGGCCAAGATGGCAGTTGGCTCAAGCCAAGGCAGGCCTGCTTGGGATGCTCCAGGTGCTTGGCCTACAGGTCCCATCACCCTGCACCTCCGAGCAGGCTGACTAGGGTGACAGGAGCTGTTTCAGCCCACATCTGTTCTACGAGTGTACTTAGAAATACAGAAACAAAGCTAGTCAGAAGGGACCTTCCAGGCCACCTAGTCTGACCCCGGCTGCAGTCAGCTCCGCTCATGTCATCCCCAACACGTGGTTGTCCGACCTTGTATTCAACACAACTGCACAGCCCGAGTGTCCAAATTCAGGGCTGCCTTGACTGCCAGGGGCCTTGGGCCAAACGCCTCCTGTGTCCCCGCGAACCCTTCCTCTGCCTCTAGGCCCAGAGGCAAGCAAGAGACTCTGCCCCTCCCATTGCTCGCTCTTGCCAGGCACGGGGCAGGCAGCGGCCCCCCAGAACTCACCTGCTTGTGTATGACCTGAAGCAGCTGCTGGAAGCGGGCATCCTCCACAACCTTGCCAGGGTCTAGCTGTTGCTCTGCCACAATCCAGGAGAGCCGAATGACCATCCGGGCTGCCTGGTTCGTGTTCACAGAATACACATCCACTAAATGCAGGAGGTCCTCCGGGGCGGCAGACGTGTCAATGAGGTCCTCCAGCTTCGCGTGCTCCGTGGGCATCTGGACTGCCTGCTCCATGGGGCAGAGCTTGTCCGTCTGCCTCAAGAGGCTGCAAGTGGCCAGTGGGGCCAGAGGGGCCAGAAGCGGCATTCTGGGGCTCAGCTTCTTGCTTCTCGAGAACGCCCGGGCTGCTCGAACGCACGGCGGTGAGACCCTGTGGAGCGGACACCAACGGAACAGCAGCTTGGCTGCCATTTTATGCCTAGACGCGTGGGCAGCAGGGCGGATGGAAAAGGGGAGGACCACTGGGCTGGCTTCAACTCATCTCCAAGGATCTGCATCAGAGAGGAAAGAGACATCGTATCTCAGGAGGCTCATTTCAAAGTCCAGGGAAGTACAAGTGCACCTATATATGATGCTAAAAGGGCCAATTTGGGAGTAATTTAAGGAGTGGAGGAGCAGCCCTGCTGGGTTGCAGCAAGAATCCACCGAGTCACAAGGTCCTCCTTCTGTTCCCACAACCAGCCGCCCTCATGGGAAACCTCAAGCAGGACACGAGCGCAGCAGAAGCCCCCGCCCCCACTGGCCCACCTCCTTCCTCAACTGCCACCACTGAAAGCTGTTCCCATGGGCTTCACAGAGAGAGGTGAGAGAGGAAATAAGGCCATTGCACAAAGACCACCGAAAGATAGTTCACCTTTTCACAGAAGCCATCAGGCAGGTGTCCTAGTAAAATCGCCCATACTAAACTGTTGATCCAAGTGTTACCCCAATATGAAGACTCTACAAGTCCCAGCAGTCCCCTACTCGGCCCTAACGCTGCAGTCCTGCCCCTGGTTACAACACCCATTGAAATCAGTGGGAATTCAGACCCTTTGCTGTGAACTCACTAGGCAGGCTCAGGTTTCTCACTTCCTGGTGTCTCAGCCTCACCCATTCTTACAGTGTTATTACAGTAGATATTCATTCATCTATTTATTAGGCTTCTATTCCATTTTCTTTTTTTAAAAACTCAAAGTAGCTTCTGCTGCTCTCAGTCTAATCCCTAAAACAACACCCCTGTGAGGTAGGTTGGGCTGAGAGTCTGTGACTGGCCCAAAGTCACCCTGTTGGCACCATGGCTGAGCAGGGACTCGGACCTGGGTCTCCTGCGTCCCAGGCCCGTGCTCTTTACCACAACACCACACTGACTCACTAACATATTGTAACAAGAAACACTTTATAACATTTTAGAACTGCACTCTACTTTAAAATAAAAAAGCACTTGATTTGTCCACGGCTGGCACAGGTGGTGGCAGTAGCAGGAAATCAGGGTGGATAAAAATCAATGATGAATTTTTAAAAATGTAATCAATTTTTTTAAGAAAATGCTTTTTTGAGGAAAGATCTATCTAAAGAGAGTTTTCTATTTCAGATACATTATACTCCAAAGGTTATCCATCATGAAATAAGGATTAGTTTTTAAGTACGTAGCATGAGGCTGCATATCCATGCAATGTTTAAAATTTTTGGTACATGAATTCCATTTACAATGTCATGTTCTTCCAGAGATTTCTGTAAGATTATTTTTATCTAAAAGATATTATCACAGATGATAATACAGTTTACAGTTCTCACAGCTGTGAATGTGTGTCTGCAGAGATCACATGCCCTTTCTTCACAGCAAAAATGTTCTAAAACATACAGAGCTGAGAAAAAGACCCTAACGCCATCGTTCCTTTGCAAACCAATGTACACAGAAACAAGCCCTTATCTCTTAAGTGCCAAGTTTCAAAAAGTTCAGAGAATAGAAGAGGACTGTTGAGAGTAGAAAAGATCTGCACAAGAAGCTGAGTGTGAGGAGGCAAGCAATAAAAATTAAAGTGAAACCTTTTGAGCAGAATACTCCACAAGTCTTTGGATCTTTGTGTGTACATCCTGAGGTTTATATTATTCTTTCCCTGGAGGAGAAAATCTATGAAGGCAGCAGGCTGTAAGAGACCCAGTTTGGAAATATTTTAATGAAAGTCTTCTACCTACAGGTAAGGCAGGCATGCACACAAATTATGTAAAAAACCATGATTTAAATGTAGGTCTTACTTGCAAATTCAACCTGCAGGGAATTGAGTCAAGCTTTATTATTTTAAATAATTAGGACTTCCCTGGATATTCCTCAGTCAGAGGCAACAGTAGTGCTGAAAACCACGATGAGCAGAAAAGCAGCTCCGCTGGACCAGACCCAGGGTCCATCCTGGCCGGCCTTCCGTTCCCACAGAGACCCACGTGAAACCCAGAACAGGCCATGAGTGTAGCAGGCCCCCTTCCCATGTTCCCCAGCAAGTAGTGCATACAGGCAGACTCCCTCGCATACTGGAGGCGGCAAACAGCCAGGACCAGTGGCCACTGCCTGCTTGATCCTCCAGGAAGAGCCCCGCTGGAGCAGACCAGCGCCCGTCCCCCTCGCACCGTGCCCGCCAGCCGCCCGGGGGGGGAACCAAACGTTGCGGGGCAGGAGAGCAGCGCCACTGCAATGAATGGGGCTCAGGCTACGCATGGGACACGGCTGCCTGGGGCGATGGGAGCTGTAGTCCGCCGCTTCCCAGGGCAGCGACGAGGAGCGGCCGCGCGAGAGCCAGGGGCCCGAGCGGGGCAGCGCTTCCCCGTGAGCGGGCGGACGGGCGGGCGGGCCGGCGAGCAACCCCCCCTCGGCCTCCCCTCCCCGAATTCCTCGCCCCCCATCCCCATCCCCGCCCCGAGCGGGCGGCGGAGCCTCCCTCCCCCTCCAGGCCCTCACCGACCGACGGAGCCGCCGCCGAGCCTCGGCCTGCAGCCTGACCTCGAGCGGCGCCACACCAAGCGCCCAAGTGCGAGGCAGCCGCGTCGCGGGACGATGGCGTCACCATCCCGCGCGGCACGCTACGGCCTCGCCATAGACTTTGAAGTAGACGGACACGCAGCGCCAGCTTCCGGCTTGAAACTGCCTTTCCTTCTCCGTGAAGACAGGTATGGCTGGATCTAAAGGACCACAAACCTACGCATTCTACCCTGCGGAGAAACCCATAAGGCTCCAACTTCCGAGTTCAATCATGCTCAAGATTTTTTTTAAGGTTTCACGCTATTTTTTTGCGGGTTGGTTGATGGGGGTGTGAGGCCAGGGGTGCTCAGTTGACCTCTGAGCTTTTGCCACGGCTTACTATGGGCACAGCTCCCCAGGGCACCCCGAGGTCAGTTCTCCAAGAAGAACCTTGCATTCAATGCAAAATCCGTGGCTGAATGGTGTTTTCCCTGCCACCCTGCTTGATGAAGAGATCTGCAGAACTCCAAGGCCACACAGTTTGGCGACCTTTAAGAAACGACTCCAGGCCTTTTCGATAGAAAAAAAAAAATCCTCCCATAATTCCCAGGAGTTGCCAGACTTCTTTTGTCGGTCTCAACAAGCCTGGGGCAATGCCTTCAAGCTGACCTCATACATACATTGATCGCCCTCTGATGGAGTTTGAAATTTTTCTGGGGACCACCATAGGTGCTTCTGCAATCCCATTCGACGCAGTTTGCATGGGAAAAATCAGCGGCTGGGTACCACTGCAAGCCCTGGTGTGCAGTCATGTCAAGGCATTTCTCTTTTGCATGACCTGAATCGTAAGAGTCCTGCTGAATCAGGCCAAGCGTCCGTCCATCTGGCATTCTGTTTGCAGCCAGCTGCTGCAAAGTATCTAAATTTGCTCTCAATGGTCACTGACTGGGCCTTATGCTCAGGGCAGGGAGCTTGGTGCCCCTCACTAGGATTTCTAATAAATATGTACGCATGACATGTGTTTCATTTCCTATTTTCCGATTGTGCATCTATCACTTTTCCAACTGCTTGCGTAAAAAATATGCTACAGGACTGCATTATTCAAATGAATCACACATCAATGCTTGTCTTATCTGGAGGGAGTTCAGTAGCTCCTATCCTCTACAGGCCTCAACTGTCTGTTTAGGACAGCCATCATCTTGCTAGTAATATTTTCTTACATTTATATCCAGATTTTCCTCCAAAAAGCCAGGTATACAGTCTGCCTCCTCTCTGTTTTTATCTGCACAACATCCCTGTGAGGTTGGTTAGGCCAAGACTTGGTGGCTTTTCAGAAGTCATCCTGTGAGTTTCATGGCAAAGTAGGGACTCTCCCCAATCTTAGTCCAACACTCTAACCACTAGGCGACACTGACCTTAGATAGCAAGGAAGGTAGAGTTTTGGGTGTCTTTGCTCCACTATTACTGGAATGGTTTTAGGTCTGCTTGTTTTGAAGCCACAGTCTTGAGTTCGCAAGAGTTGGGCAGGGCTGACAAGAGCAGCACATTTTGGAAGGTTTCAGATGGCAAAAAACAGGTCATTGGGTTTGGGGAAGAGAACCGCTGCTGTACTTCATGCATATTGGCTCATTTCCGATGAGTAACGGTTTCATGCCACTGATGAAGAAATTAATCTACCAGCAAATGTGGCATCAAAAACAAGCAAGAAGTTTCAATTTGATCTGGACGATGTAGTCTAGCCAAAGCGACTACAGAGCTAAAAGAAAGCCAAGTGCGGGCAACTTTAGTCCTCCGGGTGATTGTTACTCCCATCAACTCTACTAGCATAGCCAATGGGGAAGGATGATGGGGGTTGTAAGCCCAACATCTGATGGGCTGCGAGTTGCCGACCCTAGCCTACAAATTCAGCCTTCCACAATTGGGTGCCCCTCCAGCTGAGTCTCAACTTTGGTTTGTAAAGCCATGCTGACTGGGGCTGATGGCAGTTGGAGTCCAACATTTATGGAGGACTCCTATGGTGGGGCAAGGCTCTCACTGAGGCTTGTAACACAACTTGCCCACGGGACACTGGTGAGGGGCATGCTGGCTGGGGATGATGGGAGTTGTGGGCCAACAAATCAGAGGAACACATGGTGCCATCTGGAGCTGTTGAAAATTGTAGTCCAACACATCCAGGGAAGCCTGGTTTGGGGTGGGAGGTTATGGAGCTAGGTCAGCTGGGAGTTAATTGACATTGCGATGTAACACATCCAGGGGAGGCCTGAAGAGTGAGGGTAAGCTGTGCTGCCTGGGGATGATGGGGGTTGCAGTCGATACATCTGGGGCACCTGTTGGGCTGATGGGAGTTGTAATCCAACCCATCCAGGGGTCACCTGGTGGGGAGAAAGCTATTAAACTGGGGCTGCTGGGACTTGTCGTCCAACATATTCTGGGAACAATTGTTGGGTAAAAGCAGGCTGCTAAGCCACGCCGGCTGGGGACGATGAGGGGCCGAATTTGCTGAGGCTGATGGGAACCGCAGTCCATCCCGTTCGGGGGGGGCGGGGGGAAACGGGGACGGCTGGCGAGGGCTGCTGGGAGTCGTAGTCCAGCCTGCCCGGGGAAGAGCCGCACTTGACGTCACCCGCGGCGGAAGTGCCCGCCCCTTCCGGCCGCCCCGCGCTGCTTCCGGCCTGGCTGCGCCGCGCGCGGGGGAGGAGGCGGCGCCGGCGGAGAGGGAGCAGCAGCGCCGCCTGCGCGGGATGGAGCGGCGCGGAGCGGTGCCGGTGCGTGTCCGGGCCCGGGCGCGGGGCCAGGTCCAGGCCTTGTCCTGGCGGCGGCCGGGGAGATCGGGCCGGGCAGCCCCGCTGGCCCGGGGCCCTCCGGGGGGCCCTCGGGGGCACGGGCTGCGGGTCCCGGCCGGCCGGGAGCGGCCACCTCGGCCAGTGCGTGGCGGCAGGGCGGGAGCGGCTCCGAGTGCGGGGGGCCGCTTTCGGGGCGCGGGGCGCCCGACGTTTTCCCCGAGAGGACGCGGGGACGCCAAAGGGCGCCCCCGGTTGCCTCCAGGCCCGTGGCCAGCCTGAGCGCTCAGCCGAGGCTGTCGGCAGAGTCGGGTCGTTCTCCGGCTTGATCCCCGAATTTACCCGTGAGAAAGCGGGGGAGGTAGCATGGGGGGCGCCCGCCAGGTCGCGCCTGCTGTGGCTGCTGTCCCGTGTAAGCCCCCCTTCGAGTGGACCGCACTGCCTCGGCTTAGCCTGCTCTGGCTTGTTGAGGGGGAAGCCCAGAGGGGTTAGTCAGCCCCCCTGGGCTACTGCAGCAAAACCTTTTGCTTCCCACCTCTATCGCTTAAGAGTTAACCACTCAAATGTCGGAGGCTTAAGGCAGACTGATATTTCATTTGGCTTTCGAGGCTTGTACTTGCAACAGTTGATGGCAACTTAACGTTGATGTGATGCAGAACCTTTCCATTCCTGGTATGCTTGTTTTTCTCCCTTCCAGCTTTTCATCCTAGGGTCAGAGCTCCGCCTCTGAGTGGTAGAGAAATGAAATAATAATGATACTGAAATGTGCTGGTTTTAAATGGTGGCCACTTGGGCTCATTGAACTAGTCCTGTCAGGGTGTCATCCCATGCATCCTTGGAGGGGCAAAAGTCAGCCTGGGTGGCTAGGGAATGCTGGAAGATGAAGGTCATTTCTGTCTAAACATGCGAAGGATTGCAATTGCTTTGCTGCTTTTGACCAATCAAGAAAATGTAGTGCTGTTTTTCCCCTGCTTTACTGCCCTGTTACTTCTCATTTGAAGAGTAGATAAACCGCTTAGATTTTTGTAGTTGTGATTTGAGTATTCAGGAAGACAGGGCCAGTGAGACTGCTCGGCTTCAGACTTTGTAAGGCAGAAGGGAGTTGCTTTTTCTTGCCTGTACGTGAGCTGTATATTCGGGTCCGTGTTGCTTCGGAGTTGTAGATCTGTACCTACGTGGCAACATGTGGGAGTGGGTTGTTGTGGGCTGAACTCTGTGACTTTTCACTTTAATCATTACGTTTTCATCTCCTCCTTCGTCAAAGTTGTGCACATCGTTTCCTACCGCATTTTCTCCTTGTAAGCATCTTAGAGATAGGTGAGACAGAAACTGTGTGTGCCTACTGCGGCCACTGTGGAAAAAACAAGCCCCATGTTGGACATAATTAGGAACGGAAAATAAAGCTGCCATTCTGGTGTGACTGCATTTACCATCTTGTGTGCAGCGTTGGCCAGAATGGGTGAAAATGCAGAAGCGGGCAAGGAGACTGATCAAGGGGCTGGAGGAACTTTCTTGTAAGGAGAGGGTATGGCCCATGGGACTGTTCTACACAGAGCATGGGGAGGCATGAGGGAGGGGTGCATGATTGTGCATGGTGCACAGAAGGAGACAGAGAAGGTCTCCGAGCTGATGGAGGGGAGACCCGGGACAGATGAAAGAGCAAGTCCTGCTGCAGTGCATGAAGCATGGATTGACCTGCACAAGGTGTCGTGATGCGCGCCCACTTGGATGCCTTTAGCAGGGGGCTGGGCAGGTTGAGACGACCTCCCGTATCAGTGGCAGTGAGGCTGCAGACACCAGTTCCTGGGGAGCATGGTTGCAAGGGTGCTCTTGTGCATGGGTCCTGCTTGTGGGTTCCCATTGGACACTGTCAAGAGAAGACCTCGAGTAGATGGCTTTTGGTCTGGTCCAGCAGAGCTTCTCTCATGAGAATCTGAAGCAAGTTATCGCTGGCCTCAACTCGTCCAGTACTCAGACCAGCATCAGCATAACGTGCATTGCAAATGATACCCCACTTTGAAACACAGGAGGAAATACTACTGCTAGTAACTGCTTAGAGACCTTCCTTTATTGATGAGACTATAAAATATAATAAATTAAGGAAGCAATGTACAGTCTGAACCAAAGAGCCGTGTGCAGAGGCGAAATACTAAAAGGTTGCTCTCGTCTGTGTGTGTGTGTGTGTGTGTGTGTGTGGCAGGGGTGGGCAATTTCCACCTCTCCAGACATCTTGGACTGCAACTCTCCTCAGCCCTAGCTAACATAGCTATGTGTGAGGGCTGCTGGGAGTTGTAGGCCATAGCAAGTTGTCCATGCCTGGTACAGGGCATAAAAGAGGGGAGGGCCTTCTGGATCAGACCGAAGGCCAGTGGAGTCCGGCGTTCTGCTCGCCCAGGGGACCACCAAACACTCAAGGGCTCCAAAGCAGGATGCAGTGCCATGGTAGCCTCCTGCCCATGTTGGTCTGGGCACAGACAAGCACGGGCAGTGTCAGAGGGGTCTTGTTGCCTCGCTGTTAGTGGCATTTATATTTTGTTTTGTGAGCAAGGTAGATAGTGGAATCCTTGGCTTTCCTTCAGGATTTCCACCTTTACTTCTATAAAGTAGCACTAGAAGGACAGAGACCGGAACTCCCTATTCTTCGGCTGTTTACTATTGCATCTTCCACTGTCAGACCCACTGCACTTGCAGAATTCAGGAAGATATTGTGAAACATGCAGTGGGTGATGCAAGCTTTGGTTTGAGGTTTTCTTGGGTGCAATTTTTCTGTGAAAAAGGAACTAGCCACCAGCTGAGGTTGCACTGTTGGTGGAACCGTTTGGAAATGATAGCCGAGAACTCCACAAGTCCAGGTGTACTCCTACGGCTGCTAGACGCTGGCTGGAAGGTCACAGCGTAGGCAGAGTCTCACTTCCAACCTCAAAAGTGCTCCAAAGTCAGAGCACAAACTCGGACGGTGCAGCGCCCTCGTGGCTGTCGCAGTCCTTTCCATTCCAGTGGCAGCTCTGAAATCGCCAGTGTGACTTTGGGGCTCTTGCTGGGGTTGGGGGCATTCTGGGAGGAGGCATGAGGCATCTGTAGGGTGCGGGGATCCCAGCACTGCCTCAGCTCCTTGCCGGCAGGGGGCAAAAGGCAAAGGTGGCTGAAACTGAACTGCCCCAGAGCCCTGGCTGTGGGGTGGTATAGAATAATAAATCGATAATAGGCTGCCTGTGTGTTTTTCAGCTTGGGAGAAGCACAGCGGTCTTCTTGCCTCCGTGTTCTCTTGGCTGTTTGCAATTCCCCATGTTTGGAGGGTTATGGGCAGCCACGTGGGACGAAACCCTAATTTGATTTGATTTTATGCCACTTTACCCAAAAAATGAGCTGTGCACAAAGTTAAAATTTACATTGACAGTATGATCAAATGCAGTGAGCATCAGAGCATAAAAATGAGAGGGATAAAACAGCTCACCATCTAGCCAAAAATCATGCAAGCAACATTAATTCCATTAAAAATGCCTGTGCAAATAAACATGTTTCTGCTCTGCCCGAAGGCCTGGGTGCAGAACACTGGTTTGTCTGTTTTGATTTGCAAATTGCCTTGTGTCCGAGGTGGAGTGGCGCATCAGAGGAATTTCTGTCTGACCCTGAATGCGTGCTGCATTTCAGAGACGCAGCGCAAGGTTTGGGAGGGGTTCCCCCCACCCTTTTGGGCAGGGCCATGTCCCCATGGTGAAGACGTTTCGAGTGGCCACGCCAATCTCTCTGGGAATGGTAGGGTTTGCTGCTTTCATCTCGGTTCAGCAGCTGCGGGCATGTATGGGCCGTGAATGGGGGAGCTGCTTACAGCAGCGGTGCAGGACCTCCAGGCTGCGGGCCCAGTCTGGCCTGCAGAGGCGCCCCCTCCAGCTTGCTCGGGGCTCTGCCTGCTCAGGCCACACCCCCTCCTTAAGCCCCACCCCTGTCAGGACAGGGAGGAGAGCCTGACAGGCGTGATGCAGGCTCAGCTGTCCTGCGCCTGAGGCTCCCCTGACTGGGAAAGGCTGCTGGGAGGTCCGTCCAGCAGTTCCACAGAAGGGCAGATCAGGTGGGTGTTGCAAAGCCAGGCTCCTCCGAAAGAGGATTCTGCGGGATTCTTCCATCAGCCCACCTGGTGGGTTTTGAATTCCGTAGCTGGCCTTCGGACGTGTGTCCTTGATCGGTAGCTTTCAGAGCCATAATTGTTGGGAGCTGTTTCTTTGACCCCTTTGCCTTTCCACTGGAGAAACTGAGTGGAGTCTCAGGAATTGTTGTCACGAGGCAGTGCTGTGCTCATGAGCGGTACGTTCCTGGAAGGGACCTTGCCTCCCTCCGCATCGGGCTTTTCGTTCATGACTGCGCTACCTCTGCGTGGTGGATGCTTGCAGCGTTACGGTTCGTAAGCCCCGGGCGGGGAGGGAAATGCTGCTGGGGTCCAGGAGGTGACCAGAGAGAAATCAAAGCGCAAAATAGAACCAAATGTATAAGAACTCAAAACGACAGAAAGAAGAGAAATGGTGCGTGTGCACCAGTGATGTTGTGGTATTCAGAAGGCTCCGAGTTGGGAAGCGAGCGAGGGTGGGCTGCAGGTCAGAAAGCTCACTTAGCTCCAGAAAGGCCTGGCCTGAGACCGCTGGGTCTTGGGCCTGGGGAGGCCTTCACAGAGAGCTGCTTTTGCGCAAGGCGACGATTGTCTATTCATGTTCAGGAAGTTCCGCCACAGAAGCTGCATTTTGTGCAACTGGGAGGCCTCTGACCGTTTCCACAGAGGCTGTCTTAATTCTTTGTGGAGCCCATACGGAAGTGCCCTAGGATGAAAACCCTCATGGGAGTTTGTCATGAAAGTGGATCGGTTCTCCAGTAACTACTGGGTTTAACTCAAAGGCTGTGCAAGATCCCTGCCATGTTGCAGAGCAGCAGAAGTTAAAACCATGCTCCAGGGAGCCTTGTGGTGCCTCCATGAGATAGAGAGCCAGTGTGGTGTAGTGGTTAGAGCCTGGGACTCTGGGACTCAGGTGACCTGGGTTCGAGTCCCCGCTCAGCCATGGAGCCAGCTGGGTGACTTTGGGCCAGTCAGACTCTCAGCCCAACCCGCCTCACAGGGCTGTTGTGGTGGGGATAAGATGGAGGAGGAGAAGGATGTAAGCTGCCTTGAGCCCTTGGTAGGAAAACGGCAGGATATAAATCGAAAAATAAATAAATAAAATGGGCTGCCTGCTGCGGTTCGTTCTGCAGGGCACGCAGTGAGGCCCAGTGGGACCGGTGCCGCGACGCACCCGAGCATGCTCCCCCAACATACCAAGCACGCTGGCAGGCCGTCGATGTGGGAAAGAGGCCCAGCGGCCCACAGCTGAGGCTTCCAGGTGCCCTGTGCTGCTGAGGCCCTGCGAGGCTCTGAGCTGAGTGGCCCTGGGAGGTGCCGGGACCCCATGGCAGCTCCATGTCGGAGGAGACACTCGATGATGGGGAACAAGCGGTCCTTTGGGCATGCGTAACTTTCTGCAGGACGCTGTTTATGTGAGGCTCAGGGTCCTTAATTCAGCCGTACGACTCACTGATGTGTGTGCGTGCCCAGTCGAGGCGTGTGTCCCGCATCCATGGTATTGTGTGTCGGGCAAACCTTGTCTGCAGCAGAAACTTCCTTTGAGCAAAGAGGGAGAGGTCAGAGTGGGAACACTCTCTAGGTTTCCTAAAGATTTTGGGGGAGGGCAAGGATTTGGGCCACCGGGAAACTGCACGGGAGGAAATATCAAGGAAGTTTTTCAGCCAAGGAGCACCTGAGCGCCATTGGGCAGGTGTCAAACCAGCTTTTCCTGCACGTTCAACCATCAAGGTGTGCGCTTCTCATCTTTGGAAATCCTGCTTTCAGGCCTTGTAGAGCTGGAGCGGCAGGTTGGGTGGAGCCGTGAACCAGGATCTTCAGCGTGCGTCTCTTCCTCCTCACAACTCGAAGGTAATGAGCGCTTTCCACAGCTCCCATAGGTTTCTGCTGAACACCTGGGAATCTGCACGCGGGATGGGCTTTTCTCAACAGGAGCCATCCCTGTTGTTGTTGTTGTTGTTGTTGTTGTTGTTGTTGTTGTTCCCTTTGGACAATGAGGCCAAGCGCGGTCTTTGAAGTTGAGTAGTGGCACAAAAAATTAGCAGGGTTGGGCTTCTGAATCAGATGTTCTGGCTTCTGAATTCTTCCAACACCTCTTAGACTACAGGGTGATTTTCCTTCTTTGGTCCTGAAGGTGGAATGCGATTAAATTATTCGGCAGATTTCTGGATACATTTTTTTTTTTGTTCTCTGGTGAGTTATCCAAGGCTCCAGCAGCTAAGGTGGGGTCGCAGTACCTACAAACACGGACATTTTAGCCGTTGGAGCAGCCCCAGAGCTACCAGCACAGGTAACACCTGAGGCCTGGGTGACCCCATCATCGCTCCAGGGCTTTTATCCCTTTCCTTTCTAGGAGCTGTAAAGTTTCAAGCAGCCCAGGTAAGAAGATGCTCTGCTTCCTAAGGAACAAAACAGGGCTGCCAGGGAGCGGTCCTAGCGGACAGTGTCCTGCTGTTCCTCCTTTTATGCTCACTCTGGATCCTTCACGGAACTGCAGTAGAAACGCTGAAGGCTGCCTTTGCAACCTAGCGCCCGCCAGAGCGGTTGGACCACAGCTTCCATGCTGGCTGGGAATTCTGGGCATTGTGCTCCAGCACCTCTGAAGAGCACCAGGCTGGAGAAGAGGGTCTTGGGGCCAAGGAGTGAGCAGCTGCTTCACACACTCCTCATCCCCGAGACCCCTCAGCCACAACCCGCTTTCTTCACTCAGTTCTTTCAGCTGTGTCCCTCCATCTTGGCGCTTTTTGTTCAGAGAAAGGTGGGATGGAAATAGAGCTACCTCCTTTTTTAAAAAAATCTAAAAGAGGATTGGATAATGCTGGTTTCTCTATGATAGCTTTCGCCTGCAGTGTTCCACCCCTCAAATCTATTTGTGTTCCTAACCGCTGCTTGAAGAGGGAGGTGTGTCGTCCCCGGCAGGCTGCCATGTCCCATGTTACATGGCATGGTCTTCTGAAGAACCCTGCAAACTTTGAAGCAGCTTTTTAGGGCTGCGGTCTGTGCGGAGCAGCGACTCCTCCCCATGGTGTGTGGCGGAGAACGCACCTGACTCGCTCCAGCATGGATTCCCTGCTTCCGTGCCTTTCGCAGCCAGCGAACACCTGCGGGCTGCAGTTTCCTCCAGGGCACAGAACCCACACCTCTCCTCTCCTGGCCCCCTCAGATGAGTCTTGACGAGTCTCAAATAAAGTGCTGCTTTATTGGGTGGGCTTGATTCTGTCATTCGGTTTGGGTTGTTTCATAGCTCTTCAGCTTGTGAATGGCTTTGGACCGTCTCCGAGGCTTTGTTGTCTCGCTGAAATAAGCAACTATATTTTCAGGCACCATCAAGTGAGTGCTAAGCTCATCTAACTTTGACGTGAATTCTTAGGAGTGACTCTGTGAGGCCCACCTTAATCTGCAATTCTGTTGAAGAGCTTTGGGAAACATCTTGAGCTAGGAAAAGTCCCAGAGCAATTTCAGAATAGGAGATAAGACTTTGCAAATTACCAGTTCAGTCATCTGGCTTTATTGCTTACTCTGCTTCATCAGCAAATCAGTTTAAAAATACTCTGCTTCTCGATCAGGCACACTTCTGCTCATAAGAAGTGCACACGCAGCTCCTCGCAGGGACATGTGCTGCTCCTGCCTTCTCTAGGAAATGCCTCTTTTAAGATGGTATTTGCTATGACACATGAAACCTTGCTTTCTCCTTCGGAACCGTGTTTCCTGTAAAGGCTTAATCTACTGGCAGACCTGCCATTACGTAGTGAAGGGTTCTTTATTTGGTGTCAGCGCTATTCAGCAGGGAAGAAAAGTGTGTTGGAAAAGTGCCCGCATGCGTGTCATTCTGCCTGGCTGGAAACTTATTTAGATCCGCAAACTGGTCCGCAAACTGAGTTGTTTTTCTTCCCAGTGAGAACTCCTAAGGGTGCTGGCAAGGCCTGCTAGTTACCTGCTTTTGCGACCAAGATGTCGTCCCGTAAAGGACCGGTAACGAGCCAAGGGAACGGTCCTTTAAATAATGTCAGAGAAAGAGAAGATGTGGAGCTCGCTGAGCTAGGACCGCTCTTAGAGGGGAAAGGTGACCAGGCAGCCTCCAGTTCTGCCAATGTAAGTAATTTTCCATCAGGGTTGTTAACATCCTTTAATGTAAAGGACTGTGTCTTAAAACTGCTTCACAGTAATTCCTTTGTAAGCCATGCAAACACGATGGGATTGATTGAGGCACTATTCTTTCAGGGAAATGTACATATTCCACTACAAAAATAAATAAATAGCAATAATAAAAAATTAGATTCTAGGTTGGCTTTCTGTATAGTAAAAAGGTAAAGCCGAATTTATTGTGGGAAAAGTCTTCTCCAGCTAGTCCTAAACAAATCTCCCCACATTTATTCTGGGTATTAAAGTACTGGTGGTGTCCTTGTAGATTAACCATAAATATACTGATGAATCCTATTAGCAGCTAGCTTTGTAGCTGCAGTAAACATGGTCAGGAGAGCCAGGGCCCAGGGGATCTCTCAGTGTGACCTTTGTCTGGCAGCGTGTGGCTTTTCTCCAGAGCACTGGATCATGTACCTCAGTGGATTCTTAAAAATGGTTTAGAAGATGTCTGCAATAACTTTGAATCCTCAAAGGACCCCAGTGCAACTTCTAGATTGTTTTAGTTACACACTAATATTATCTGTGGACTTCAAACAGGTGGAGCTAAATGGTGGCAGATGGGGTGCATCTGGGTGCAGAGTGGAAAACTCTTATTTCCATGAAGCTGAGATGGAGATTAGTTTCATAGGTCTTGAAGGCAGTTTACATGGTAGAACTGATCTTGCACTTCTTCAGGAAGAAAGTCACGGGAATGCCAGCTTGCGGAAATGTGGAGTGCGATTCGCGACACACTTTTATCTTCTTGTCACTGAGCAGTGCTTGGAGGTAGTAAAAGTGGGGAAGCGAACGTCGTAGGAAATGCACTGCAGAGCAGGAGAGCCGGACCTTTCTTTTCTGCTTCGGCTGGCTGCTGGATTGTTTCCTGGGTTCCAGCCAGGAAGGGAAGCTGAGTGCCAATTTGGGCTGCCCTCTTAGTTGGAAGGAGGAAAAGCCTTTACTTTAATCCTTTCCTTGAGTTCAGGCAAATCTCGGATTACTGCTCTGGTGGTGTTTGCTGGCAATGCTGCATGTAGCCACCCAAGGCGTTCCCTTTGAATATCCACCCTGTTGCAGTGGCTGGGTTCTCCTGGGGCTTTTGTTTCCGACTCAGGTTCCAGGCTTTCTGCACTGGCCTGTGCAACATTTGCAAGTCAAAGAAGTTCCTTGGGATGCTCAGGCTCCCTTTTCATGGTCCAGCTGGGGCTTTGGCGGGTGTGGCTGTGTGGAGCACCCCTCCGTCACAGCACCTGTGCTTCACCCACCCTGGCGGTCTCTGCTTCTCTGTCCAGCCCTAAGGCAGCCCACCATGGGGTGCTTCCGCTTCCCAGATCTCCCAACTTTGGAAATACGTGCTAGATAAATGCAGGCATTAGAACCAGAAGTGCTTGGAACACATGCCCAGAGCTTTCAGCTTGACTTCTCCACCTGTGTCCAGGCTCAAGCAATCTCTCTTCCTAGGCACAAGACCAGCCATGCCCAGCAGCCCGGGAGGAAGAGGAGGAGGAAGTGCGGGTGCTTACCCTCCCTTTGCAGGCCCATCATGCAATGGAGAAGATGGAAGAATTTGTCTATAAGGTAATCTGAAGTCTTACATGGGTGCTGGCACAATCTTCAGAAGTGCTTCTGGAGGCACAGTGTATTCGGTGGTCCTTTCCCTTCCCTTTCTTGGGAGCCAGATGGGAAGATGGCAGCTCACGCTTGGGCATGATGCCGGATCTCAGGTCTCGTGCGAGCTTGGGCCCCTCACACGATGTGCTAGAAGTAAAATAAGAGCGTGCAGTTGGAGTTGATGGATGAAACGCAATGCGCTGGCCAGTACTGTATCGTATTGCAACCCCTAAAGCAATGTGGAGATTGGAAGAGTTAGATTCTTAAGGGAGAACCATGAACTACTGTTGGCTTGTTTGTCAAACCTGCACGTCTCCCTTGTAGAACAGCCCCATCTGATAGGACCAGATGTACCATGGAGGTTTCAATCTGACTTCTTCCTGTTTGTCAAAGTGAAGATTTCAGGAGGAAAGTGCCAAGACATCAAATGCTAATGTCTTGCTGCCCAGCCCTGGCTGCTGACGACTTCTCAGTGGCGCTGTTATTTTCGGTGTGGCTCTCAGAGGCTGTGGAGCCGGGCTTGCCTCAGGAAGCAAACTAAAAGCACATTTACTCAGTCCTTTGCAGAATGTGGGCGATGCAGGGGCAGCCGGCGTTTATGCTGCGTGCGGGCTGACTAAAGCTGCCAGGGGTTGCCTGCAGGAGCACGCGGGTAGGCCAGAGAGCAGGTTGCCATTCTGGCCAACTCTCTGGTGACCTTGGAATGGCAGCCACTCCCTGCCCCGTTTCCAAAGAGCCGCCAGACTGTAACAATCTGCTCGCTTTGGTGTCTTGCAGGTCTGGGAGGGCCGCTGGAGGGTCATCCCCTACGATGTACTGCCCGACTGGCTGAAAGATAACGATTACCTTCTGCACGGGCATCGCCCCCCCATGCCGTCGTTCAGAGCCTGCTTCAAGAGTATCTTCCGCATTCACACGGAGACGGGCAACATTTGGACCCACTTGCTAGGTGACTTGGCCTCCGGTCGCTGACTTGATTTTCTCCTCCAGATTTTCCCTCTCCTTGCACTAGCAGAATTAGCCGCGACTGAAGATGGGGTGGGAGGTTGGTGTGGGGGTCTCCAGATGGTGGAGGGTCCCCTCCTCGCCCTTTCTGGAATACGGCGCTTTGCTTCGCTCCAGGGTCAGTAGTGCTGCATTTTTAAAGTTTGCAGATAGCTTTTCTGAAGGCAGAAGAACGGCGCAGTTCTGAGTGGCTTCTTTTTCTCGGAGATTGCAGCCTGTCTTCTTTGCATGAAAACAGTGGAGGCTAAGCAAATGAGCAGGTTCTTCTTTTCTGTGCTATTATTGTGTCTGTTTGCGTTGCTTTAAATGAGTTGCCTTGGGAATATTTAAAGCAAATATTTAGAAAAGACAAGAATTTAAAAACACTTAGTCCCAGCTGGGCAGCTCCTTCCCCTGCCTGCTTTCCAGAGGGGATGTGAATCCCCTTTTACGTTCACAGCCGAGCGTCTTGTGCTGCATTTTACCGGCTGCTGTGTTGGTTTTGGCTTTCATGATCTGACTTCTGTTCTGCTGGTTTCATGTATCATCTGCTTCTGGGTTTTTATTGTACTGGTTATGAAACGTGTACTTTTCTTGTAAGCTGCCTTGGGGGCTGGAAGGTGGAAGCGTAAATACTTCTGTGATGGCTTAGACCTGGGGGCTGTTGGATGCCAAGACACCCCACCCATTGATTGATTGATTGATTGATTGATTGGGGCTGTTGGATGCCAAGACACCCCACCCATTGATTGATTGATTGATTGGGGCTGTTGGATGCCAAGACACCCCACCCATTTATTCATTCATTCATTTGGGAAGCTTCTATGCTGCCCCATTCACTGAAGCCTCGGGGCAGCTCCCAACAATAAACAACATATTAACCATATAAAAGCAATATAATTGGAGGTGTCCTGGCCAAAGATGTAAAATCAATAAATAATATTAACAATTAAAGTGATGTTTGAATAAAAAGGTCTTGGCCTGGCGCCGAAAAACAAATAACGACGGCGCCAGGCGGACCTCTCTGGGGAGCGCATTCCATAGATGGGGCGCCACCGCAGAGAAAGCCCTCCTCCAGGTGCTCTGCCTCCTAATGTCCTTCACGGAGGGTTCCCGGAGAAGGGCCTCTCCCGCCGATCTAAAGGGGCAGGCGGCCATGTATGGACCTAAGCACTCCTTTAGGTAGCCAGGTATCCATGTCTTCTCGATGTCATTCATGCCCTGCTGTGAGGCCTCCGATGCCACAGCTAAGCAGCTGGTCCGGAAGCTCGGAGGCGGGCATTCTGTGTGCCAGAGCTTTGGGCTGCTATCACATGACCTGGCCCCTGCGGGAAAGACATCAGGAATGCAGCCAGACGCTGCCATCCCCCAAATATGGTGGGGCTCCACGCCCCCCGCCCTTCTGCTGGTCCCCGCAGCTTGTCTTCAGTGAATCTGAAGCAAACTTGCTGGGCCAGCTCAGCTCTTGCCGGCGGACTTTTCCCTCTGAGGAGGAGGATGCACTTGCTGCGATCCTGACCCGCTTGTCGAACGAAGGCCTGTGAGGAAAGGGATCTCTCACCCCTGACTGTTGTGCTCACGACAAGGGCCGGCGCCACTTTCTGTGGCATGAAATGGGAATACAGAGCTGGTGGAGGGCACGCTGCACGCTTGCCTTTTGCGCAGGGTCGTGGCCCCTGTACCGCCGCCGTCCGTCTCTGGTCCGCCTGCTTCCTTAGCAGGAACCCACCCGTGTTGGCGCACTCGTTGCGCAGCTTGTGGGTGTTCGGTGACCGAGCAAGTGACCAAGCTCTGAGTTTCCTGCATGGGAGCGTCCGAAAGCGCCCTTCCCCACCCGTTGTCCCCCACCTGTGTCGGAAAGCCATGCTGGCTGGCCGTGAGTTGAATAAACCGACATGCAGATCTGGTGAATTGCTGGAGTATTTGCCACTGGCCTGGCTCCCAGAATCACTGCACCTCTCCTTGGCTTATTTAAGCCACGGTGGGTGAGCGGTCCTCCCGAACATTCAGCCCCAGGCAGGAGGCTATCTTGATTGGCTCTGCCCCCTAAACTCATTTGGCCGGATGCAGGAGTTAAACGAGGCAATGGGAGGGTTGAATGTTCAAAACAAATGCCTGGATGCACCTTTTTGAATAGTCGGCCTCCAGGGATTGTTGTCCAACCCTCACACCACCCCTTCCACCTGGGCTTAGATAAGCCATGGTGGTCTGTGGTAGGCTGTGCTAATTGTGCGGACCAGGTCACTGAGAGAGAGGGCTTCACGCTTACCGTATGAAAAAAACGGTTTCCCTATATGCCCTCCCGCCCCCTAAGATCGGCAGCAGAAGCCCTCCTCTGGGAACCCTCTTTGAAAGAGGTCAGGAGACAGAGTACCCGGAGGAGGGCCTTCTCTGTGGTGGTGCCCCGACTATGGAATGCGCTCCCCAGAGAGGTCTGCCGGGCACCGCCATTATATGCTTTTCGGCACCAGGTCAAGACCTTTTTATTTAACCAATATTTTAAAGTTAGTTAATTTTAATGCTATATTTATTTATTTAATTCATTTTAACTATGTTATTTTATACTGTCGTGGTATAGCCAATTTATTTATTTGTTTAGGATTGGTAGGTTTTAATGTTTGTAGACCACCCAGAGAGTGGTATATACTAGGGTGGTATATAAATGCAAATAAGGAAGGAAGGACGGACGGACGGACGGAAGGCGGGACTCTGTAAGACTACTTTGATGCTGTCTTTCAAACCTTGGCTTTTCGACAAAGCCGCTTCCTTCGGGTTTTCAGAAGACCTGGACATGCATCATCAGAGTTGGCTCGCCTTTGGAGTAATGAGGACTGGAAGATTTGCTTTTACTTCATTTGCAAGAAGGTCTGTTCTGTCAGGCTCTGAGTCACTTTGTCTAAGTAGCGCCTGCTTGACTTGGAGTCACGCACTGAGCAGGGGCTTGGAGCTGATGGCCCTCTGGCCCCTCCCGGTTGTGTGAATGGATGATTCTGTGCGCCCCTCGCCAAGGGTCGCATTATAGAAGACCTAAGGGCACAACCCTATCAGTTCCAGGCAGAAAAATACCACGCCACAGCCAGCGTTTCTCAGCCAGCCGCCTCCCTGTGCGAGCCGAAAGAGAAAAATGGCCTTGCACAGGATTAAATCCCCAAAAGCACATGGAACTCCACCCAGAGCAGCCTTGGGGGCAGAATGTTTTCCCTGTCCTGAATCTATAAAAACAGGTAAGTCGAATGACACTAAAGCCCAGCTTTCGACGGATGCACCTCTTCCATAGGATGAATTGCTATCCTATCATCCTGGCTTGTTGGTAATCTTTAAGAAGTGGTCAGTAGTCCTTTCCTCTGTTTTAAGCTAATGCCAAATTAAAATATTAGCAGAATGCTGCGTACTTAAAGCAGGCAGGTAAGGACACACACCGTGGTGGTAATGCTTTTCTTAAACAGCATCGGCATAGCTCTGGTGCCGATCCCAGCAGCATTCTGAACAAACAAGATTTGCGTCAAGTGACTCCCTGCCACTTCCTGTCGGCTTACAAGTGGACTTGTCAAGAAGTGCAGAAAGCCGTCTGAAATACCATTTAACTTAATTTATGTGTGGCTTGGTGTACACCACCCTGCCCCAATTTCGACTAACACGGTTTACTCAGAAGGCAAGCTGTGCGTGTCGGAAGGGCTGGCCGAGACCGAGCTCCTTCCCTTGCAGCTGCAAACTCCCTTAATGCCGGAGCTTCGTCACGCTCCTAATGCCTCAGCAGCTGTCCACCTTGGAAGCTGTAAAGCGGGGCGGAAGGAGAAGTTGGTGACGGCTTTCCCGGCAGTACAGGCCTTGCTCGTCCCACAACACATCGGATGACGTGTGTCTCTGCTGTGTTTCTGTTGCAGGTTTTGTGCTGTTTCTTTGCTTGGGGATCTTGACCATGCTGAGGCCGAATATGTACTTCATGGCCCCTCTTCAGGAAAAGGTGGTGTTCGGGATGTTCTTTCTCGGAGCGGTGCTGTGCCTGAGTTTCTCCTGGCTTTTCCATACAGTCTACTGTCATTCAGAAAAAGTGTCCCGGACATTTTCCAAGTAAGTTGAACTGGCGAGGAGTAATTCCTGTTGTGAGGTTGGTTTACTCCAGTGACCTCACGTTTTTTGACAGTCGTGGGTTTAATGTGTCACGAAGAGCCGTGCCCGTGTCAGCCGTCGCACCGTGCCAAGCTGATTCCTTTTAGCTGCTACACCTGGCAAGCGTCTGCTGGCTTCTTGGTCAAGAAAACAAACCTATTTTAGCACTCCTGGCCTGTTGCTTCTTCAAATGTGGCAATTTTATTACAGTAGAAATTCTGAAGCAGGGCAAGGATGGGAAGCAACAGGGACTTTGCCCTGCCCGCTTCACCCGCCTGTGTTTTTGCAGCCTTGGCACATGCTGCAATTCTTTCGAAGCTCATAGAAACCCACGAGACTGAAACATTCCTAGAAAGAGAGAATTTGTCCAACTGGGCATTGAAACCGAGGGCTTACTGCATAATTCCAGGGGTGCCTACAAAACCCACAGCTCTGCCAGTACTTCTGCTCATATGCGTGAAGACAAAATGTTGAATTTGATGACATTCTTTTTTCCTGCTTAACTCAAGGTATTTGTACATCCATCAAAGCCGTAACAGCTGTTTGAATAGACAACCGGTGTGTGTGTGTGTGTGTGTGTGTGTCATTTTCTGGTGACTTGGCCTCTCTCGCAACAATCATGTCTATTCAAAAGGCACCCCCTGCCTCTCGCCGCAGCCTGAGTCCCACCGCTTCTTGCTTTGGCTTTAGGTTGGACTACTCCGGGATCGCTCTGCTGATCATGGGCAGCTTCGTCCCGTGGCTGTATTACTCCTTCTACTGCTCGCCGCAGCCCCGACTCATCTACCTCTCCATTGTGTGTGTGCTGGGCATCTCGGCGATCATCGTGGCGCAGTGGGACCGGTTTGCGACGCCGAAACACAGGCAGACCCGAGCAGGTAAAGCAGCTCTCAGGCGATGACGCCGCCCCGGCCTGAATGCCGAGGGATTGATCCTCTGAACTGAGCCAGGCTGGTCATGGAGGCCAGACGTGTGTGTGTGAAGCTTCTGGTTTCCCCCAAGTTCCCTTTTCTGTAGAAGGGATTGCAAAAGGTGTCGCGCTTGCCGTCTTCTCAGAAGGAGGCACGATCCCTCTGACCACCGTGCAGCAGACGGACAACGCGAGGAGCGACCGGCTGGCTGCTTTGCACAGTGGCACCCGGAGCAACACAAGTGTGAGCCGCAGTTGGATCTCTCAAACCTTCAGCCACACGCTTGTCCCGTGCGTTTGGATGTCCGCCTGGTGCCGCAGTGGCTCAGGGCACAGTCCCCCGAAAGCTTAGACAGGGACAAAGACCGACAGCTCCCCCCAGCCATGCCGCCTCTTGCAGGCCTCTTCTCTGCGTAGCTTTGTGCTGCAACCCCATGGGAGCCCCTGTATCTCCCCACAACCGGCTCCCCCCATTCCGCGCATGAGGTTTTCCCTCTGTCTCATGCTCGCGTGACGAAACCACGGCAGGCAGAAGCCGCTCTAGGAGCAGGGTCTTGCGTGTGCGGGGCTGCCGGATCTCCGGTCTCTCCTGGCACCCTGGGCCGTCCCCAGCATTCCCTGCCTGCGGCGAGGAAGCCTCCTCGGCCGATGCCGCCGTGACGCAGGCCGCTCGTGCTTTTGGGGCATGCGCCTCTTCCACACGCTGAACCGAGCGACCCGTGTCTCTTCTAGGCGTGTTCCTGGGCCTGGGCCTGAGCGGCGTCGTGCCGACCATGCATTTCACCATAGCGGAAGGCTTCGTGAAAGCCACAACCGTGGGCCAGATGGGCTGGTTCTTCCTCATGGCCGTGATGTACATAACGGGAGCCGGGCTCTACGCCGCCCGCATCCCGGAGCGCTTCTTTCCTGGCAAGTTTGATATCTGGGTAAGTGGCACCTCTGGCCGCACCGCCCTCTGCTGTGGCCCCTGGCGGGAGGACGCCTCGTCGTGGCGTGGTGGAAATTGCGCCAGCCCTCCGGGCACATGCGCGTGGCAGCGGCCGCTTCCGCACCGATTCGAGTCGCGCCGTAAGATGGCAGTTCCGGAAGGCCCGCGTTTTTGCAGTCCACAACCCCCGCTGGGAACATGGCAGGCACATGTTCTTCCTAAAGGGTGAGCACCGGGAGACACAGCAAGGAGCCATGACTGTGTGGACCCAGCAAGTCGCCCACGCTCACTCTTCCAAGCTGCATGCTCCCTGCGGCTGCTTGCCAGGTCTGGGATGTGCTGGGGCCCTGCGGCAAGAGAAAGGAGCCGTTTCTGAGTTGCAGTAACGGTGAGCTGGGCCTGGAGAGCTTCCAAGCGGGGTTTTCTCCTCCCCTGGCTGCTCAGACGCTCCTTCCCTGGAGCTGCCCTCTCCCTGCTGATTGGTGCTCGTCTGGTCTGGGTGCTGGTGCAGAGCCCCGTCCTCTGGCCTCAGAGGAACAGGCAAAATAATGTTCCTGGTCAGAGCCATTACTGGTTTCCGTTGCCCTGTTCCACAAGTGTGCTCCTTGGCCCCGGGCAGCTGTTGATGGCTGTCCTTTCTGGAGTGCAAAGAATTGGAGCAAATCTGGCCCTGGTTAACGTCCGTCTTTGCCTGCAAAAGCAGCACGGGGAACCAGGCCTCGCTGGCAGTCTTTCCCGCACAGCGTTCCAGACACAGCCACTGCCGACAGGTCACTATTAATGTCCTTCCCCTGAAGTCCCTCTGTGCTGTTACGCAGTCGCTGAAAGCCGCAGGTGCCGATTTTCCTGCGCTTCCTGGTGGGCCGTGGAGCCTCTGGCGAGTCGGCATTGCACAGTGGCAGAAACGCTCCCTCCTCATGGGACCCTCATTCAGGGACTAAATTTTGGATGCGCGCTCAAGTGCACGTTTCAGCAGTGGGTGGGGTCAAAGAAAAGCAGGCCCAAAATAGCAGCATATTTGAGCATCCAGCTCTTACTGCTGGTCACCAAGCCTCAGGAGAGCAATTTCTGTCTCCTGGAAGGGGAAATGCTTGCCAAAGCCCAGGAACTACCCGGCAAAGGATACTTGGAGGAAGGGGGGTGGCCTGTCTGGGGCTCTGAGGGGGGCAGCTTTGGCCCACGGTTCTGCATCCCCTGCTTATATATGCAAAAGGGAGAGTGGGACAGAAAGGACCCGCTTGGACGGGGGGTTAGAACCATCCAATGACCTCGGGAAGCTAGCTTTCCTTCTTAAATTCTCTTAAGAAAATCCAGGCGATGCAACGCAGGCTTTCAATACACATTTGCGCTTTGCCAAGGCAGAGTTTCTGTGGATCACAGCCAGGTGGCAAGCAGACTATTCCTCTTGGCAAGAGCAGCTGCAGCGGTAGTTTCCTGGCCGTTAACCCTCTGCTTGCATTTCCACAGTTCCAGTCGCATCAAATCTTTCACGTGCTTGTGGTGGCCGCGGCCTTTGTCCATTTCTACGGCGTCTCCAATTTGCAGGAATTCCGTTACGGACTTGCAGGAGGATGTACTGACGACTCGCTTCTCTGAGGACGGCTGAAGATCTTAGTACAAGCTTCCCAAGTGCTTTTAGAGTGACTTCTTGGCTAAAATCAGAAGAAGACTCTGAACGTTTTTTTTAAAGCAAACTCTGAAAAGTTGGCAATGGCCGATCCTGGCTTATCTTCTCTCAGGAGGACCGGCCAGGTTGTGGGGTGCGTGGATTGCCACCAGTGTCGATCGGGTGGAAGTGCCTCTAGCAACAAGCCCCCTTTTGAGAAACACGTGGACGTCACGGGAATCACGTTGGAGCATTACAGAGGTTAGAGAAAGCACCTGGCACCTGGGAGAAAGGAAGGGGGCCTGTTACCTGCTCTTTGATGCTGCAAACATCCCCTCTGCTTGGAGAGACTACAGCTGTGTCCTGCCCAACGCCACCCTTTCCCCCTCACATCCGTCGCAGAGGCGGTGTTGGTCTGGTCTGGGCAGCGGTGCTCTAGCAGGGGTGCTTGGAGGATACACTGGGCCATCCGACTTCAGTTTTGTCTTTCTTGACAACGTAACGTATGGCGAAAATGAGAGTATTTAATATTTAATATTAAGTTTTTTTTTTTTTTAAAGGCACCATCCCTCCAGCATACTCTAACTGGAGTGCCGTTCGTGGTATTTCAGCTGGGGTGCAGTTTAGGGGACTGAGGAGCTGCTGCAGCTTTTGTGTCGAGCGGGCTGAAATGAAAGGTCTGAAGTGTTGACGTTGGGCAGTTCAGGAGATGTGGGGATGCCTCCGGCCCTCTTTCTCCCTGGAAGGGCTTTGCTGGACGTCCCTCCAGCCCGAAGCCTCCCACGGTGCCTGCAGGCGAGGCGCTTGGGGCCCTTTCTGTGCGCTGTGGCTGTCTGTGTGCCCCTCCGCAGCTGCAGCCCGGCCCACCTTCCCCCCGCATGCCTTTTGATGCGCACCTAGTGCCCGGCAGGTGCACTGAACCGCACCCCCCAATGCCCATGGTTGCTGAGGATGCTAGGAGTCGTAGGTCCGCACATCTGGGGAGGGCCCGCCTTCATGAAAGGTGCTTAGGGGGCTTCCCCGGGGCAAGGAAAGCGGCTGCATGAGGTGGCTACCGCCACGTCTTTCCCCTCCCGTTATTCCGGTTCCCGACAGCAGGAGCCCTGCAGCGGCTCAGGCCAGTCACACGCGCCGGCTGACACGTCCTGCACGCTTCCCCAGCCGGCTGCCCTGTTCCCCAGCTTGCAGTTTCCGTGTGCAAGAGCGTACCGAGCGGAGTGCTCTGCTCACCTGGTCAAGGATGGCTGTGTCCCGAAGGGGGCCGCCTACATGTAGGATGGGGACCCCTCCCGGCGAGAACCAGGCTTCTGTTCTGAACCCTTTCCCTGCGAGAACGGGCGTCTTGTGGACTGCTGGTCCTGAGACGGGGGCCCCGAGGCAACCGGTTGCTGCCCTGCCCATCCAGAAGCTCTTCCACAGAACGAAGTGCAGAGAGGACGCTTCCTTTCGCAGAAGGGGCTCCCCCAAGCCCCTTTCTGGGCTCTGCCCAATTCACTGAAGGAAAGGCTTGGCCGGGTTCATAAGCGCCTAGGAAGTTAAGCCAGGTGTCGCGCAACACAGCGCGTCATGTATCCTGCCCAACAGCGGTTTTGCGAGGTCCGTAGTGGCCTTTTCCCAGCTTTTGTTCTAAAAGGAGCACGGTTTTTGGGGGCAGCTTTTTGTAAAGGCCTTTGTCTCCCCTGCCTGGGTCCCGGCCAGCCCAGGGAAGTGGAACAAAGCGAGCTGATGCGATCTACCTCAAGCGTACCAAAAACATATCAATTCATTGATCCTTCACCAAAAGCTTTAAAAGCAGGCAGCTCCTAAGTAGTCCTCCCCAACCTGTGGCCCTCCAGCTCCCGTCATCCCCAGCCAGCAAGACTGATGGTGGGAGTTGCAGGCCAACGCGCCTGGGGGACACCAGGCTGGGGAGGGCTGCCCGGTAATCAGGCCGCAGGGTTTCCTTTGGATAACGGCTGCAGCCCAAGCGAGGTGGTCCTGGGCTCGGCAGGGGCCGCCACAAGCCAGCTGCCGAGATCGGCTCCCTCTGTGCTGCAGGGCTGACGGGCTGGATAGCTGCAGGGAGCTCGTTAGATCCGGGTGCTGGCACCGTTAGTCCCTAAATCCACAGGAATTAATGTTCTTTTCCAGGCAAAGAGGTTTCTGTGTGGGAGCCCCCTGCCCTCTTTCAAGAGGCATTCGATGGACACTGAAAGTACCAGAAACCCCCCCCCCCACCTCACCACCACCCTGGGAGTCCTCTCCTGCAAGCCGCGTGATGCGGCTTTTCCACAGCTGGGCCGCCCACAGCCAGGGAAAGGGCTGCTTTAGGCAGGGGACGACCTGCTATCGTGTGTGCTATAAGGAGGCCTCCGTGCCCATAGAGAGCTCGTGGATGCAGCCACTGGTAAAGGATACTCCGGCTAAGCTACCCGAAGTTCGCCTTCCTTCATAGTGACACTCCCCTGCCTGCACCAGGTTGATAACTTCTCCTTTTTGGATTGGAATCTGCTTTTCCACTAAGCCCCGAGCCTGCGCTTCAGCGCTCCAGGAACAGCTTCCCCCAGCCTGGTGAGAGAGAGGGGCTGGCCTACAGATCCCATCATGTCCAGCCAGCATGGCCGTGCCAGCCAGGTGTGAGAGGGAGCCAGGTTGCAAAAGGCCACTCCAGGGATAGGATGGAGTGAAGCCTGCAAGTCCAACTGGAATAATTCGGGGTGAAGAGAGCAGGAGATCCTGCACCCAAGCCAGCGCCCAGCCTTAAGCTTGGAAGTGGTACGAACACAACCGTGCCAGGTGGAGAAGTTAACTTTAATCTTCTCTGTTGAGTTGAAGAATTCTTGCTACTTAAGGGAAAACAGAATTATTATCCATGGGGAGAAATTAACCATTTGTGAGCGATGTTTTTGGGTCTTGCATTTGCAGCGGTGATAAAAATACGGACCTGCCCTCCTCAGTTCCGTGCGGGCAAGACTGCAGAATGCAAGGGTGCACAACCTCTCGCCTGGGGCTGAAGTCCGCCCACCACCTTCCCCTGCCTTTACCTCTCTTCCCCCTCATCTGCTGACCAGCTGAAGGTTTGCCGACTTTTGTAAAACTTCCCCCTGCCCCTTTTAAAGGACTGAACCGTTGTCCCTAAGGCTGAGGTACCGGCTGCAAGAGCGTTCGGTGCGGCTGGTGCTTCTGCTCGCTCCTCTTCTCCTTGGTGTCTCCTGCCACTGGAGGGCAGCCCCAGAGAGCACGCCTGCATCCCCTGCCCTACTGGGGGTAGTGGGGGTGGGTGGGCGCAGCACTCGGAAGAAAGGAATTGCTTCGCGTGCTTCAGTGCGAGTAACTGCAGTACGGATGGCTGTGCGTTAACCACAGGAACAAGAATCTGTTAAGATCAGCCAATCTCAAACTAGAATGTACGAGAGCCGCTAACAGTAGCCCATCTTTAATGCGTGAAGGAACCAGCATGTTGCAGCAAGCGGTAAAACATTCTGGTGCATAACTAGATTTTACGGTGCAAAGCTAGGCTATGCAAATGTTTTGCCGGACGCAGATGACGTGCGGGTGAGGTGGAACCGAATGGTCTCACGTGTGGGTAAATGAAAGTATTTGCCGCTTTTAAGCTGATGGTGCAAGACCCCCTAACCTTTTCTTTTAGAAAGTGGAAATGGGGAGTTCAGCTTGAAATTGGAGGACAAACATAAGTAGCAGGAAAAAGGACGTGACTGATTTGAATAGTGGTAGAAAACTAATGAGAATGCAGCTAAAGAAATCTGAAACATGGATAGTTGGAACAAAAGACTTAATAAATATAGATCTATTATTGCAAAGAGGCTTTATAGTTGGAATCATGGCATAGATCTATTAGAGATGTACATGTTCAAATAAAAGTGCAGAGGTATTCAATATATTTCTTTTTGGGGTGGGGGGAGAGTAACAATGTATTCCTAACAATGAGCATTTTGTTCAGTTTGTAAACTAGGGAAGATTTTAAGATGTTTATCAGCAATAAACATTTTTAAATTAGTACATCTTTATGGAGACTACACAAGTTCTAAGGGTTTGTCTGAGACTTTTTCTCTCATGCGCTTTACATTATTGAACTGTGTTATGACAAGAAGCAGGGCAGCTCCAACAGCGATCAGGGTTCATTCTGCACTGTAGATGTGGCACAGGCGCCCCCATGGCACCCCGATATAAACTCCGGCGCCCCCGTGGGACCCTGTGTTAGCACCCAAACCCTTTCCCTCCTTCCTTCCGTTCAGGCTCCAGCCCGGGTGCCTTCCAGATGTGCTAGACGAGGCCTGTTGTACCCCAGCCATGCTCAAGAATTATCCCACAGTCGCCCTCCCACTATCAAGCAGGGCAGCGAAACCACGTGTCTCTTGAGTTGCAGCGATCGAACATGTGTGGAAAGGTCAGAGACTCGCCAACCGACGGGGCTGCCCGGGTGGAGCGAGGGGTTTCTGCAAAAAAGCTGGTCCTGAGAGCTCTCCTGGAGTGCCTGTGCATTTGGCACCCAAATCAGCCCTCAGCCCCAGGGGCGGCTGACACGCCAGCAACAGAATAGGGTACCTTAATGGTGCCACCTGTAAGAGACGACCTGGGGTAAACCTGTTGACGCAGCAGCCTGCTCCTCAAAACCCACCCGCCTGCTGACACCACTCCTTGACCTTTGCACAAACCACTCCAGCCGGGGGGCGGTGGTGGGCTGCCCGCACTAGCTTCAGCGGTGGCCCTGGAGGGACACAGAAATGAAAGAAGAAGTAACTGCCTCTCTGCACAGCCCTGTTGCTCTGTCCCTTCCGCCTGCTCCTGGAAGAGCAGCCTCTGCTGCACTCCGACTGCACCGCAGCCTAGGCTGGACCTCGTCTTTGGCACTGGTCTCCTGGAAGGCGGCACGCTCAGTCATGGGAGTCCCTCGGCGTGATCTGAACCGCTACAGCGAGGAATTCCCAGCCTGAAGGTTCCTTCATTTAGGAAATGAGTGTCAAAGAATGGCCCCAGTCTTGTTGTGTTTGCGCAGCAAAGGCTTAGTCGGAGGAGGCCGCCACCCTCCGCTTACGTGAGGGCAGCTCAGAGTGAGTTGATCACCACTGAAGCAGCCAGAAGGGGCACACCAAAAGTGGTCTTGTCCATTCCTGCAGCAGCATAAGAAGGCCAGGCTTCCTCAAGAAGACAATCACGCTAGGGAAAGCTCCGGAAGAGGAGGAGGAAGACCAAAAATGAGAAGGATGGGCCCCATGGAGGAAGCCACAACCTTGAATTTACAGGAACAGAACCGGGCTGTCAAAGACGGGACAGTCTAGAGAGCCTTCATTCATGGAGTTGCCATCAGTTGACTTGATGGCACATAACAACTGGTACAGATCTCGATGTCTAGGAATTGGGGAAGGCTCTTTTAAGACCAGACAAGGTCCAGTGAGGTCCTGCTGTCTGTGCAAGGTCAAAAATGCCATGAGTGACTGATGCGGATCTTCTAGTTACATCTATAAAACTGTGCCCTGTATGAAGAAGTGCTTGCTTTCATCCATCCAGAACACAGTGCTGGGCACAAACCTATGCAAGGTGAAGCAGAACAAAGCCCCACGATTCCCAGCATGCCCCAGCCAGCAATAACTATGGGAATCCTGATGGAAAGAGTGACTGGTCCCCTGAAGGACAGCATGGGACACACATCTGTGGAGTTGTTCTCCGGGATGAGGCTGTATTTAGCGGAACTGTTTCATGCAGTGCTGACCTCGTCGCAACCCCGCACTTCTGGATGAAGTCACCTTTGCAGTGACTTTAAAGGTCCAGTGATCAATGAGACTCCTGGACCTCATACTGCTGAACACGTGGAGACATAATTTGATGGACTGCCTCTCTCTAGATGATAAGAAGGGACTGGAAACAAGCCAGCAGAGAGATTTGGTTGGAAACACCAGATATGCTGCCACTTCATGACAATGAGTGCTAAAGGCCCTTCTCCGGGAACCCTCCGTGAAGGAAATTAGGTACCCGGAGGAGGGCTTTCTCTGCGGTGGCACCCAATCTATGGAATGCGCTCCCCAGAGAGGTCCGCCTGGCGCTGTCGTTTGTTTTTCGGCGCCAGGCCAAGACCTTTTTATTCAAATGTTATTTTAATTGTTAATATTATTCATTTTAGTCTTTGGCCAGGGCAACTTAATTTATATTGTTAATTTATATTATTCTATCTTAAAGTTTGTTTATGGTTGTGAGCCGCCCCAAGGCTTCGGCGAATGGGGCAGCATAGAAGTCTACTTCCTAAATAAGTAAGTAAGTAAATAAATAAATAAATAAAGTTATTTTCTGATATCACAGCAGTGTAGCAAAAGGACACTTTAAAGCAAATCATGCAAGTTGGGACTAGAATAATTATTAGCCTGCCCTTGCAGTCCGAAATGTTCCATGTCCTCTAGAAATATCCTGCAGTGCTGGCAAAGTCTTGCTGACTGAAACACTGGATTTATCAGTGACAATTTCAGTAGCTGTGGTCCAAAGGTCAACTCGAACATTTTTCCTTTGTTTTATTTCTACAATTAGATATTTTTATTCTCCTCATAAATCCTAGTGAGGGTTTCCTGAGTAGCTCATGACAAAACCAACTGTTTTAAAACAATAATCATATAAATCATATAATAAGCAACATCTTTTCCAAACTGAAACAGTAGGAAAGGAAACCTGAAGGCTCACTAGGATTGCCTCCCCACTTAATAACCTATTTGGTGCTTGGGGGATGATGGGCCCTGCTGTCATATCTCAGGCCGCCACAGTAGGGAAGGCTGTTGTAGGTAATCGTCCCAGAGGCTGGTCTGGAAGCATTGCTGAAACCCGGCTGAAGCCAGGATGATGTGGGTCTGGCCAGTGCCTGGAGCAGAGACCACCAAAGCTCACAGCCGGCAGGTCCCATGTTCCAAGGAAGGGGGGATAGAAACACAACACTGCGCTAGATGGACCACTGCTCCAACTCTGGAAAAGGCGCTTAACTTGGAGCCTTTGCGTGTGAACGTGCATCCCCGAGCCCTTTGTCTGCCACGCGCCCAGTGGAATTTCACTAGTGCAAAGCGCAGTGCATCTTGCAACACTTGATGCTGTTCCGTCTGCCTACTGATCTGGGGAGCAGGTGGGCCTGCAGGCCTGGCACCACGAACTTCAAGGGAGATACTCTATCAAGAGGTGTTTCCGCACAAATCTAGGTAGGGGGAGAGGGAGAAGAGTCAATGCGTTAGAGCAGACCAGTGTCACCTTGGGAACTGGAGGAGTGTCGATGGAATCACTTCTGCCTGGAATTTATTGGGTGATCAGCCAATCACCCGGCACGGCCGGGTCCAGGGCTTGGCCTCCAGGGCCTCCCCGCGACGGAGCTTTAGCGTCTCCCCGGGAGACGCGTCTGGTGCTCGCGAGGTCGGCCCGCGGCCCCGGCGCGGCGGGGGAGGCAGTAGCCGGGCGGCCGAGGCGCCGGGGCTCTGCGAGCCGGGAAGGCGCCCCGCGAGGCCCCGGCGCCATCGCTCGCCTGGCCGCCCGCCCGGCTCGGCTCCACCCCGGGCTGCCAGGCCCCGCCGCCAGAGCAACGGCTATGGCGCCCACGCATGCGCGGCCTCGCCCGGCCAGAGCGCCGCGCCGCGTCCTGATGACCTCACCGCCCGCGACAGCCGCGGAGGCAGCCCCTAGACTTTGTACAGGGATGCAGTGGGCCTCTATCCGGGTCCGAAGAGATGTTTCTTGCGTTGAAGGCGGCCTGGCCAGCGGCGGGGAGAAACCGAGGCGTCCGGGCGCTCTCGCCCGGCTTGGCCCGCGCTGCAACAAAACCGGCCTGGCGGGGGCGGGGGGCTTTCTAGTTCGCGAGCGCCGCCTCCCACCGCCCGGCATCGAAACGGCTTAGCCGACTGCAGCACTCCCCGCGCGGGCTTGGGTCGAGAAGAGCGCCGCCACTGCGTCAACGATACCGGTTTAAGACTGCTTACACGTGTCTATAGGGTTTCCCTTTTAATCCATGGCAAATCTAAGCCTGTGCAAATGTATTCTTTTAGGGTGCTGAACGCGAAAGATGCGGGTTCCAGACCCCCAAAGCCCTGAAGCGCCATGGGGGACTCTGAGCCAGCCACGGACTCTGCCTGGCCTACTTCGCAGGGTGGTTCTCGTGAGGATAACAATGGAGTCGATGAGACTGTGGATGCCGCCATGGATTCCTTGCAAAGAAACAAATTGCAGAATATACACTGAATGTACTGTTTGGATTATATCCCGCCCTTTTCTTTCTTGTTTTTAAATAAATCAAAGTGGCTTCCAAAGCCACCCAGCGGGCTCCATGGCTGAGCAGGGACAGGAACCCAGGTGCTGCTAACCACGGCACCACTCTGGATTTCGGGGGAAGTTTCTCATTCCCTCTCCGAAAACGAGAAGGAGAACCCGGATGTGATCTATGCAGACAACATTACGCCTTCTTATATTTATTTATTTCTATCTCTATGGGCGCTTCCCACCCGCTTATCTCTAGACATACGGGTAATCAAGATATGAGACGCTGCTAACGCCATCTTTTTTCAGGGCATCAGTGACGTTCTCCTTTGCACGCTTTTCTGTCTATTCCCCAAGGACGGACCAATCCACAGTTGGGAGGCGGGACTTGCCGTTAGTTGCGAGGCGGAGAAGGGGGTAAGCCCCGCCCCCGAGTGTATTTATATAGGCGGAGCCCGGCCCGCTCCCCTGCAGTAGCGCGCGTCTTCTCCGAGTGGCGTCGTTGGCTTGGGTTGCTCCTTCTGCAGGTCGCGATGCTGCTTGGCACTTAGGCAAGGGCCAGGCTCCCTGGCATGGGGATTTCCTTTCCTTTCTTAGCCGCTGAATATTATTTCCCTCTCCTCTAGACGGCCCCATAGCCGAAGGTTTGCAAGCAGGTTGCAGCGCTGCGCGGGATGCCATCGAACACAGAAGAAAATGGAAATACAACAAAACCACAGAATTGCCCTACAAAATTTTAAATCCAAATGTAAGTGACAAGTTCGATCGGATGCAACCAGGCCTCGTACAACCGCTGGCATGAGAAACGCCACCATATGTCCTGGAGAGTCACTGGAGGCCCCAGGCTATGGGCAGCCCTGAGCAGGTGCTGCCAAGTCGCTGCCTTGTATTTATATCCTCTTCTCCAAGCCCCCAGGGTGGCTCACATTATTCCCAGGGCCATTTTGTCTTAACTGCTACCCTCTGAAGTAGGTTAGGTAGAAAGCCGGTATCTCCCAAGTCCCCTGGTGAGCTTTGTTGCCCAGGTGGGACCCAATTCCAGTTTCACAAGCCCCTGTCCAACACTCTCATTGTACGTTAGCGTTTCATAGAATAGTACAATCAGAATAGTAGAGTTGGAAGGGGCCATGCAGGCCATCAACCCTTTGGGTTTTCAAACGGATGCTTGCTGACACTTTTGGATTCAAGTCACTGCTATTACTATAGGCTTAGAAACAGAACGAGGCAGAAGGGGCCTCCCAGGCCATCTAGTCTGACCCCCGGCTCCAGCCAACTCTGTTCACGACATGCCCACCATGTGCATGTCCAGCCTATCCTTGAACTCCCTCACTGATGGGGCCTCAACCACCTCCCGTGGAAGCCCATTCCACACCCTTGGGGTCCTATCAGGAAGTGCTTCCTGGCACCAAATTTTTTTATTTATTTTATTTAAAACATTTCTATGCCGCCCCATTCACCGAAGCCTCGGGGCGGCTCACAACATAAAGTAAAATATAATACATTCAAAATATAAAACAAATTAACAATATAAAATAAGTTGCCCTGGCCAGATAAAATAAGCAAATAATATTAACAATTAAAATGACGTTTAAATAAAAAGGTCTTTGCCTGGCGCCGAAAAACCTTAGTTCCCTGAGCTTGGCTACATTGGAGCGTGTCCTGCCTTCCTCTGCAGGGGAGAACAGGTCTCTACCCATCTCCATGTGACATCCCCTCACATACCTGTATGTCGCCAACATATCCCCTCTGAGTCTCCTCCAGGCTGAAGAGACCCAGTTCCCTCAGTCTCACCTCATACCCCATCATCCCCTGCAAACCGGCCACCAACCTTGTGGCCCTACACTGCACTGACTCCAACCTGGCTACATCCTCCCTGTAATGAGGGGCCCAAAACTGAGCACAATACTCCAATTGCGGGTGTACCAGAGTAGTATAGAGTGGTAGTAATAACTCTCTTGATCTGGAAGCCACGCTTCTGGCTATGCAACCACGGGTGGCGTTCGCCCTCCTGACCACCGCATCACACGGCTGGCTCACGTTTAGCCTGCAGTCAACCCGCACCCCGAGGTCCCTTTCACAAGTGCTGCTCTCCAGCCACTTGTCCCATGACTTAGAAACATAGAAACAGAGCGAGTCAGAAGGGGTCCCCCGGGCCATCTAGTCTGACCTCCGGCACCAGCCGGCTCCGCTCACGACATGCCCACCATGTGGACGTCCAGTCTATCCTTTTCTGTGACTTTTCCCAATAGCTCCACCCAAGTCAAATTCTACAACCAGCTCTTCACCAGGCCCACCTCTTCCTCCGACTCCCAAAGCTCCTCTTCCCATTGCAGAACGACCCACTTGTGGGCCAGGCTTGTGCGGGGGGGGGCGGGGGGGGCAGATCTGCCAGGATCCCTCTTCAGTGTTTTTCCATCCAGGAAGGAACAAGGGAGTAGATGGAAAGACGCATCTTTCTCATTCTTTCCCCATCAGCAGCAGCTTCCTTCCAACCCGCCCAAATTGTGCTGCTCTCAACAGCAGCGCCAAGACGGAGCTTTGGTGGGACCTCCTCCAGCCAGGGCTGAATTCAAACTCCATTTTGATCCTTCCTCCTCGAACTAGTCCACCTTTCCCTGTTGGCCTTGCTGCAGGACACTGGCAGTGAGGCTCTGAATATATTCTTCACAGTGAAATACCCCAACAGTGGCATTTAGAAACGATTTGTGAAAATGTGGTTTTTCCAAACAGGTTTTATGCTTTCACTTGTTCCTGTGATTGCAGGTACAAGTTTCTCTCAGAAGTAGCTGCTGAAGTTCCCTGGACCGCTCCACTTTCTCCTTTTGCTAGCTCCAATGATAGGAAAGCTGGGCACACAGCCAAACCCACAGTTCTGCTCTTTTCTAAGATAAGCAGCACTTGGAATTCAGGTGTGCCGTGGAAAGGCTCTCTACCGAATGCGTTTCAGGAAAAAAAGACAGAGGTTAAAAGTCCCCGCTGCCCTGCACTATGCATTTATCAAGCAATTAAGTGGTTCTGCAAGCAAGCAATATTGATTGCAAACTGTTTTGACTTTGCCCTTACATTTAGTTTATGCAGCTGCCTGTTGGCAAGCTTGGTTCACAAAAGAAAACAGCACCAAGTTTCCAGGTGTCAAATTTTATTAAGTCCCAACAAGCTCTTTGACAAACATGATTTAAGTGCGGCGTGCAATAAAAGTTAGGGTTTCCTGGATGTTTCAAGCGTATGAGTTGTGCGGATGGCTTCTGGAAGACCTTAAGACCTTCATTTTGTGCAGCTTGTAAAGGGAGAAACTTTTTTTTCCTTTAGAAATCTGGACCTTCTTTCTTCAGCTTGTTGTAGTCCACATTAACCGCAAAGAACTATAAAAGGGAGCAGTTGGGATACAAAGATCATGTTTATGCAAACTTATTTCTGGTTTTCGCATGCCTGCGGTCTCTTTTAGTAACAAGGTTGGAAGCTGGCTTTTACACAAAGCCAAATATGGGAGAAAGGGAGCTTTCTACTTCCTTTGCCAGACAGGCTGGGATGCCTTAAATATGACTGTCATGCAAGTGCAGCCATACGAACATCTGTGCCTTAGACAAGAAAAAAAAGATTGTAAAAAATCTTGTGCTTTAAGGAGGTACCCTTTTCTGTAAAATACACTATATTACTGCTTAGTACAAAAAAAGCGCTCTAGTCCTGCAGCTTCATCTGTAATTTTGCATGCAGAATCCAGAATCAATTAGCTCCAAACAGTGTCACTTTTTAAAATGTCTAGTTTGTTGTTTGCTCTAGTAAAAAGATAAATAAATAAGCTGGCAGAACTAGCCTTGCTAAGTTTTACAGTTCTGCACAATCCACCCATCTTTACAGAAATCAGTGGGGGGGGGCATCCTACCCAAGATGCTCCTCACCTGCAGCATCCTTTCTCCTAGAACCTCCTCTGGAGAAGTATATGCCTTGAACAAGCTGAACCGTCAGTAAGTCAGTGCAAAGGGTACATGTATGCAGGGCTGGTCCAAAGATGTCTGCAATCTGGGCCAAGGAGAGCCTTGGTCCTTCACTGGCCCCCATTCAGTTCTCACAACAGGTGGATATTTTCTCCCATTGGCAGCATGCTAGCCTGCCCATCGGGGATTTATCCAAAAGCACAGTGTGTTGATTCCCGAGCAAGAATCGATAAACTGGTGGCCACAGTAGCCATGCCAGCCAGCTGCAGTGGTGGGGGAAAGCGAGGCAGCAGCCCTGCTGAAAGACCACGTGCTTTTCCTCCCTCTTCCCTCCTCACCCCCTTTTGCAGTGTATCTTTCTAGCCTGGAAGCCACTTTAGGAGCCTTTCTCACTGAGAAGACAGATGAAAAGGGCCTCAAGAGAGCACAGCATAAATAATCCAATGCAACTGACCACTGCCAGCACATTGGGCCCAGAATATTTTGACCGCAGCATCTATCAGAAGTATCAGCTGCCTTTGCTGATCTGGCTTCTGCATTTTGCCCTCTGGGTGGTTTGTCTTGTAGTAGCTCTGGAGACTGAACGGTGCAAAAGGCAGAGATGCCGATTCGACGCCTAAGGAGGCGACAGACACTATTTTGTGCTTCGCCTCCGGAAGCGCTTTCTGGCTGCCAAAGCCCACATGGTTTACGTAAAGGAGGGCTGCCGTATCCTTTTCAGCTTAACTGAAACAAGCAACTGGGATGTATTTATTATTAACACACACACACACAAGCCACATTACTTGCTATAAAGCCAGAAACAGTAACATGAAAATATTCTTCAACGTAATTTAGAAGGCTGCATTAAAATGATTCCTCTTTGCACCCTCTCTAAGCTGAGAGAGTCTGGGCCAGCCAATTTTTGGTGAAACACTTTCTACGGGGGAAAGGCTAATCAAATGGCTTCCCCTTGGTTCCCGCAAGACAAAGGGTCCCTGAGACAGGCCGGTCTAATTAGCAGAAGCAGAGAACGAAGGAAAGAGTTCGCAAACTGAGGCTAAGGCCAGGCAAAAGCAAAGGGGTGACAGGACAGAGGTGAAGGCTCCGTGGAGCAGCTGTTGCCCCCTCAACGAAGCGGCACAGCCTCAGCGTGGGGCGAGTGAACCAGCTGCCCCCACACTGCCAGTTCTGTGGCTCAGGGCTTTCCAGAAACTGGAGGCAAGGCATACCCCACCAAAGTCTTGCTGAAAGGGAGAAGTACTTTGTCTCTTGGGAAAACTCTCTGATTTTAATGGTTGGCCCAGAAGTGACAGAGCCCTGTGGGCTGACGAGCACCAAAGTCCGGCTAGGGATTTTGTGCCTACCTTGTACTGATCATTGGGCCCCAGCTTATTCCACGGTTCCGGGTTATTCGCTTTGTCCCAACTATACAGAGAGAGGTGAGAAAAACAGATATTGCAATCACTCTATTCATATTCACACAAAGAACAGTAAACGTACATTTTATCATGTAAGGGACGATCCCTGCTGCCCTCCAGAATTCTCACCAGTGTAATGACTACTGTCTCGATGGCAGTTCATAAAGGAACAGATTTTTTTTACTCTGGGTTGTGACCCTAAGACCAAGATGTGCAAAAAGCTTTTCAGGCAGGTCTTCTTCTCAGAAATGCCGGTGCTGATTTTCACCACAGAGACTAGAAAGCTTGTGAGATGGTGCTGGGTGAAATTATTATGGTTAATTTCATTTCTACAGCACCCATAGGCAAAGCCCTCTGAGCAGTAAACCGCCACCAGTAACATACCAGCAGCTTAAATCCGCACTCTCTCTGTTAGAGTTCAGCTTTCAAGACTGTGTTTGTCACTTGCTAAGTGACTGGTTTTTTTCATAAAGGGCCTCAAAGGTGCAACAGGGTCACAAGCCGCATCCCAGGGCCTCGTGGATCTGCAGCTGGGGTACACACTCAAACCTCCGAGGGGGAATCTGTGGTTGACCCTCTTTTCCTTTGGAGCTAGCATGGAAAGAACCACACTAGTGACCCCCAAGAGGGGGGATCCTGGTGGATGGGGAGGGGAGGGGAGGGGACCGGGAAGGCCAGAACCCCGAGGCCTCCCCAGCCTCCTTCCCTTCCCCTTTGAAACGCTTTCACCAGGCGGGCAAGACGGCTGCACGAAGCACCGTGTGTGTTACCCGGGAGGCACCGTCAAATAGCAACACTCGAAGGAAGCGCTACGCACCAGACATCAGGGTTGCGGAGAGCAAGGCGGGCGAGATACAGCGTCGCGCAAGTTGCCGCGCCTCCAACAAACAGGAAAAGAGGAAGCAGCTGTGAGAAAACAGAACGTTTTGACACTAAACAACACATCTCAAGACTTTGCCGTGTTCTCTTTACCGTGGATTAATGATCCAAATGCACAGTAGGTTTTTTCCAAACTGAAACTGTGTGAGGGCAGAATGCTGGCCTAGACAGACTGAGCTTCCCTGGCCTGGTGCACTCTACTGCTCCAGGACTCCAACTCCCACCACTCCCAACCAGGTGGCTGAATTAAGCCTTTGGTCCAACAGGGTCCCTACGCAGCTGCCTGGTAGCCAAGATCACCCTTCCAAAATGCAAAGGCAGAGCAGATGACTAAGGCCCAAACCCATGTACTGCTGGTGTCTGCACTCCCTGTGAAATATGACAGACCAAGTCAGACCACCTTGTCGAGTCCAGCTGGCCAGGATCTCATGAGTGCCAGGGCCCTGGGAGCTGAACGAGACATTCTGCACAGAAAGCGCATTCTCTGCCTCCGAGGTGCAGGCTTCTCCCACACCTCTGGGTGGAAGCTTGGCCAAAAGGGGGTGGGAATTCAGAAGCCCCGGAGCCTGAAACCTCCTTCTGATGAAAATACCTACTCCGAGTAGGAATCAGCTGTTTCCACTTGAGTCTGCTGTGTTGTGGTCACATGGCTGTGCCATCTTGGAGGTGCCACCAATTAACTCTCAAGGAGGCTGACCAGTGCTCCAAAGCCCACAAGTCTTTGTGGGAGGGGAAACAGTGGCTATTCCAACGCTACAAATACGGACAAGACACAGTCTGGGATTTCTCGAAGGAATCCTGGTAATTTTGCAGGAGAGGGTGTTGCGTCCTAGAGGAAGTCTGAGAAAAGAGGAGCACTGGGGCAGCTCAGCTTGCTAGAATTTCCATTCGTGTTTTATTCACTTATACTGGTAATACGGTGACCACCATTTCGTTGCTGTTTTTAAAATGCTAATGAGGCCACCCCAACCTGCAACAAAAAGGCAGAGAATGCATACAGGCAAAGACCCTGCCTGGCTTTCTAAGCCAACTGAAAATGCTTGGCCAATCAGATCAGCTTTGACCTGGCATTGGAAAGAATAGAATGCAGGTGCCCGGCACACCTGCTCTGGACAGGAGGCAACAGCCTAAAGGTAAATGGCAGCAGATGCAATCCTCACCATGTTTGGGCAGAAAAAACTCCTACAATTCCCAGCATTCCCTACCAACACGGGTTGCTGGGAGCTGAAGAGCTTTTCTCCTGTATAAATATGCCATGGGTTGCACCCAGAGATGATGCTCTTATGGGGTCAGGCTGTGGCTCGGCGGAAAACCCCTTGCTTTACATGCAGGAGGTCTCTGGTTCAACCCTCAGGGCCCCAGAGAGGGCTGGAAAATATCTTCCCTGAAATTCTGGACAGCCACAGCTGTCAGCCTGTGCCAGCAAGCCTGGACTAGATGGACGGATGGTCTGACCCAGCACGTCAGCTTCTGATGTTCCTGTGGAAGCAGGAATTCCATCAAGCCCCTCTTTCCATGCAACTTAAGAGACATGTCAGAGGAAACAGCCAAGGCCTGAGATTACCCCAGAATGCTGCTGGAGCATCTGCACTTCTTATGAAAGCATGGCATGAAAAGGAACGCCCTTGCTGAGAAGAGAAAGACCTCTCTGGAGCAGTCTGCTGGGGGAGCAGGGATGGGCGAGCACGCAAGCAGTGCCCCCCGCCCCCCAGCCTGCTGGCAACTGGTATTCTTAGAGCACACACTGCAGTGTATCTCTGCTTTTGTTTTCCTCTGTACATATGAATGTAGCTGGCAGAATTCTTTATGCAACCGAGTGTGGCATTAAGCAGCTGCAGGCATCTCCGTTCTGCGCTCCTCTTTGGCAGTAGCCCAGCCAAAGAGGCGGTGATGAAACCACAGCAGTGATGGCGCATCTGAAGCATCGTGCCGCCTGCCCCCTCCCAGGAGTAAAAGCAAAGCCTGCTGCCCTTCAGAAGAGTCAGGCCGCAACTCCATGCGTGGCCGGCAAGGGCAAGGCTGCGACCCGACATGGCTGGAGAACTCCAGGGTGGGGAAGGCTGCCCGAAACATGCAGGGGGCGGGAACGCGCGGCTGGACCGCAGCTCCCAGTTTCCCCGAGCAGCGGCTCTGCGGGCGAGGGCTCCCGGGAGACGCAGGCCGAAGGCAGCCGGGGAGGGCGCACCTTCTCCGCCGCCGCAATACGCCGAGGTTACAGCCACCCCACCCCCCGCCATGTTATTGCAACCGCCCGAAGACGCGATCGCGCCAGAGTCCAAGCCCGGCGCTGCCACGGCCGTGCGATCGGCGGCGCCCCGCACGGCGGGCCCGTTTCCCGGGCGCGTTTCCCGCACGGCGGCGACAGAAAGCGCGGCCCCGCGGGATGCACCACGGCCGCCCGTCAGCGCGCCAGGACACCGGAGCCGCGCCGCCGCGCCCATCTCGCCCCCACCCCCGGCCTCCCCGGGGCAGCACGCGCCCCGTCCCCGCCCCGGTTCCCCGCCGCCCTCCTGCTCACGCTCGGGTGCTTCTTGGCGTGCTTGGCCATGGTCCCGAACATGGCTGCGGCGGCGGCGGCGGCGGCGCGGCGGGAGCCTCCCTCGTTCCTCGGACGGCGGGCGCGGAGCAGCGGCGAGGTCGACCGGGCCTCTTCGGGCGTCTGCAGGGGCGCCTGACGGGAGGCCCAATGTCACTCGAGGACCCCGCCCCCCCGGGGCTGCCCGCGACGCGCCGGTCCGCTCGCGCCCGCGCCCCCGCCCCGCCCCAAACACCGCGCGGGCGGCACTTTGTCCAGCACGGAAAAAGCGCCACGGGGGCTGCCAGGCCGCCCGCCCGCCCCGGCTTGCCCCCGCCCGCGCGCGCGTCGCCCGGGAAGGCAGGCACTGCGGCGGGCGCCTACGGGGAGGGGCGCGGGGTTAGTCCGCGGGTTGCTGCTCCGCGGGAGGGAGAAAGGCGCGCGGAGCGGTGGGCCTGGTGCCCGCTCGGCCCAGGGGTGCCGGGGCGGGTCGCGGGCGCCCCCGGAGCGGGGGCTGCCTCAGGGGGATCCAGTTTGTTTTAAGGATCCGCTGGGGAAGCCACGCTGGCGGGCGACGTTTTGGACCGCGAGGCTCTGCAATCCTGGGCAGGGGAAAAGGCCTCCGCCTCCCAGCGTGGCCGGGCTGTTGCTCTGCCTCGGCCTGCGCAGAACTGCATCCTTCGGCGTGCTAGGAGCTCCTGCAACTTTTTCCACAGGGGCCAGCTCACTGTCCCTCAGACTGTTGCGGGGCCGGACTATAGTTTGGAAAATTCTAATTGAAATAAATTTAAAAATTAATTCAAATTAACATCAATTTAGAAAATAATTGAAACCAAAATGCATTTAAAAGTAATTAAAATCAAAAATTGATTAAAAAATTAAACATGTTCGCTCCACTTGCTGCAGCAGAAGCCCTACATTTTCTGATAGATGGGGTCTTTTTGCCTGGCTAGCTGGAATACCATGGATGGGGAGGGAAGGGGGCTGGAAGGACGACAGGATACATAGTCCTTGGCCTCTCTAGTCTTCTGCCCTCTCCAAGTCACTTTTTTTAACCTTGGAGTGCAGCCAGCATGGTTCTTTCCAAACCGGCTGTGGGGCAGACCTCCGATTTCCACCTCAAACCCCGAGTGCCGTCTCTGACATGGGACTTGGAAGTATCCTGTGATCTTTTGACACTGTTTCTAATTAGCCCAGAGAACATTAATTACTTGGCGGATTAGAAATGTAATATACACAAAGAAAGCCAAATGGGCATCCGATGACAGATCACATCTATTTCCGCAGACTGGAGTGTAAACATTTGTCTTATCTAGTGGCCATATCACAGAAATAGGGGATGCTAAAATGGATGACAGGAATAGGAGATATTTGATAGTCCATGGGGTTGCGATGGGTCGGACACGACTTCACGACTAACAACAACAACAAGGAAATAAAGGAGGGCTGGAAATGACAAGTGCTTGTTTATTTCAGAAAATGTATATATTGCTTTTTGATTAAAACAAGGGGAATCTGCAGGTTACAAATGAAGCACAGAATACATTCCAAGTGGAATAGAATGAGCCCAGGGAAATAAATGAGATCTGCTGTGTTCATTTTGCTTTGCTTTAAGTGTTGATTTGGGTCAGTTTAGTATGGTTTTATACTGTTTCAGGTGCTTCTTTGGAACATTTCTATTTGGAAAGATGGCGGAGAATTCTCTGAAACAATCTATATGAAGTACACCCAAGGGACACTCCTTTGGCCTCCCAACACAGTCTGGGAAGCCATAGGGTTCTTCAGAGTCCCAGCTCCAAGATCCTATCCAGTCTCAGAGCTGGGACTCTGCAGGTCAAGCCCCTGCTCTGCCCCTCTGCAGCCAGCCCAGAAAGAATCGTGCTAGCGGCTGCCCTCCAAGGTCTTGGGCCTGGGAGAGAAAGCTCAGGCTGCAGACTTAAACAAATTCCAGTCGGGGCCACAGCCCCCTGCTTTCCCCCTTTCTGGCACTTTGTCTAGTCTGCTGGAAAGAGGCATCTGTGGTAAGTACATGGCAGGAGCTGTAGTGCCAGTGGCCATCGCTGCTGCTGAGCCTCGCGCCTTGCCTTGGATGCTCCTCAGTCTCTGAATTCAGAGGCTTGCATGTCTCCTCCATGGCAGCTGTGGGCGGAATCGCTCCCTGTCGATAAGGAATTGCAGGACACGATCAGGACAGACCATGAGATGCTGCAATGCCTGGAGCAGAATCCCAAGCCAAGGGAGTAAGAGGCAGTGGCCCTTGCAAACAATTGATTTTGCCCTCTGCAAAGGGGGCCGGCTTTGCATGGGGCGGATGCAGGAGCCCTAAGCGAGGTCTTCACCACAACATGCACACCTGTAAGGGCGGGATGCCTTGTTCCCTCGCCACCTGGATTGAAGGCATGTCCCCGGCACCACTGGGCCCAGCCCCGGCCATGGGGCACCCCGTAGTCCCCTAAGGAGGGCCTGGCCGATCCGTGGGACCGTGTGGGCCGCCCCACAGTCGAGGGCAGGGAAAGGCCTGCGTATTGTCACGGCTTGCAGCGCTCCTGGGTTCCGTCTGCATCAATAACGAAGCCATATATTAGTGAAGTTCGGCGCCCAGTCACTGGCTGGGGCATGCCAGGAGTCGTAGGCCTTTCTGTCGGCGTGATGGGAGTCGCAGGCCCTTTTCTCTCCCAACTTGCGAGGGAGGGTCCTACCGGGGCATTTCCAGAAAGCTCCCGCGCACGCGCAATGCCCCCGGGCGGCCTCCAGAGGGCGCAGCTCCCTCGCGGGCTCCGGCCCGGCCGCTCTCCGCCCCTCCCCGGGGACGCCTCTCTGCGCGCCTCTCTATGGCTCGACGCTGCCCTTTGGGGGCGCGGGACGGGGCGCGGGCATAGAGGCGCCCCGCAGAGGAGGGCGCGCTTCGGGGCGTTGCCAGGAGGTGCCCACTTCCGGTTCCTGGATGACTTCCGGAGGGCCGGCCTTAAAAGCCCGGCTGCCCGGCCGGGGAGGATACTGTGCGCGCCCTGCCTCGCCCGCGCCCGCCGCTGCCCGCCGCACGCTGGGGGAGCCGCCCAGGCGAGGCCTCCGCCCGGTGGGCACCGCGCGGCTCGCTGGCTGCGCCGCAGCCGTTGGGCCGCTCGCGCCAGGGGAGGGGGGGACGGCGCCGGGAGCGCCCTCCGCGGCTCGCTTCCCCGGGACGCCGCTCGGCCGGCTGGTGGCTGGCGGGCCGGCCGGCGCGCTCGCTCTCGGGCTCCGGCGCGCCATGCGGTGATCGCCTCCCTCCCCGGAGGAAGCGAGCGGCCCGCCGCCAGGTCCGTTCCTCGGCCTGCGCCCCCGGCCGGAGAGAAGGGCGCGCTCGGCCGGCCGGCCTCCCCGCGGCAAGATGTTCAGCTGGCTGGGCCACGACGACCGGCGGAGGAAGGACCCCGAGGTGTTCCAGACGGTGAGCGAGGGCCTCCGGAAGCTGTACAAGACCAAGCTGCTTCCGCTGGAGGAGTACTACAAGTTCCACGAGTTCCATTCGCCGGCGCTGGAGGATGCGGACTTCGACAACAAGCCCATGGTGCTGCTGGTGGGGCAGTACTCCACTGGGAAAACCACCTTCATCAGGTAACCCCGGGCCGCTCCCCGGGAACCGAGCGATCGCTGTGCTGCGCTGGTAAAAATGCGTTCTGTGCATGCACGTTCTTCCAGGAGAGCATATTCTACTCGCTGTGTTCTTTTTTCACCCTGGTAATTATCACTCTTCCAGCTTGTGCTTCTGATTACTGCTGCCCTAAAATGTTAGCTTACGGGAAATTATACATCAGAGTCCCTTCTGGTGAGTCCTGGGAGGCTGATGAGATGCAGTGTGTGCGAGTGAAGTCATACTAAAATGGAGGGTTCCCAGAGTGCTGGCTTCAGGAGTAGAGAAGATTTTCCCTGGTTTACCAAAACCGTACGCGAGTGATGAACGGGAAAGAAAGTAACATCACATTATACCAATAGAGCGGTGGCTGGCCAGTTAGAAAGACTTGTCTAAATAGAAATAGTTCTAGCCGAACTGTAAAACAAAGCAATGTTGGTGCTACCTGACATCAACAGGTAGGGAGTTCTAAAGAGAAAGAACTAATACACAGAAGGCTCAGCTCCAGCTTGGCCGTAGGTCCACATGGAAGCACCATATGCAGCTCATTTGAGAGTGAGCTGTGGGGTGGTATTGAAATGAAATAAATAAATTTGGTGCTCTGCAGGGGAAGGCTAGTAAGGGAGAAGGCACCGTCTCAAATATCCAGGTGCCAGGCAGTTGAGGGCTTCGACCTTGTGTAACAAAACCTTAACCTCAGCCTAGTAGCAAGTAACGAGTGCGTCTTTTCCTGGGCAAGAATGTTGCATGCTGAAGTGGGGCAGCCCCCAGCAGCTGCTGAGCTCGCAGCACTAACCGTGGCTTCCTTAAGGTGTGTCCCGATCATAAAGTTGATTTAATTCAGTCTTCAGTTCTATATTAAGTGTTGCATTTTTATCCTGCCTTCCTCCTGCTTACGAGGAACTGAAGGCAGCTTGCAAGCTTCTCATCCTCATATTAGCCTCACAACAACCCCGTGTGGTAGATGAAGCTGACGAGTGAGGACAGGTTCACAGGAGGTGTCATAGCTGTGGTCCCATCTCTAATGGGTGGAAGGCACTCAGTGTCACGGTGGCCACATAGTCCTCCAATGATGGCAATAGAGCCAGGAGCACCTCCAGAATAGAGGTGTAGTCTTCTGAAGACGGTGCACACAGTCCCACCCAGAACAAGTAATAGGTCTGATTCCTGGATTTGGGGACCACTCAGTCACAGAGCCTCCCTCTTGCCAGGATTCTGCTACATCCGATTGGCCCTCATCCTGCCCATCACTAGATCCAGGTACGCATCCAGGACTTGCCTGGACTCCCCTGATCCAATGTCATGGGAAGGTAGAGCTGTGTGTCATACACATCGATGGCACCTGGTTCCAAATCTCCTAGTGACCAAGCCTAGCACCTTCATGTTTAACAGGATGGTACCCCGTGTGACCTCATAGCTCAGTTATTTATTTTATTTATTTATTAAAACATTTCTATGCCGCCCCATTCGCCGAAGTCTCGGGGTGGCTCACAACATAAAGTTAAAATACAAGAAATAACAATATAAAATAATTAACAATATAAAATAAGTCACCCTGGCCAGATAAAATAAGCAAATACTATTAACAATTAAAATGACGCTTAAATAAAAAGGTCTTCGCCTGGTGCCGAAAAACAAATAGCGATGGCGCCAGGCGGACCTCTCTGGGGAGTGCATTCCATAGATTGGGCGCCACCGCAGAGAAAGCCCTCCTCTGAGTAGCCACCCTCCTAATTTCCTTCACGGAGGGTTCCCGGAGAAGGGCCTCTCCCGCTGATCTCAAGGGGCGGGCGGGCGTATATGGATGTAAGTTACTGAGAAACAATCCGCAGGTGTTACTCCCTGGAATTTGTGGTGATTCTCTGACGGGGCCAAGACTTTGGTGCTTCGTAGTGCTGGTATCGGCTGTTCTTAGCCTGGTGCCTTCTGGATGCTTTAGGCTGCAGCGCCCACTCGGCCAATGATTCAGGATGATTGGAGTTGTAGTCCAAAGCATCTGGAGGGGTGCCATATGACTAGCAGATGACTCTGGGTGGTGAAAACAAGCACGGATGCTGCAATCCCAATGAAATATTTTCTGATGTTGCCCCATCAGAAGTGCAGGCGAAAGATCATGGGATCTTTGGGTGGTGGTCGTGGGGAGACGATACCAAACCGTGTGTCTGTCTGGTGCTGATCAAGGTGCCACTCATAGTAGTGGGGTCGGCATGAAAGGGGTTTCTGGAATGCGGGATGCATGAGCTCGGAGGGAAATGGCAGCTTCCCATATTTGAAGGACACTTTTGGAGAACAATGGAAAAGCTGAAGAAATTCCAGGTGCCGCCTTCTGGTTGCTGCAAACTTGGATGATGACAAAAAATAACTTTTTATGAGTTTCTTGCAAAACCAGTTCTCAGACTTGATTCTGGTGCTTAAAAGTATATATCAACCTTTCTTAACCTGCTGTCTGATCACAATGAGTTGGGTAACAACTTTCAGCAGTGCCCAGTCATATGGCCATTCTGGGTGGGGCTGATGAGCATTGTAGTCCAACACGTCTGAAGTTGGGGAAGCCTGCAATGAATGCTCAGCCCTGCTTTGGCCCCTTGAAAACAAGGGCCAGGCCCAGCTCAGTCCGGGTGTTCAATGGTCATCGGACTTGCTTCCCTGGTGGGTATGGTAATATTTAAGGAATACGGGCAAACACCATAAGCCCAGTGGAAATTCCCAAATAAGAGGCCAACGTACCTGTATCACCTTAGGGGCTGTTCCCACTGAGGTGCTAAGCCTGGACTGTACCATTGTCCACTTCAGCCTGGGGGTCCATGGGTTGGAAGTGGGACAGCCTGAACATGGACATAGCACTCCGTGAGAAGAGCCAGGCCCCAGCCAGGGTTTTTTGGCTACGGCGCTTTAGCTGACATTAAACTAGGTTCTGTTCTCAGGTACACACTTAGCAGTCCTGCTGGGTGTCCAAAGGTGTAGCAGCACAGAAATTGTGGAAGCAAAGGAGTCGGAAGCAGGCAGCGATGAGTGCTCCTACCTGCACACGAAGTAGCTGCTCCTCAGTGAGCCTTTGGCCTCCGTCACCCCAGGCCTCGGCCATGTTGGTTGGGGCTGATGGGACTTGGCTAGAATATCTGGAGGGTACTGGGCATGGGGAGGCTGTCTCGGTCCTTCTGGGTGTGCGGTGGTGCTTTAGGAAGAGGCCTTGGCGCTGCAGCTGTCCTGGTTTTTTTCTTGGCAACGTTGCCCATTTCCACCTGGTGCTCCTCACATTTTGCAAGGAACAGGAGGAGGGAGAGCACGGAAAATGGCGCCGCCGCTTACAGGATGGCCACAAGGTGCCTGCTTTTGACCTGTGCTGGTTTCCTACCACAAATGGCTCTTGGGGGGTTAGCAATAGACACAGTTAAAAACAGGAAAAGCTCCCTTGAGCGCAACACGTCCACTAGCACTGGTCTGCTGGAATGAAGGGACTGTTGCCTGCAGGCAGAAGGGCCACAGAGAGGAGCAAACGCAGCCCTCCTTGGCGGGGGGAGTCACTGGGGAGACCCTCTTCTGTGTTGGCCCATTTGTGCTTCCGGCCAGAAGGGCCTCCAGACAGCTGGGGAACTGAGCGGGGGAAAAGGCCTTCCTTTGGGTCGGCTTGGTCCAGAGCCACGAGAGGCTTTAACTACTAACAAACACCTTGAGTTCCACTTGCGAAAGGAGGAAGTTGCCTGTTCCTTCTAGCGAGCCCCAGGCAGCCGACTGATCCACAGGTGAAGTTCCTGGGCGCTCTTCAAAGGCAGCCCCGGTCGGAGCTTGCTACTGTCGTCCAAATGGGGTGTAGTTAACGCCGGCGCTGTGTCGGAGCCCCTCAGAATCCATCTCTCTTAGTCTGCAGACTCCCTTTGGTGCTTGGCTCTGTCTTAGGAAAAGAGCAAGCCGCGCTGCGAGGAAGTGTGCAATCGCACGGCGGCCCAGGTTGCACAAGAGGCAGCCTTCTGCAGTCGAGGGCCTCAGGCGTGTGTGCGGAAGAGGGACACTGCTTGTGCAATGGTTGTCGTACAGGCCGGGACTCCTGGCGAGCACCTCACAAACAGCACCGGGCAAGCTTACCAGGAAGTTGGGCGCACAGTCCCAGGAAAGCCGGGGAGCTGAGCCCGGGAGATCCGACGGATTCCCACCCCAAATGGCTTCGCCGCACATCCCAGACTAACGCAAAGAGTCACTGGCTGGATCAGGCCTCGTGGTGCAGCAGCCTCAGGTGAACGCTTTGCTGGCCAGGCCAAGGCCTGCCTGCGGAGGCATCCGCAAGCACACCCGAAGTGTGTTAGTATTTACTGAACGGACTTGAGGGCCGGCCACTAACGGCACGCTCTCTGGGTGGTCAGAAGACAAGCCGGGGTGTTCAGGACCGGCTCTCCCCACCCGTCAAGAGGGAATCCCTGTCCAGCCCATGGCGGGTAGCGCAGCCATCGGAAACGAACCTGGATCGGATCGTTCACCCAAGTTTGCTGTACTGTAGGCCAAAACAGCAGGAGCAGCTGTAACTCTGCCCACACCTGTTGGCCAGGGCTGATGGGAGTTGTTGGCAAAAGCATCTGGAGTGGGTGGCGCACCCTGTTCTAGCGGCGGCAGAGTGAATGGTTTAGGGCCGGGCCTCTTCCGGTGCTGGCATCTCCCCCGTGGACGAGTGTTGCTAAAGGATCTGCCTGGAACTGACCTTAGTGGTTGGATTAGTTTATCCGGTGGGCTTTACACCTGCCTTCCCTTACCTAGGTTCCTTCAAAGAAGCTGGACTACAGCTTCATCATCTTCAGGCTGGGGATGATGGGGAGGTAGCCAAGTTCCTGGGGGGGGGCGCACACACTGGGGAAGGCTCGTTGCATTCCAAGCGGTGATAGAACGGCCGAGTTCAGTGCCTGGGCAAAACAGAAAATCGCTGAACTATGGAGACGACTGGTCTGCCCTTTCTCTCGGCTGCTAATAACCACCTAGCCGAGAGAAGGGGAGAAAAACAATTGCTGGGGGAAAGGGGGTGAAAGGTGGTAATTTAAAAAACAACAACCTGGCAACACCTGGTGATCAGTGACCTTGAGACTTGCACCTGCTTCCATGTGGCTGGAACGCAATCCTTGTGCCGAGGGGCCGAGTGCAGGGCAGCAGGCCCGCCCTCCCTCCCGCCCTCAGAACTGGGGCAGTGCTTCATGAGCAGTCTGTTCCACAAAGGTTTTTTGTTAAGGAGGTCTTAAAAGGTGGCAGAAGACGTGTAGAAACTCAGGGAAGAAAAAAGGTTGCTCAAGCTCTTATGTCCCCACCTAAAATCCACTGATCTCCCCCCTCCCCTGAAACATTTGCTTTTTGACACGTCCGCCTTCCAGGAGATGTGCTGAATCTGCTCCTGGGCCAGCTGGGGTTAAGTGCCGGCTTAGGCATCGGTCCGCAAGACCTTTCCCAACCTGGTCCCGGCAAGGTGTGTGGGACTTGTGCCGTGCTCCGTGCCGGTGTAGCCGGGGGTCAGGAGGGCCGGGACAGCCGCCTTGCCAGGTGGGGCTTGCTCCTGTGTAAGGCCGCTTTGCCCAGGTCAACAAAAGCATTCTTTGCTTCAGGCGGCATTCCATTGCCCCTCCTCCTCCTCTGGTATCCCAAGCACAATAGCAGAGAGAGATGCCTCGCCTTAAAAGTCCCAGACCAGGGATTTTTAATTGTAAAATACGTAAAATAAAGATGATGTGGGGTGAGGCGAGGGGGGTTGAGCCTGGTGGGCCCTGCTGGGTGTCTCGGAGGACGCCACGCGGTCTGGGGTTGCCCCCCTGCCTCCCCCCTGCAAGGGGCACTTGGTGCTTTGGGACTGATGCTGCACGCAGACCCGGCAGCTGTAAGGAGACTCCCCGTCCTCCGTGGCAGCAGCTGAAGGCATCTGGGTCGGATCATGGCGAGGGGTTCAAATGACCCCCCCCCCCCGTGACGCTGTTCCGTTTCTGCAATAAGGGGGCAAAAGTTGCTGCTCTTCCGTCGGGGAAGCTGGTGGTCTCCCAGTGGCTTTGAAGGAGCCTGGACCAGAGGCCTGCTGTGCTTAAGGTCCTCGAAGCAAGGCTGGCGGCGGCCGGCCTGGTTCCAGGGAGACGCGGCTGCGCTTATTGGTGGGCCCTGGAGACGCTCTCCCGGTCAGCTGAGGGGCCTGCCTTGAAACGAGGTCAGTTGCGTTGCCGCTCTTCCTGCTGCGTATGTCTCCTCTGCCGGCGGGTCATCTGAGCTCCAGAGCGTGCACATGGGCCGCAAGTGCCGAGCCCCCACTGCTCGGAGCCCGAGACGTCGTCACTGCCCTGCTGGCGGCCAAATCCGTGCGGGTCCCCAGAGGCAGTCGCGTGCACCCGCCTTCCTCCCGCGTCACTTGTGCGGGGCAGAGGAGGCCAGGCGGGCCACCGTAACTGAAAAGCACACTATGCCGTGGCCACTGCTTGGGATAGCGCTGGCTCGTGTCCGCATCCCCGTGGGTAATAAAGCAGGCCCAGAGGGGCTGCTCCGGGGTCCCGGCTCTTCTGGGCATTTATTGCCGTACTTTGGTCTGTTCTTGCCCAGAAGCCTCAAGGGAGGGCCAGCGGCAGCATGCGCGTGGTCGGTCCTTTCGGAGGGTCCCCACCCCGGCAGAGGCCCACCACCAAGACTGCCCCCCCACCCCCGGCCTTGTTCCTTGCTTTTCACCTGCCTACGCTTCTGGGCCAGACCTCGGTGGCGGATGGGAGATGCCGCGCTGCCTGGTTCTTGGCCGGTCAAGCAGGCAAGTGGTGGCAGCGATGAGACAGAGGAAAAGGAGCGAGAGCAGCTGCTGGTGGTCGTGGTGAGGAGGGGAATTCCATGATGGGGGGCCCATGGCGGGTGTCAGTGCCTGGAGCTGACCCTGAGCGGGGTGGGAAACCTCAGGCCATCCTGTGCGGCCCCTGATCATGCAGTGGCCCCCTGGCTCCTGCAGTGCCCTTTTGCCCTGAGCGGTGATCCCGGGCCTGGTTCGCTCTGAAGGGTCTGGGCAGGGGCTCGGGAGACCCTTGGCAGATTGTGTCTGCTCCCCGAGCAGAACTGTGTAGTGGCAGAGCCACCATTCCCGGGGGGCGCCCAGGTCGGTGGGAGACGGGAGCGGCGCAGCTCAGAAGAACCACCTGTGGCTTCTCACAGGCTCCCTTCACGCATTAGGGCACCTCCCAGCATGGCTGGGCTACCGTTTCCTTCCTCTGCCGGGCACCTCTTTTTCATGCTGCTGTGCAAAGTAGAAAGTTGCTTTCAGATGCAAAGCAGGGATCGGGCCAACTTAGCGGAAGAAGGGAGAAGAAAACGAAGCAAGAATTAAAAAGGGGTGATCCCCCACGCCCCTTGGCCCATCTCTGGGCAGCAGACCCGTGGGAAGGAGCGGGGTCTTTTTGCATTGTGTCTCCGTGAGCGGTAAATGCAGAGGAGGAAGAGGGTGTGGCAGAAATGCGTTGCCGTGTTGTGACTCCGTTCCCCAAACTGGCCCTTTCAGCCACGCTGGACTACCATTCCCCCCAGTTCCAAGCCAGCTGCAGTAGGTGACACCCTTGGGACTTCTGTGGGGTGGCCCCATAGCATGCTGGCGAGCTCTCTGGGACAGAGGGAAGGGATAAAGCAGCTCTCCCCACACCGGACCGTCTTCATGAGAATTGGGTGGGGATCCCGTTAAGTCAGGAGAAGAAAGAGCAGGGCAGGCTCGGGGTGCGTACGCCCCTTGGGCAGCAGACTCTGCCACCCGTCGGGGTCTCTGGGCAGAGAGCGCAGTGCTGTCGTCTAACAGGGAGGTCGCCGTTGCTGCCACTGACTGCGTGGCATTTATATCTAGCGTTCCTTTCTCTCTCCGCCGGCTCCTGCCAGGCAGCTCGCTTCCCCTCGCCAGTCTGTTGCTGGAAGGGTCCAGTTGCTGCTTAAAGCTGTGCGCAGAACCACGGATTTGCCTGCGTGGGGGGGGGGGGCTTCTGCCCCCCACAGGGGGAATGTGTCTTGCACTGCTGATGTACTTCTTCCGGCCTTGCGCGCTCTCACTTTCGCCTCCACCCGCTCCCACCCCAAGCATAATGACAGCCTTGTTCTGCGAGGTCTGTGGCACCATTTGCCCAGGTCTCCCGGGGGAAAAGATGCCACTCCAGTTTCTGGAGTCATGCCACGTAACCTATTTAATTTTCTCCCTGTTTTTTTTCCTTCCTGCGCAAAATGCCAGAGCTTAGATTTAGATGGCAATCCCTCAGGCAGGGTATTCTTGGCACTGTGGCAAGGGAGGGAAAGCTGCTGCTGGACTACAGCTCCCATCATCTCCAACTGTGTGCCAGGCTGATGGGGGTCGGAGTCCACCATCATCTGGAGGGGCAGGTGCTTCCACCTTGGTGCACGGTTGCATCCCAGCAGGATGACCGGTGACGGGGTGGTCCTTGGATAGCGCCGCTTCTGTGCTCTGGGGCAGGGGAGTGGGACCCCTTGCATTCGGGGGGGGGGCAAATTCACCTTCAGGGAAGTTCTTGGGGGGCACATTCTGGTGGTGGGTGGGGCTGAAGGCCAAAGGGGTGAGTTCCACGAGCTTCTTCTCAAAACCCTGGGAGGAGCAGGGTGAGCGGGTCCTCCGAGTCTTCCTCCAGCTTTCGGCCAACCGTGCTGACTGCCGTCCCTCCAGGCTGGCCTTCTGCTCACCCACAGAGTGCGGACTCCCCAGTGTGAGGGGCTGTCTTGGTGGGGCTCCTCCTGCCTCGGAGCCCCCACCGTGGTACCACGGGCATGCGGGTCCATCTGTGGGTCCATCTCTTCCTACAGTAGCATAGATGGCGCCCACCCACCAGCCACGGGACGCTGCAGGAACTTTAAAGGCCTAGCTGGCCACTGTTAACCAGGTCAGAGAAGGCAGGGGCTGGTGGAGGGCCCTGGGATGCCTCGGTACAGCACTGGCCCCGAGCGCTTGGGTGGGGAGTCTTCCTGCGTGGATGGCTCGTCTAAGATGCCCACGTGGGTGTCAGTCCTGTCACCTCCTCCTGATGGCTCTGAACTCAGGAAGGCTGGACCAGCCTAGAGGGTACAGGCGACTCCCCGCCACTCCTTTTCTCGATTTTGGAGCCTGGGAGAAGTCGCCCGTAGCTGGCAGCAGAGATGACCTGTAACTCTGGGAGGAGTCTCCCCCCGGGGTGAAGGCCGGGCGAGTGTGTCCCACCAGGGCTCCGGGAGCGTGGAGCTGGGGTCAGCACTGCTCCGGCCTACCTTGCCCGATGCTAAGCAGGGCACGCCCGCTCGCTGCACATGCTGGTGGGTTTTGCTGTCCCACAAGAGAGAGAAAAGGACTCGGGTTTCCTCCCCTTGGAAAATCCGACGGCAGCAGCCAGTCGGCAGCAGCCAGTCGGCAGCAACCCGCCTCGCGTGGTGCTCACCGGCGGAGCCTGCAAGAAGCGCCCTCCCCGGCCTGCATCGGGCTCGGCCCAGCTCACGTCATCTGTTCATCCTTAGGTACCTCCTGGAGCAAGACTTCCCTGGGATGCGGATTGGGCCGGAGCCCACAACGGACTCCTTCATCGCCGTGATGCAGGGAGAGGTGGAGGGCGTCATTCCCGGGAACGCGCTGGTGGTCGATCCCAAAAAGCCCTTCAGGAAACTCAATGCCTTCGGCAACGCCTTCCTGAACAGGTCAGTGTGGAGGCCTTTGATATCGGGCTCCCCGCAGACGCAGGCACCTCGGCAGGCCGGCCAGCGCCTTCGTCTGGGACCCAGATTATATCTGGCCTTTGTCTAGTCTGAGTCTGGAAAGTCTGTTTTGCAGCTCCCTTTCCAGACAATCTCAGCCGAGGTTTGGGAGTGCCCTGCTGCCAGCTGGGCCCTTGTGGCAACCCGCAGGGGAGGACTAAAACGTGCGTTATGGAGGGGGCCTCGAAGGACCAGCAGCTTGTGACTTGGAGCATAATTTCCTCGCTGTGCTTCCCCAGCCCTGCCTGAAACCGGCTTGCCTTTGGACTAGCAATTGCACCTGTGATGGGGAGGGAAGCTTTACTCCACAGGTCTTCTCTGTATTCAAAGTGTTTTCTTGGCCCCCCAAATGCACGGAATTCTCTCAAGGTGGTTTGAAGCCTTAAATACCCTTCTGCTCATCAGCCTTCCAAAACCTGGTGCCTTCCTGATGCCTCAGACCACAGTCGCCCGCAACTAACTAAAGTTAAAATTTGCAAAGCTGGAACACTTGAGCTCAAGTCAAAAGTTGGTGTTTAAAAACCCCCGAACCCTTTGAAGCGGGTTAATGCCTGCACTGGGCCTGGCCAAAATCGCTTGGCGACGCCTCCTTGGCCCAGCTTAGAGGGGCATGCCTCTTCGGGGAGGGTGGGCCCCGGGTGCGCTGGGCCATCCCGCTCCGACATTGTGTGTGCAGAGTCGAGCAGGAAGGCTGCTTGGCAGGGGCTGAACTGTCCTGCCCTTTCCAAGGGATCTCATTGTGAGAATCGCTGAATGTTCATGTTCCCACTTGCCGGGCAGAGCGAATATAATAGACGGGAGGAACAGTGCCACGTGGGCGTGACCGGCAGCCGTGGCGTGCGGTTGTGAGCTGGCAGCCAGCCCCTTGGCCAGCCTCGGCCTCCTGCTTCTCCTGCCTTCCCTCCATGCCTCGCCCGCCCGCCTGCTTGCCTGTGCATGCGCACACGTGCCCACGCAGAGACTTGGCTCAGCAGCTCCTCCGTCAGCTTCTGCAGCGTCTGGTCTGCTGGTGGGGTCGATCTCGACCTGTTCCCCTGGAAGGTGTTTGCTCTGATCCTTTGTGGTGGTGCCAGGGGTGTTGCGCACCACAGAACTGCTCTGGTCTCATCTTTCAGCGGTGTGTGACACATCTGAAAAACCCCCGAACTGTGATAAAAGCGCAACTCCAAAATTACTTGCTGAAGCCAGATAGGATGGTGTACACATAGGCCTGGGTCACGCACCACAGCAAGCCAGTGCTTATTTAACCCTGTGTTGCCCTAAGCAGGGTTTTCCTGGCAGATGATCGAAACAGCCGGGTTTCCTGAACTCCGTGGCAGTTTGTCTCCCTTCTACTTGGCTCGCTCCCCCCATGTGTCCAAAAAGTGTTTGCGGTGCTTGTGTCAGTGGCGTGCGGAGAGGCTGGTTCTGTTTTTTTTAAACTGCTTTTGCCCTCTGCTTCTGTCGCCTGGCAAAACACGCTTCCCAGTGTGCACAGAACAATATGTGGCTTAAACAACCCAGTGCTCACAACCGTCAAGGGTTCTCTTTCTGGGTTGTCGGCAGCCAACAAACCATGGCTGCATTTATGCATCATAACAACCCAAAATGCAACAACCTGCACTATAGGTTAGCCCCATGTGCAAGCCGAAATTAGGCGAAATCCAGCGTGGCAAAACCTGGGCACTCATCCAACAAGACACTTCCCCTGGTGCTTATTTGTTTGTATTGATTAGTTATATTTATATCCCACCTTTTTCCTTTCAAAGAACCCACAGCGACTTACATAATTCTCCTCCTCCTGCTCTCGGTCTTATTCCCCAGAACAACAACCCTGTGAGGTAGGTTGGGCTAAGCTTCTGCAACTGGCCCAAAGTCAGCTGGTGAGCTCCACAGCTGAGCAGGGACCACAGCGCAGAGGGCCTGATCCCCAGGCCTGTGCGCTGCACCACAACACCACACGTGTTCCCGCATCCCCCTCCTGCTCTGCTCCGGAGGGTCACCGAGCCCTTTGAGAGCATGCGCCTTCGGTAATGTTCGCCATAACTCGGCATTATGCTGAGGGCCCCCTTCGAAATCCCGGGCAAGCCCACCCTTTTACGCGTATCCGTGCATTCCTAGTTAACCGTGGGGGCCCTGGGCTAAACCCTGCGCTCTCCTGACACGACGGGCGGCCGCTCCCCGGGATTTCCATCTGGCACGTTGTCGAAGTCGCTCGCGCATCAGCTCACGCAGCCTTTCCCAACCCGGTGGCAGCCCACAAGTGCCGGACTGCAGCACCCGGCTTCTGCGGGACGTCACCGGGGTGGGGAATGTGGCGCAAGCAGTCGAGTTTGTGCGTGCACACACACCGTCTTGGGCCAGGGCAGGGCGAGGTGGCGGTTTGCGGTGCCCGTTTGCATGGGTTTCCTTCAGTGCCAGATCCGTCTCCTGGCTTTGCAGGCACTTGATTATGGCCCTGTTGCTTCTTGGATGCTCACTGGCTGAGATGACTCAGGGTTGGGCTCCTGCCAGAGGATTACTTGAAAGAAGACAAAACATGCCCAGTTTGCAGAGAAACCTCAATCATCCCATGAAAAAAATGCTCTCCATGGCAAACGTAAACCTCTGGCAGAGAAGAAAGTATTGTTTGCAGGTTGTCAGAATGAGGGCTATATTTACTTTGGTATTTGAGCAACTGAGTATAAAACTCATGTGATTTTAGAATTATTTTATTGTGGCCATAATTCTAGCCACGTCTTTAAAGCATCTGCAAACACTCAGCTTTGAATAAGGAGGCAGAATGCGGCAGACAGGTGTGAAAAGAACGAAAACCTTGAGTCATTTTTGCGGGTGGAGCCCATGTTAGCAGCTGCTAGGACTCGGGCCCTGAGTCTTTCCTTTGAAGCTCTCAGGTCCTTAGAGTCCCCTCCCTGGAGCCCGGGAGCACTTGCTGAGGTAAAGCCGGAGCAGCTTTGGTGATCCTTGATCCCTCAGGATTAGCCAGCTCTTGGCCCACATGGGCTTCACCTTCCGCCGTCCCCCTTGAACCTTTCTGCTTTCTGAAATCCACTGCCTTCCTCTCCCCATCTGTGCATGCCTTTTAAAAAATGGAGGCTTCCGTAGAAGGCAAGCTCCTTTCAACACACGGATCCCACATGCAAATATAGAGCGTATGATTAGGATATGCAAACTTGTGGGATTCCCGGATCTGGGATTACGGTAGCACTAGGGTTAGGTGCGAAATCCCTCCAACACACCCTTGGCATGTGGTTTGAAGCCCAGCCTTCGCCAAATCTTTGCTGGGTTGCACCATTTCAGAAGGAGGGAACGCTCCTCAGTACGAAACCGACGCCTTCCCTTGGAATTAAGCCTCTGGGGGAAGCTGGAAGGCGGGGGGAACGGGGAAGCGGGGGCTTGGTTGCCTGTGGCTCTGTTGTCCCGACCAAGGCACTTCCTGTGGAGCGGGGCTTGCAAGTGGCCACACAAGTGATGGACCGATTACAGCGGCCCACCTTGGGGGCTTCCGAGGCCCAAAGGCTTGCTGGGTGCCCCACGGGGCTTTGACCCCCTCGCACCTGGTGCAGCAGTCAAGGGGGTGGCCAGTGGCGCAAAGTGTCGTATATGCAGGTCACGCGCCCCGCTGCCGCCAGAGCAAGCGCGACGGATTCACCCATCCCTAGGCCTGGCTCCTTCTTTTCCCCCTAATGATGTCATGGCACATTGTTTTTGTGTGTCTCTTTCCTCCTTAGATTTGTGTGCGCACAACTGCCAAACGCGGTCCTGGAGAGCATCAGCGTCATTGATACGCCCGGGATCCTTTCTGGGGAGAAACAAAGAATCAGCCGAGGTAAAGTTAAAGGAACAGCATCTAATTATCGGACAAAGATGTCCTTCTTCTGGAGTTGGCTTAAGCCTCGCTTTGAAATTTAGAAGCGCGGAAGCCAAATAGGCGTTGCTCGGCAAAATCCTTTGCCGGCAGGATTTGCTTTGGAAAGTTCTGCAAAGCTTTAAAGTTGGCTGCAGGGTGGGGAAGCAGGAGGGGCATGCTTGAACGTCCTCCCCCTCAAGTAAAATCTGAAGCAGGGGCTGTACCAGTTGGAACAGAGGAGACGAGCTCATGCTTTTGGATGGCTGCCCCAGTGTGAAATATTCTGCAGGAAGCTAGTGTTGCCTTGCATAACTTGGATTTTATTTATTTGAACTATGCTTGCGCTACACGGTTTCCCCCTGGAACTACACCGGTTTTTGGTCTTGATTATGCCCTACCAGTTGCATGGAGTCACAGCGGTGTGGGGGTGCCGAGGGGCTGGTCATGGGTTTTTTCCAGTAACCTCATGCTGTTTCTCCCAAAGTTGAGAGTGCTCTCTGTGCTGTTTTCCCCCTTTCGTTTCCATGTTCCCAGCCGAAGCAATGACAGGACCCTGGGAGCGTCATGGGGATAATTGGTGCCTGTTTTCACACTCTGTCCAGCACATCCCAGAGGACATATCAGGGCTGCTGAAGCGTCTCACCCTTCACAAGAGTGACGCTGAAAGCTTTGAAATCAGATTTGAACTAGAATCTTGGCAGGGGGGTTAAAAAAAGAATTGTTCTGAGCATTCTCACACATACTGAATTTTGAGTCATACGCCTGTAAAGAACACGGGTGGGAGTGGAGAAACACAGAAAATTGCTTCATATATTCCACTAGTACGTATGGGTAGGGGAAGGAAATACGCAGCTTTTAAGGTTGTCTCACCTGACGATAACCACAACAATGGCATTGCATTTATACCATGCCTGTCTTCCGCTTGCAAGGGACCCAGAGCAGTTTTCAAGGTTCTGTTCCTCTCTTCACAACAACCCTGTGAGGTAGGTTAGGCTGAGGGTTCATGACTGCCCCAGTGAGCCAGGCACTCTGGCATTCCTGCCCTCCAGCAACAGGCACCACCCTGAAGGTGGGGTCCGAAGCTTTCCTGAAAAGGAAGGCCCGAGGGGACACTTCTGGGTTGTGTTCATCTCTCTCCCTCAACCTTGGTAGAAGGCCTCCAAGGTGGATCACTGCTCTGAGATCTGTTGAGCTTCAATAAAAGAGCGGCACGCACTTATTTATGTGCTGCTTCAATTTATATGCCGCTACATTGGACACTGAGCAGCTTCGAGGGATTGCCGAAAGTTTGATAACCAGAAGGAAGGCAGGAAGGGACGAGCGCATGACCCTTGGTGGGGAGAGGAGGCGACGCCACGTGCAGCGTGTCGGTGGAGCTCGGAGCTGGGCTGCTCTGCTCTGCTCGAGGGATCTGCCATCCGAGCCACGCTCCCTTTCCCCAGAGTAAAGGGGGCCCGTGACCCAGAGCAGGGCCATGCAGCTCCCTCCGAACTTGTGCCAACTGCGCCTGGGCAGAGGGGAGTGGCTGAGATTGGGTAAGTGCGTATCCATGAGCAACTCGATCCATATTGATGTCTTTTCCCCCAGATACCAAACCTCATTTCTGTAATATTTAATATAGACAGGAAGCCAGCCCAAAGCACCACATTAAAGGAAAAACTGGGATGGGGGGAGGGGGAAACTATAATAGGAAGAGTGTTTTCTGAACTGTTCATCCGCTTGCCAGAGTTACCTTTTCCAGCCTGATCTTCGATTGAGGAATGAGTTGTCTCCAGGGGCAAAACTGGGGAGCACTCTGCGTGGGCGTATCCTCTTGGGTATTGCTAGCTGGAGAATGTTGGGAGGCTGCTGATGGCTGGAAAAATGAGCATTCCCCGTCAATTCTGGCCAAGAGTAAGTGGGGTCAAGAACAGGGAGTTGAGTTTCTGGAAACGAGCCGAAACCCTGATGAGATCATTTCAGGCTCGCAGTGTACTTGTGTAATTATTCTTGCATCTGGGGAGTTCTGCTTTAGATGGAAAATCACTCCTACTATGAAAATGTAAGAGACAGAATCTGAGGGCCCACGTTCCTCATACATTGGTCACTGGCACTGTTAGAACGTGGAATGGGTTGTCTGGATTGAATGTGAACAGGAGTAGTGGTCTTCCTGGAAGATGGCCTGGAGCTCTCAAGCTCTTTTCACCTGTGTGGTCTCTACACACCCATTGACTCTTCGAAAAGGAAAAGAGTTTGGGAACATTTAAAGAATTTTGTTTCTTCCAACATCATTTGATGATAACGGGATATTTCAAGAACAGAACTAAATTATCAGATAGGATCCACCAAAAATACTCATAAAAGGCAACCCCTGACAATAGAGAAAGAGGACCTGGAGAAGTTCCTTTCGCTCCATAATCTCCAGGATAAAGCTTTAGACAGGTCCAGCTCCTCAGTTTTTTTCCCGATACTTCGCAGGAAGGCATTTCTGAATGCATATCCCGCTACAGGTGGAGTGAGGTTTACCTCTTCCACGAGCAGCAAAGCAGGCCGGCTAGATAGACTTCAAGGAAGTAAAAGCGGAGTTGTCGTGGCATCATCACCCGCTGGCCCAATCATGCCATTTTGGCTATTGAATTCGGCTTCGGTCAGATCTTCCCCAGGGGAACACCCTTGTGGTCTCCGCTTGAGCAAGCATGTGGACTCCGCTTGGCCTCTTGCCAGAGTGGTGGGAAACGTCTAAGAGAGTAATCAGAAAGAAATGTCGCAATTGCGAATTTACGGGCAACAGATGAGAACTTCTGCATTAACGGGAGGAGGATGTTCAGTTTTTAAAGTCCTGTAGTAGCCCTACAACGAAAGGGTGTTGGTTCAGTCAAGGGTATTCACTGAGAATGACCTGTATGTATGGCTGAGGATGCTGGGACTTGTAGGACTGTCTTCTGTCCAAACCTGCCTAGGGTTGCATCCTGACCAAGCTGACTGTCCACAGCTTCTAGCGTTACTGTAATTCAACAGCGGCTCTTGAACCTTTGCATTACAGAGACTGTCCCCCTCTGCACCTCTCCAACTGTCGAGCAACCTCCCAAGCACAAGGTCTGTCTGCATCTTGTGCAGAGTGACTTGAGAAAGAAATGGAGTGCATTCCTGGGGCTGAGAGATCCATTCTTCACCCCGGAGAGAGAGCTCAGTAGTGCATAATTCCACGCATTCCCGGGCACGGACACAAGCCAGGCGGGGAGCGGTGCGTCTCTGTGTCGTCACCATCCGGCCTTCCCTCTCTGTTTCGCAAACAGCTAGGCCTCTGAGCATGAATCACCATACCTTGGTCGAGGGGGAAGGTTGGGTGGGACACTGGGCCGTGTGCAAAGGCGGTCAAGCATGTTTTGGAGAAGAGTGTTTTAAACACACTAGCAGCCTCAAAGGTGGTCAGTTCTTTCCTGGGTTGGCCACTGCGGCATGCCACCTGCCACTCAGAGTCTGTCGACTGTCATACGTGAACAGTTTTATTATTATTATTATTATTATTATTAGAACATTTCTATGCCGCCCCTTGCCGAAGCCTCGGGGCAGCTTACAACACAATAAAATACAATACAAAAATAACAATATAAAATTAAACTTAATAATATAAAATAAATAAGAAATATAAACGATATAAAAGAAGTTAGAAAAGTTATAAAAGAAAAGAAGTTGCCCTGGCCAGATAAATAAGTAAATATTGTTAACAATTAAAATGACGTTTAAATAAAAAGGTCAACACGTCAAACAGCTGTCAAACGCCTGCCCTGCAGCTTTATTTGGGCACTGGTACTGCATGTGAAAGAGCTGTATATCTGGAAAACATTTGCCATCAAAAATGAGGAAAGCAGGGAGTGGGATTTTATTTCCGCTTTAGTTCGGCATTGCGACTCGTAGCCGCACAGCCAACTCTCAGGAGCGTGAAGCAGAGACGGGAATAGACCGTGCTGGCAATCGTTTCAGATGGAATCAGTGTGGTTTGACATAGTCACCCAAGCAGTGTAGCTTATGGTTTGCCTCATGTGCTTTTCAAAACGCAAGAGTCTGCCAAGCCCCAGAGAAGAAAGTCACGATCAGCCCTTCCAGGAAACGCTTCCTGTTGAAGCCGTTTAAGGGTGGCCATTGCGAATTTGTGGCCGCTGTCAGCTCTCGAGGGTGCAAAATGTGCATTCAAGCAGCTTGGAGATGATGGGGCCGAAAGGCAGAAAAGAGGGAATGTCGCGATCTGCACGTCTCTTATGCCAGTGTTGAGGAAAAGGCGCAAGAGCGGAGTCCGTTCTACCAGCTTTCCTTCGCTGCCGTAGTGGCTGGACTCCTGAGCACTATTTCATAGATGTGCAGGCTGCCCCTTGAATAGTAATGACTTCCTTGACCATTAATTCTAAAGCAAAGCAATAAACCATCTAGGCCACGGCCTCGCGCACCGTTGGCACCGTCAAATCCTTTCTTTGACCTTGGTCGTTCTTGACAGCACACGACCGCAGAGTCTCATGAAGGCAGAAGGCTTTTTTAAAACTGTTTCTGCTTTTTAAGACTGTTTCTCACCACTTGTGCTGTATTCTATACCGGACGGTATCCCGAAGAGGTCACCTAGGATTACCGTTGATTGATTAAAAATAGACCGGGGTCGAGCTGGAGCGGCTCCGGCTTCTCGGATCCGCGCAGTGGGAGGAATGCTAGATGACTGCCGTATCAGTGGGAGGCCCAGGCCTGGTTCAGTGGGAAGGGACCATCTCCCATTTGTTTGGCTCTCGCGACTCCTTTGCGGTTGCCTCGGTGCCTGACACGACGACGACGGCCGCCTGGGAATGGCGGCCGGGGGCTGCGTTTGCCAGGGGGCCTCCTGGATGCCGGGCTGAGCGAGGCGATGCTCGCAGGAGACAGAGTGTGTGGAGGGCCCCTTGCTCTGCTGGCCTCCCTTTCTCCTCTCTCTTTCCACCCCCCGCTTCGCTCCCGCGCTCTCCATTCACACGCAGCGGGCTGCCCCAGAGCACCCTTGCCGGAGGTCTGGACTGGGTCGAGGGGAGCGTGGGATTAGACAGCAGCCCCGCCTGAAAAGGGACTCCTCCTGTGGTAGCATCAAGCTGGCTCGGAATGGGGTGAGGACATAAACAAGCGCCCAGAGGGGTTCCTCTAGCTGCAGTATTGAGGTCTTTTAAAAATAAAGGCCTGGGGCCCTTCTAGCTCGTGGGCCCCACGATGGCCTCCTGCTGGGCTTGGGGAGCCCCCTTTGATTCCTTTGGGGTGGAGCGTGGCCTCCAAGCCCTGCCTCCTGGAGGAATGTCTGTTTTCTCAGTGTGGAAGTCCAAGCAGGGGTCCGCATCCCAAGCACACGACACGGGGAGATCCCCACTGTTACCCCCCAGTACCAGCTCGGGTGCTGGGAGCTAGCAAACGGGGGGGGGGGGGCAGGATAGCCACTGACATCATCCAGTTTGTGGAGGACCAGTGGGGGGGTCCTCTGAGTCATCCCCCTCCCTTCAGCTTGGTCCATTGCGTTCCCCGGAGCCGCCGCCAGCGTGTCTCAGGAGGCCTCGCCTCAGTCCTCACGCGCCCCTTGGCTTCCCCACCAGGGTATGACTTCGCAGCCGTCCTGGAGTGGTTCGCGGAGCGGGTGGACCGCATCATCCTGCTCTTCGACGCCCACAAGCTGGACATCTCGGACGAGTTCTCGGAGGTGATCAAGGCCCTGAAGAACCACGAGGACAAGATGAGGGTGGTGCTGAACAAGGCGGACCAGATCGAGACCCAGCAGCTGATGCGGGTCTACGGCGCCCTCATGTGGTCCCTGGGGAAGATCGTCAACACGCCCGAGGTGATCCGCGTCTACATCGGCTCCTTCTGGTCGCACCCACTGCTCATCCCGGACAACCGCAAGCTCTTCGAGGCCGAGGAGCAGGACCTCTTCCGGGACATCCAGAGCCTGCCCCGCAATGCGGCGCTCCGGAAGCTCAACGATCTCATCAAGCGGGCGCGGCTGGCCAAGGTGAGTGTCTCGGGGGGGTGCCCGTAGCGTTTCCTGGCCCCCGGGTGGCGTCCTGTGCCCTCCGGCTTGCAAATCCCATTCTCCCGAGGTTTGACTGGGGCAGGCTGGGGGCGGCAGGCCTCTTCCTGCCGGAGCTTGCATGGGATCGCGCCCCCCGTCTTTTAAAAGAATGAGAAGACCACCCTCTGTCCTGCCCTTAGGTCCACGCTTACATCATCAGCTCACTTAAGAAGGAAATGCCGTCGGTGTTCGGGAAGGACAATAAGAAGAAGGAGCTCGTGAACAATTTGGGGGACATCTACGCACGGATCGAGCGAGAGCACCAGATTTCCCCGGGAGACTTTCCCAAACTGAAGAAGATGCAGGTGAGTGAGTCCTGGAGGCAATGACAGTCAGCCGGGCTCCGACCACACGGAGCACTTTTGCAGCAGAGCTGGCCTCGGGGAGAGCCGGCACGTCGGAGCGTTTCGCTCCTGCTTCCACTCCTGTGGGTGTTTCTGCTCCATGATGTTAGGACAAGAAGGGGAAATGCCGGCAAGAGGGCAGCCCCGGCCCAGCTTACCTCCGGGTCTGGCGAGCCCAGCACCGCCTTCCCGATACCCCCACCTTTACTGTGGCTTTATACAGTAAAAGAACCACCACCAAGCAAGCCAGTTAACATCCTAAGCGATCCGTTCTGTCTCGGCCCTGTGCCGTAAAATACATAGATCTTCAGGGCAGAAACGGAACTCCTCCCATCTCTCGGTTTGTCCAGGTTTTTGGAAGCCACGTGGCTCCCGTTTCCTTAAGAGCCACAGCAGATGGTGCTGCTGGGGTGGCAGTGGCTGCATCTGCCTCCGAGCCTCGAGAGGGTTCGGCATGGCAGTCCCCGTCTCCGTCACATAAGCGGTGGGTGGGAGGTTAGCCAAACCCAGAAACTCTGACGGTGGCCAGGGGTTTCTTGTTGTCTTGAACAAGCCATCTGTAAAATAGTGTACACAGAGCAGCAGCGGGGGCTCACAGCCCACGACGCCCGCCTCCCTTCGTAACGTCATCAGCTAGCTCGGTCTGTGGGGAGCAGATGGAGAGGCCTTATCCTATAACAGCGTGAAAATGCTCTTAGGTCTCGGAAGGCTTGCCCCAGCCAAGTAGGTCACTGGGATGAAGCTAGTGTTCAACCTAGTGCATGGCGTGGAGGGGGAGAACTCCCAGAGATGCTTTCTTGTGGCTCTTTTTTCATTTTATTTGATACTGCCCTGCGTGGTGGACAGCCCAGGCTCCTGCCGCAGCGTTACGGAGGTAAATTCAGCCTCTGAACGAGCAAGATCTGTCCCATTTGGCTCACCGTGGCACTAATGCGAGCCTTTTGGTGGTGTTTCCCCAGAAAACCCCGACCTTTTTTGCATATCTTGCAAAGTATAGGGAGGGAGAATGAAAGAGCGCTTGGATGGACCCCCCCCCCCCCCCGTTTCCTTCCCTTGCCGTATTTGTAATTGTTCTTTATGATGAATTTTTTCACCGCTTTGGGCTGCTTTTTGGCTGGAAAAGCAGGATACCAATCAGCAGCCATGAAGGGCGCATCAGACTGTCACAGAGTCCTCACCCCGTTGCGTTTCTCACCGCCTTTCAGGAGCAGCTTCAGGGCCAAGACTTCAGCAAGTTCCAGCCCCTGAAGAACAAGCTGCTGGAGGCCGTCGAGGACATGCTGGCCAACGACATCGCGCAGCTCATGGTGCTGGTGCGCCAGGAGGAGTCCCAGCGGCCCGTCCAGATGGTGAAGGGTGGCGCCTTTGAGGGCACGCTGCACGGCCCCTTCGGCCACGGCTACGGCGAGGGGGCCGGCGAGGGCATCGACGACGCCAACTGGGTGGTGGCCCGGGACAAGCCCATGTACGACGAGATCTTCTACACGCTCTCGCCAGTGGATGGCAAAATAACCGGCGCGAACGCCAAGAAGGAGATGGTGCGGTCCAAGCTGCCCAACACGGTGCTGGGCAAGATTTGGAAACTGTCCGACATCGACAAGGACGGGATGCTGGATGACGAGGAGTTTGCCCTGGCAAATCACCTCATCAAAGTCAAGTTGGAAGGCCACGAGCTTCCGAACGAGCTTCCGTCCCATCTCATCCCGCCCTCAAAGAGGAAGCTAGCCGACTGAGAGGAAAGGCGGCACGCGACGGGGAGAGAAGCGGCGTGAATATCACTCAAGTTGTACCCATCCACATGTGAGGTCACCTTTTGGCTCGTGAGAATTTTCAGGTATACAGAGGGACCTGCTGGAAGGCCACGGGTTGGGTTCACATTTCGTCCTGCTTAGACCAAAGCTGGACCCGCTGCTTGCAGAGCGCCTGCTCTAAGTATGACTGAATCTGGATCGAACCCCGAGTCCTATCCTTTCTCATGATGATATGCAATGGACTTTTCCCTCGAAACTTGTTGGCTTCCTGATCTGCACTGGTAAGAGCAGAGGTATGATAGGAATTGAGAGGGATAAGAATATACAAGGACTGTTCTCAAATGCACACTTGTCGTCTTCGCAGCCCTGAAGGCAAATGCGAGCCAGACCCACATTCCCCGGGAAATCGCCCCCGTTTCCCAAACTTGCATTCGCATCCAAAAGTGATCATTGGCCTAAGTGCATCCTTGCGCACATGGTCTTTCCTCCCCCACATCTGCGTTTCCATGCTTTGTCCTATGGGGGAAATGTGTCCTTTTGATCAGGCCAAATGCACAGTTTTACAGCGTCCAGTTTTCCCAGTGAAAAATGTGCATTTTCCCACTGCTATATTTAGGGATGCCGAGGAGGCACACTGAGCATCCAGGAAGAATTTGGAGGCACGCCAAGGTGCGAGAGCACTTCTGCCTGTCCCTGAAGAGGGAAGCAGGCCGAGAGCCCGAGACTGGCTAAGGATCGCTTCCCTCATAGTCCCATCCGGCAGGTCGGTTAGCCCAGTGAATTTGTCCCCAGTGAAATTTCAACCAGCCCTGAAATTGCGCATGGGCCGCAAGCCGAGCCCTCAGACGAATAATAGCTCCGGGCAAGGGGAAGCTTGAAACTCACAGTTGGGCCTTTGACATTTTTGTGGAGCATTTGTCCGTGGTCCATCGTCCTGCCTGTCGTGTCTTTAAATTTTCAAATACCTGCAGAATAGAGGCAAACCTGAACCTACCGGAGCCATAGGAAATCAGTGACTCCTGGCCAGCTAGGGTGGGTGTGTGGGGGAACTCCCTGTCACTGTTTTGGATACATTTGGGATTCTGTTATAAAGCCTTGGGTGGCAGCCAGTGTAAGTTCTCTGCAGCGTAGACCCACTGATTGTACTATCACTGGATACAACCCAGTAACCCAGTTGGGTTAAGAGCATTGCTAGGCTGCAATGGCTCCGGGGAACAAGATAGTTGGGGTTGTATGTAGCTGTGGTGCCTGGGGATGATGGGAGTCCAGCATGTTTGGAGCATCCCAGGCTAGGGGAGGGGGAAGAGGAACAGGGGGAATCCTGGGCAAAGATCTGGAGCTTCCTGGCCTATCCCTGCACCTTAAATAGGCTGGGCGGAGGGGGGGCAGACAAGTTCTGGTCCGGATACTTACCTTTCATTATTCTGTATGTATACATACAGAAAAGGTTTGCCTGCGGCTGGCAGAAGGGAAGGGCTCGTGGAAGGTGCCTCCACACGAAGTTTAGGGACATCGCCTCCCCCCATCTCAGCTCGCCCATTGGGACCCCCAAGCCTCCGTGTGGCTTTGGGGTGGGGGGTCCGGAGGCAGGCCACAGGAGGAGTACGGGAACCCCTGCGTCCCAGATCTCTAGGCTTCTTGGCGGCTGCTCCTCGTGTGAGAGCAGGGGGCTGCTGCGTGTGTGCCCGCCCCACGGGCGCATCCCTCGCAGCCTTCCCCACGGATGCGTCTGGAACCGTCCCTCCAAACCTGGCCCCCCAGGAGTGGCGCGGGGCCTTACGCTGAACTTCTACTGTGACTTGACAAGGGGTTGCGGGAAGACAGAACCGAAACACGTCTAACTTATTTTATATCTCTGTGTTAATATTATATAGAAAAATATATATTCTGTGTGTGTACAAACATCGCTATTGCAGTGCATTTATCATGTCTTAAGAGAAAGTGAATGCATTAACTTTTTTTGTACCTGCATCCCAAAACATTATTAAAAAACCGAAGGCCAAATCTCCTCGAGTCGGTGTCTCCTTGCATAAACGGAGCTTTAGGCGGCCTCTGGGTGAGGGTTGTATCGAGCCGCACGGTCTCTTGGCTCCATTCATGGAATTCGAGGGGGCAGAGAGAACCACCCGGTCATGCGGCTCCCTTGCTGTCCTCCCGTGTCCTCCGGCTGTTTCCTTTGTTTTTCCTCTTTCCACAGGAATCTTTTATGCACTTGTCAGCAAGTGGACTAACTGAAAAGCACTAAAATCCGTCTCCCAAACCTGTATTACTGATCGGAAATGAATGAATGTGCTTTTTCCCCCCCTTTTGCTTTTTATGTCAATGGAATCATGGACAACTGGTGGTCCACACCTCTAGCCTCTGTAGGTCAAGCCAGTTCTGGCAGGGCTGCAGCCCTTACCTACCCTTGCGCCCTCCAGATGTTTTGGACAAAAACGGATGGGAGTTCGAGTGCAAAACATCTGGAGAAGACTAAATGTTAAAGAGAACATGGCCGGGTATTAAGGCTGGAACACCAGCTTGGAGAAGGTTGTTCCGAAGTGCCCACAGATCCTTGGCTGTTGGGATGATGTAGAAGTGCAATTAATTAACAGAATAAAAATGGCCCAGGAGGGAAGCAGGACTTGTTTTGGAGGGCAGGTGGAGGACCGCTGTGCCAGTGGAGTGAGCGCCTCATCCATTGTGGCTTCTCTTGCGCTTGTAGGAGCCATCCGTTGTCCATCTCCGTGGAGGCTCTTCTGACACCGGAGGCACGCGCTCCTCCTGGGTTTTGGCCTTGGGTCCATCGTGGGCTTCGCACATTCTCGGGAAGCCTCGATGGCAGCCGCGTGACAGGATACCCGGGTTCAGTCAGGAGAGACCCCTTTTCCCTTGAACCTCAGGAGTTTCGTTGAAAGATCACTCGGGGCCCCTGCAGTTACGGCAGCATGCTCCCGGGTCGTGGTTCTCACTACCAAGTGCAAGCTCTTAGAACATACACAGAGTGTTTATTATAGATTCTGAGTCACATGGGCCCAGCAGCTGGGCAGTTGATGACAAAATACGGGGAACACAGTCAGTAGACGCTGAGAGGTCTGCAGAGGGACTCGATATGATGGCATTTGATTTCAGGAGATTAACGTAACGATCACAGGATTATTGTGAGTTAATGAGTCCAGATGGAAGGAGCTCAAGACCTGTGGGACAGGTAGCGCCTCCATTTCTGTCCTTCCTGTCCCGCACAGGGTTCTTCCTGGCACAAGCATCTTCGGCAGGGAAAAAGCTGGAAAGCGTCTTGCCGATGTTGCCCTGAGGAAACACTGTAGGCTGATATCAAGCCCAGGAAATGTCAGACACAGAGAGAAAAGTCTGATAACGTGTGCTGGGACATGCCCAAAATGCCTTTTTGCTGACGCACCAAACCGCACGAGTTTAACCATTTAGTCAAAAGTGATTTTGTGAAACCTCCAGCAAAGCTGCAGGACAATTTCATGATGGGAGTATGAATGTGCGTTCAGCCCTACCTAAGGCAGGAGTAGCCAGCTATGCCATCCTCCTGCTCCTCTCCATTTTATCCTCACGACAGCCCTGTAAGGTAGGCCAGGCTGAGAACCAGAGGCTTCCCCCAAGTCACCCCAAGAGCATCAGGGCTGAGTGGGGACGAGGACCTGCTTCTCCAGAGCCAGAGCGAGCACCACAGCGCGCGAGGCATTCCAGGCACCAGGGCCCTTCCAAGGCCGAGTCGCGTCCGGCGTGGATCAGGAGAGACGACGTCTTGACCCGGATTTGTGGGAGAGGCTTCTGCCCCTCTCGCCAGGCACTGCGTAGCTGTCCCGGGGAGAGCCACAATTCGCGGGGGAAACCGTGGCTGAAGCAGAGCGCGGCTGTGCGACGCGGCCAGAAGGCCAGGGACTACCGGTGCATCTCGGCTGATCCCGAGTCCTCTTTGACAGACGCCCGTCCTCTCTCTGGAGGCCTGTCCGAGCCACGCTGGGCTTAAAGATTGCAAAGGAAAGTCATCTAGGAACGGTGCTTTGTCCGCTGCTTGAACCCGGGTTGCAGACTGGAAAGGCCCCACCTGGCCACTGCTTTACTTTGTCCCACGGTGAGCTGGACCATATTTCTACTTAAAGGATCACAGTACTTTCTGTATTCAAATTCACACAATTCCTACATGCATCAGCACATAAAAATCATGTGCAAATCAAGCATCCTTTCCCCAGTGAAGCGGGCCTCTTTTTTGCCAATGCAAAAAAAAAAGACTAATAATTTTAAATGGGCAACAGTCCACAGCTTCCTGATCCGAACACAGAACAAAAACAGGATACTAACTTACCACCACAAACAATGAAAAGATTATCAGCACAAATGTACAGAACGGGCCTGGAAGATAACGGGCATTCGCTCTTCCCTCCACTACCGGGCCCAGACCGAGGGCCTCTCCTCCCCTTCCACGGGTGGCCCGGTGCCCACCCCAGCCATAAATCACTCGCAAAGAACTCCTAAAAGGAGCCCTGACCCCAAAGCAACCCTTCCACCAAGTAATAGGAACTTCCTGAAGCACTCATAGGCATTTCCTGTTTTCAGGTTTTTAAAAATAATGGATTCTTCCTCCGACTATTCCAAGCATGGCAGAAAGAGTGCCTCGCTCCCTCCGACTCCCTCCTGCTTCAAGATGTTGTTTTCTTCCGTTCGCCTTTGCCGAATCTCTCCGGCGAAGCTGAAGTCTGAATCCATCCATCGTCCTCAGAAGGGCAAACGCAGGCCAAAGCATTAAGCCTCTCCCCAGCTCAGTTCTTCCCGCCCCGACATCAGCCTCTCTCTTTTCTTCTGTTGAATGGTGCATCATGGCCTTCACCGTCTGCTCAAATTTAGGGCCGACTCCAGGTCCAGATATGCTCCAGCTGACAAATGATCCGTGGGGATTCTACGGCTACTTCTCGATTTCCAGTCCATGCACAAAGTTGGGACGGACAGACCTAGTCATATAGATTTGATTGGATTATTTATTATTGTTTATTCATTAGACCTTTATCCCACCCCATTAGCCATAAGGGTATCCCCACAAAACATCTCTCTCCCCACGAAAAAAGCTGCCCCATTTGAGAATGAGTCGATTCTGTGGGACTGCCGGACACAGTCCTCTTTCATGGTCCACGTTATACTAGATTTCCCCCCAAAAATTCACCTACGGTTTTGTTGATCCATCAAAACAACATGAAAAGAGGGACAAGGATTTTCTTAGGTTGATTAAAACAACAACCATAAAGTTGTTGAATAGGACATTCCATTTTCCTCAAGCTCTTTCACAACGAAAGAACTAAGGTGTGGGAAATGCCAGACAGAAGCTGAAAAACTATTTCACCAGTGGAAGGGTAGATGGTCATCAAGTTTGCAATATGTTGGTGGGACGGTGGAATTCAAGTTTGTTGCCAGTGTCTCCCCTTAACCCTCTTCTCTCCTTGGTGCTCCTTTCCAGAGGGCTGCAATCAACCTTCCACAACCGGGAGCACTCCAGAGGTCTTAGCCTACAATTCCTAGTAGCCCTCCGCCCGCTCTGCCCACCCTTCTGTGAATTTGTGTGTTGCACCATCTTGCTCAGTTTGGACCTTTGAAAGCCCAGTTTGGACCTTTGAAAGCCTCATGATGGTCATTTTCGTGCATGTGTTTTCCAGCACAGATGCTCACCAATCCAAGCATGTAAACAGGACCTGGATCTGGAACTCATGACCATAAAGCCAGTCGCAAAGCCCCACATGGCTCCAGTTCCATTTTCCAGTGGCTTCAGGAAATGTTCTGCATTAACAGAACTTAGTATTTTGACTTGAATTCTTTCATTCCAGTTGGAAGTTGGCAGCAACCCTCAGAAACCCACACATCTCAGCGTAGCATCTGGGCACGTTTAGCTAAGATATCCTACCTGAACACCTTGAGGATTAAGGTAAGCTTTAGCAGAACAAACAACCAACTGGCCCCTGCATCCTGAGCCTTTTGAACCAAAACTTTCCCGTAGTCGTCCCCCACGGACCCACCCAGGTCCGTGGAGTCCACCTGGAGGTGTTGGTGATGACCTATAAAGCCCTAAACGGCTTGGGTCCTGGTTACCTGAAGGAGCACTTACGTCCATATATGCCCGCCCACCCCCTGAGATCAGCGGGAGAGGCCCTCCTCCGGGAACCCTCCGGGAAAGACATTAGGAGGCAAAGTACCCGGAGGAGGGCCTTCTCTGCGGTGGCGCCCCACCTATGGAACGCGCTCCCCAGAGAGGTCCGTCTGGCGCCGTCGTTATTTGTTTCTCGGCGCCAGGCCAAGACCTTTTTATTCAAATGTTATTTTAATTGTTAATATTATTTATTCATTTTATTCTTTGACCAGGGCGACTTAATTTATATTGTAAATTTATATTGTTTTATTGGATTCTATTTATTTATGGTTTGTGAGCCACTCTGAGGCTTCGGCGAATGGGGTGGCATAGAAGTCCCCTAGATAGATAGATAGATAGATAGATAGATAGATAGATAGATAGATAGATAGATAGATAGAAGAGTCTTCAGTGCGGTGGCCTCATTTTATTAGAATACCCTGCAGGTGCCAATTCTGTGCTGTCTCCTCACCTGCTAAAGACATTCTCATTCTAGGAAGCCTTTTCTTATTTTCTTACTGCTATTTTGTTTCTACCATTTTCAGTGTCTTGTTTGTAGTCTTTTGTTTTAGCTGTGTACAGTTCACTGCTCTGGAACCTGCTTGGATTTGGAGCAGTATGCAAATACTTTAAATAAATTAGGCATAAACACACCAGCAATCTCTGCAGTCCCAGGAGAAGGCTGTACTGTCCGACAAGTAGCAGAGTTATTTAATTCTATGCTTTGCACTTGATGTAACAGCTGAGCAATCATAGAATCATAGAAGAGTAGAGTTAGAAGGGACCAAGAAGGCCACTGGATCTGACCTCCTGCTCCTGAAGGTCACCAATTTACACAATCCCACCAACAGTTCACGTTAAAATATAAAATTTGTACTTGATT